GTTGCTTGTAATTAGAACCCTTATGGAATGATTGCTTCTCAGAGGTGTCTTCCAGATATAGCTGGTCTTTAAGTTTTGAGTCTCTAATGACTCTGAGGCCATCTCATTTTCCTTATACTAGGAAGGTTCATTGACTAGATCAATAACAACACCTTAGCCCAAGTGATACAATCAGCAACACCACTGCATCAAGTACATCTTCTAAAATGACATTTTGTGGTAGTTATTAATCTATCACCTTTAGCTGTGTGAATTAAATCAAGATTGAGGACCAACCCAACATATAGTGAATAAACTTTTCAATATAACAACTGTACCCTTTGGGATGGGGAGTTAGAAGGGGTTGAGGAGGGAGGGATAGCTGGGAAGAAGAATAGGGGAAGGTTAGCAGTGTGGTCAGAGGACACAGGTGAGAGGAAAAAAGAGAATACTAGGAAAATAAAGAAGAACTCCAACTGAGGACCAAAACAGGGACAAAAATGGAAGATGAACAATGTGGGAGAGCAAGAGAATGAGTGTAAGAGAGAGAGAAAGGAAAGTGAAAAGAAAGAAGAAAAGAAAAAAGGAGAGAAAAACAAATACTTGCAAAGAGTAAGAAAAAAATTAAAGATAAGAGGAGCAAAGGAAAAAGAAAAGAGAAAAAAAACAAGCTAATAATACTAATTTTGGGAATAAAAAATAACAGCGAAGATGAAGGGCCTCTTTCAGGGTATGTCTCTGCTGTCACAATAGACAACGTGGGCAGCAGCGTGCAGATGTAAGTCAGTGAGTCTCAGCAAGCTAGTTGCAGACCCGTGAGATTCAGGCAGATTTCTGGCTACAAGTCCCAAGTTGAGCTCCCTGTCCTCCTGAAGGGTTGAACTCTGCAGAGCTGTATTGCAGGTTTCAGCTGCCCTTCCCCTGAAGATAGTCCCAGCCCTGATGGGAGGTGAAGATGACTCCAACTTACCCAGTACAGTGGTCTGGTGGTCCGGTGTCCTGTGCATCTTTGTAGTGTGGAACCAGGTGGCTTTACAGAGAATGAGGCCAGAGTGGTGGTGGCTGGGGTGTCCAGTGGATTGCTGCCGGGGCACAGGATGATTCGGCGCGTTCCACGCAACTTGCTACCTTGGTACAGCGTCCGCAGACCTGCCTGTCTGCAGTGGGCTCCCAACATCCATTCTTGATAAAAAGCCTGAAAAAAATTGTGATAGAAGGACCTTATCTCAATCTGATAAAAGCCATTTATGACCAACCTACTGACAAGGTCATATTAAATGGGGGAAAACTGATTTCCCTCTAAAATTGTGGAAGAAGACAAGGATGTCCACTATCATCCCCTCTGATATAGTACTTGAAACATTAGCCAGAGCAATCAGGCAAGAGAAAGAAATAACTTCATATTTACACCATTACCGTCATCTTCTGTTATTTTTTATCTGCCATTGCCAACATGCCGCCAGTAGCTATATCCAACACATTGACCAAGGCCACAAAAAAATCTTTCATGTAATTATTACTGCTTCCCACAAATCGGGAGATTTAGTTGTGTCTTTTAATAGCACCAAAGAAGCCATTTCTTCAGTGACACTGTGTTATCAGTCACTCTAATAAAAATGACATGTGGAGCCACATTTGTAGCATTAAACACTTTTATCTTTCATTGATCACCAAAGCTTAACATTTGAAATTAGCACCCCTACTCCCCAAATCTCTCATTTTGCCTGCTTATAATCTGGTGAGACAAACTGATTTTAGAAAAATCCAGGTTTTTATCAAGACAAGTTATATCTGTCACATTTTCCATACATTGTTGGGGGGGTTGTTTTTTGGGGGGGGTGTTTTGGTACCAGGGATCGAACTTGGGACCTTGTGCTTGCAATCCCTGGCCCTTTCCATACATTGTTTAATAGACTCACCATCAGTAATGGTTTTGATTTCTTTTGTAGTCTTTGCTACCACATAACTCGCTTTTATCAGAGTATTGAGTTGTAATTAAAATTTTTTTCATAGAGATGACTGGGTTTTTTTTAGTTATACTATTTTGTCTTTAGGAAACATTCCTTGATATGCATCATTTGGCAGTATGTTTTTGCATATAACATTCTTTTTACATTATAATCTTTGAAAACTGACAGGCTTGCCCTACAAATTGAGCATAGTGCCTTATTTGTCTTGACAAAAAGTATTTATCTGTCCATTTTTTGTTGAACACTTTCTTCCACAGCTGTTTTCTTTTTTCGGGTACTGCTTTCTTTTGACAACCTTTTCTTTTAGTATTAGTGATGTTGTATATGTAGTTATATGTAGTTAGCAATATCATAAACAAAAAACTATTTGATACATTTTTGTACTTATACCAGGCTGCTAAAAACTATTGTAATTTACTAAGTTTTTAAATGAAGGGCCAGGCATTTAGCTCAGTGGCACCATACCCGCCTCACAAGCGCAAGGGTCCTGAGTTTGATCCCTGGTACCAGAAAAAAAAACACGGTAAAATTTTAAAATCAAACCACCTGTTTAATCATTAAATAAGAACACCTTTTACATTTTATTAGTAGCAATGAATGCCTGTCTTTGCAGCACACACACATGGGTAGGTTGAGATTGGTAGTTGCTGTATTTACTTATCAAGTCGCAAAGCACACACAACATCTGATCCATTTTTTTGTTGTCATCTGTGTGGTACATGCTCAAGCATCTTGCAATTGAATCATGAAAAATAATGTTGGAGTCCCATAATCATGATAAAAGTTTGTGGTCTTGTGGGGCTGCATGTGGCCCATGGTCTGCAGGGTGGACCTGCCTGATGGCTCACCTGTCAAGTTTCCTGGTTAAGACCTTCAGCAGCTCCCCACTCCTGAGGATGAAGACCAGCCAGGTGCCTCTCCCTGTCTCTGTGGTTCATCTGACACATTTTCTCCCTCAGCCTTGACCTCTCCTCTTGACGGTTCCCTTCCTGCCACAGAAACTTTTTTCACCTACTCCCTCTCTGCTTGGAGAGCTCTCTCCTACCCCTTTCAACAAGTGACACCTCCACCCCTTCAGATCTCAGTTCCGTTTCTCAAGGTAGCTGTCTCTTGCCCCTGGGTAGAGTATAGCCTGCTCTCATGGACTCCTAGCCCAGTGTCCTTCTTTGTGGTATCTTACATTTTAGGGGGCAAATTGTTTCCCCAATAGACTGTGAACTCTAGGTGGGGAATGACCAGGTCTTTTTTTGTTTGTTGGCATGCAGTGGACATTCAGTGAATATTTTTTGACTTTCAGAATGAATGAATTCATGTATCCTAAGAGATATACAAATATATCCTTAAAGAGTCAAAAGAGGTGGCTGGGGATTTAGCTCAGTGGTTCCACCGCCTGTCTTGCAAGCTAAGGACCCAAGTTCGATCCCCGGTACCAAAACAAGAAAAAAAAAAAAAACTTTAGCTGTGGAATTTTATGGGCCGGGGATTTAGCTCAGTGGTTCTGTCGCCTGCCTCGCAAGCGCAAGGTCCCGAGTTCGATCTCCGGTACCAAAAAAAAAAAAAAAAAGGAGTCTATTGTTGGGCTGGGGATTTAGCTCAGTGGTTTCGCTGCCTGCTATGCAAGCGCAAGGACCCAAGTTTGATCCCCGTACCAAAAAAAACCCCAAAAACCAAAGAGTCAAAAGAGGCAATTTTTTAAAATGAATCCTAAAAAAAAATAAATAAATAAAAATGAACCCTAAGGGCCGGGAATTTAGCTCAGGGGTTCTGCCTCTTTCCTCACAAGCATAGGGACCTGAGTTGGATCCCCGGTACCCAAAAAAAAAAAAAAATGAACCCTAAAAGAGATGGCAGAGTGCTACCTAGACTAGGGTTAGATGGCTGTTGTGATTGTCATTGTTGATCAGGTTTGAGTGATCTCAATATTTCAACAAAGAAATTGCTGAGTTTTATTTGTTACCTCTTTGTTAACATTTCCAGGAAAGTCTTCTTTGATCTCCCTGGCCATAGGAGATAATCTATTCTCTTTCGACAGCCCAAGCACGAACCTCTCAGCATCTTTTGTGACCTCATGGGTGTGGACTATGAGGAAATGTGCCACTGGCTTTGCCATCGAAAGCTGGCCACTGCCACAGAGACGTACATTAAGCCTATCTCCAAGCTGCAGGCCACAAATGCCCGAGATGCATTGGCCAAGCACATCTATGCCAAGCTCTTCAACTGGATTGTAGATCATGTCAATCAGGCTCTGCATTCTGCTGTCAAGCAGCACTCTTTCATTGGTGTGCTTGACATCTATGGGTAAGTACATTTTGCTTGTCTTACTGGTTACGAGCAGCATTTCCTCATACAGAATATTAGGAACTCTGTGTTGATGTTTAATTTTGTCTCCTGCTGGTGAGGAGAGGGACAGTTCAGGAGTACCTTGATGATGGTGATATAATTGCTTGTTGCTTAAAATTTAAAACCAAATATATATCTCAAGTCCAGAGCTAATTTACTAAGCTAGTGGGTAGAATTAATTGATTGTCAAATTTTTACTTAGCGAGTTATCACTGAATTTCTAGAAATCTAATTTTGCTTGCTAGTTTGCCTTCTCTGGATGCCCTTCTTTAATTGTAAAGCCTTCCTATATATTATGTTTGTTTGATCCTCCTTTTTGGTTCTCTGCTTCAGTTCTCTAAAGAACTCATGGTAGCTCTATTTCTATGTCCTTCTATGTGTATATAATCCTGTGAGTCTGTAAATTGAGAAGAGCAATAGCTTTATTTAAGTATTGTTGTTCCCCACTTCAGGATGAAATAAACCCCAAAACTCTTAGTGTCAAATAATAAAAAAGGGAAAAAAAACCTGAACAACAACAACAAAAATTTCATAGTGTTCAATGTCTCTGCATGTGAGGCCTTTTTAAAAACTCTGCATCTTGGCTGATTATCATCTTCTGGGTACAGATTTCATGTTTTTGACTTAGAAACCTTTATCCCATTTTTTTCTTTCTAATGTGCACATTTTGAATTTTTTAAAAAAAATTGTTTCTTTTCTCCCTTCCCCCACTTTATTTTTGGTATTACAGATTTGAAACATTTGAAATAAATAGTTTTGAACAGTTTTGCATAAATTATGCAAATGAAAAACTACAGCAACAGTTCAACATGGTAAGAATTTTCTTCCTTGAATAATATTCTGCTATAAATTATTCTCTCGAATTCCTAGTCTTTGTTTAAAGCCTAGTCCCTGAAACGATGCCCTGAAATACAATTATCATAATGAGATTTAGAATAGCTAAACTGCTAAGAAATTGATGATTAATATATGATGCAACATTAGAAAAATGTTTGACGGTCCAGGTGGAGTTCAAGGCCATCCCTCATCTGAGAATAATGAGAATTTGGGGCAAATGAGTTGAGAGAGACTGAACTATGTTAGGTGGTAACACAGGTAGAATGAAGCTGCAAGCCTAGGGTTCCCTTCCTGTGTGGGTCTGAAATGGCCTGGCTGTGGAGTTACGACCGCCTAAACCCTTGCTTGCTGTGTAAGCAGGATAACAGAGCTAAACCTCAGAACCTTGCGTATTCTTTCTTCCACTAGTCTATCATTTACTGTGTCAGTAGCAATGGGAGTTATTTTGCGGAAAAATACCTAAGATGATTAACAGTTTTTGCCTCTAGGGAGTGATACAGGATTGGGAAGGAAAGGGACTAAAGTTATAAAAACCTTTTGAAACATTTGATTTTTTAAAAAATTGCACATACTTTGGGCCTGGGATTTAGTTCAGTGGTTCCGGCACCTGCCTTGCAAGCACAAGATCCCAAGTTTGATCCCTGGTGCCAAAAAAGAAAAAGAAACAAAAATTGCACATACTTTGATAAAAATTTGAGTCATCTTTAGAGAGTAAACTGCTTAGCACAGTAAAGTGATGTAGCGATGATCTTAAAAACCTTAGGCTCCTGACTATTTCCATAATAATATGATTGGTGTATTTTTCATCTCTGTGTAAAAAATATTAATAAAAACCTATCAGAAACCAAATTGAGCGCTCCCATTTCTCAAGGTGTTTCTGAATTTGTTATTATTGTAATCAGTGGCTTCCTAAGATGACTGGAAATCTAAGGAGCCAATGCTAGCAGCATGAGGACCTGGCCAGTTTGTCACTCTCTGGAGCCCCACGTCTCTGTGTGTGTTTCTCTTGCTCTTGTTTCTCTTTCCCGCTTTCTGTCTTCATCTCCCTGTTTCTCCTTCCCTCTCTTCACACATCTCCCTGTACTGCATCTCAACTTCTCTCTGCACAATAGCTCCACTCCTGCTCACTGTCAGACAGTGGATTCTTTCCTTCTGGTCTGCATGTGTTTTTTCTACCTCTGTCTGCTTCCTCGCTCACTTCAAACATCCAGTGAAGCCAGCAGAGCAGTGCTTGGAATGCTCCTCCTGTCCACTTAACTTGCACAGCTCCTGCTCCTCTTGATTTCTTGCAGCTTTAGCTCCTGGTGCTAGTTGCCTAATTATTTCCTTGTTTTCTGACTCAGAGAGGGAGCGAGCAAACCTGGTTAACTCCACTCATGTTTTCATCAGAGACTACCAACAGTGGAGTGCCCCATGTCCATGGCTGGTTTAGTGAGCTGATACTGTCTGAGCTCATGGTGGAGACCCTGGCTGCAGAGGGCTGCTCCCTGGGCTTTGCTCCCTGGGCTGGCACTGTAGGTGGTGCAGTTGGCATCTGAACACTTATTGGCATGCCACTGTTTGAAGGCATTGCTGTGTTGCCACACTGAACCTCATGCCCACGTTCTTTAACAAGCGAGACTCTCATGGATTTTCCCAAATGAGATGTAAAGCCGTGTATGAGAAAAAAGCTCTATTTAAAGTCTAGAGCAGGGCTTCTGGTACAAGTGTGCAGACTGCACATAAATCAATGAAATTTTTAAAAACACAGAGCTCATTATTTTGGAAGATGTTGGTACCATCACTTAGGGCATCGTGCTAACAAATGGTGCCCTATTTTCCTTCTCATTAATCAAAAGAACAAGCAGTTTACTAATTGGCCTGACAAATATTCATATGTGACCAGGTTTTTGACTAAGGCCTGTTGCAGCTGGTTAGACTGTACATGCTGTGAATGAGTGCAGGGGGATATTGCAGTAAGTACAGAATCAGGTGGGGAGCAGGAGGAGAGAATACATGAGAAATCTCACCTGAGTTTCACAGGGCTTGGGTCTTAGAAACCAAAGACAGGCCTTCCTAGAAACAGGGCATCTGGGAGAACCAAAAGAGATGAGAGAAGTGAGAAAGAAACCCCTGGGGAATGTGTGTGGCCATCAGCAAGGCAGAGCCGAGAAGCTTGGTATCTGCTGTGTGGGCCAGGCCTGTGGCCCGAAGCCTGAGCTGAGACAGTGTCTGGGCTGGCTGTACCCCAGGCCACCCTGTGTCCCAGTGAGTGAGGGCTCCTCTCTCAGAGCTCACCTTGTTCTCCTTTGTAGTGTTGTTATTTGTAGTTGCATTCTCTGTGATTTGATTTCTAGCTGCTTCTCCCACTAGTCTCCCCCTCCACAAGGCCAGTGTCCACTGTGTTGTCAACCATATGCAGTGGCTGACACGTGGCATGAGGTCTACACTGACAAGAGGCAGCGGTGTACATGGCGACTGAAGCTATTGGCAGAAATAGCAGCAGTAGGGCTTGTAGCTGCTTGCAGTGTTGGATGCAGAATCCAGCAAAGTGAGCGGAGATTCTGTGACTGAGGAGAACAATGAAGACAGATACAGAAGACCAGCCATCCTCTAATTCTAGGCATGTGTACATCAGCAGCACTGGCACCTATGAGCAGGACTCTCTTGTGCTGCAGACATTGCCCGCTCTGTCCGGTGGTCTGGAGGACATCGTTCTGTGGCTGCCCAGGGCCCCTAAGGCACACTGGGTCACCTGCTGTTAGCAAGTCTCACCAGTAATTTAAAAAGCCACAGGTACATAGCACAGTTTTAGAATAACCGTAATCACAAAGGCTGCTGCATTACCAGCTATTTAAAGCATTTAGAGCATACCTAGATTTTCTCGTTCACCAGAAATCCTGTGTAGTGAGGCTTCACTGTGCGGTTATGTTTGCCTTTTCTGTGTATAACTCATGCTTCTCCCATGAGATCATTGTTGCTAGAAGCCAGAGGCTATCTCTAATTACATTGGTATTTTCTTATAGAAACTCTGTTGACCAAATTCTTTATGATAATCCAATAATGACTGCTGTTTGTTTGTTTGTTTTTTAAATTTCAGCATGTCTTCAAATTGGAACAAGAGGAATACATGAAGGAACAGATTCCATGGACACTGATAGATTTTTATGATAATCAGCCTTGTATTAATCTTATAGAATCTAAGCTGGGCATTCTAGATTTGCTGGATGAAGAATGTAAGGTAGGACTTTCTGGAGTGCTTAATGGACCAGAATAGAAGTATTAAAGTCAGAGGTGGTTAGGATGTCCAGCAGAGGTTCACTAGGACACCCCGAGAGGCCACTGTGACAACAGCTGGGGTCACTCTGACTTTCATTCTGAGGGGACCCTTGGCCTCAAGGACTCTTCCTTTACTGAAGCTGGGAGAATGTCCCTTTTTTTTTTTTGTTAGTTAATTATAAATTATGTGAGAAATCGTCATTAAATTGCTACCAGTTTTCACCACTTTTGTTCCCAATTTGCTTACGTTTAGTACTTTTGTTCAGCAAGACAATATATTTGAGGGAGTATAAGCAAGCCAGGTATGGTGGCACACATTTATAATTCTGGCTGCTTGGAAGCTTGAGGCAAGAGAATCTCAAGCTCAGGGCCAGCCTTGGAGCTCCCTAGGGTTAACCCCAGTACTACACAAAGAAAGGAAAAAGCGCAAAAGAGAAAGGCATGCACGAAATTGTTTTAAATAGCTGTAATATTTTAATTCACCAGTTATTCTTTATTACTGACATATAATGACAGGGATGCAGTTTTAGCTTTCATATGTGAAGATGTAACATGTTGGGAAAAATATTGGATTCCCAGCTTTTTACTAACTGGGTAATTTTAGACAAATAACCCATCCATTGCCTTAATCTTTTTTTAGTTTTTTATACAGTAAATTACAACTTACCACAGGTTCATCCTTCTAATCGTCTAGACTTCGCCAACATTAGGAATGGGTGTGATGAAAAGGTGCTCAGCTCACTTGAGGATTTCTAACAATGCAAAGCAAAAGTGATATCCCCTTATTTATCAAATGGGCAGGGTTAAACCTGATAGCTTTCATTTGATAATAATGAATATTGCACATATACTCTTGATAAAAGGTAAGAATTTATGCAACATATGTAGGAAATTTGACATTTGTCAGAACCATAAACACATACCTGTTTTACCCAAGAATAGAACTGCTGTGATTTAACCTATTAATATACTTTACAAAAGTATGCAGGATATATATGTATAAGAAGAAAATTATCATGATAACAAAAAATCAGAAACAACTTTAATGGCCATAAATAAGAGAATATTATTATTAAGAAAAATTGCAAGGATTATACAGAATGAGCACATCATGTACATGTCTTGAAAGATAGGAAGACATGGGGCCTGGGATTTAGCTCAGTGGTTCCGCCCCCTGCCTTGCAAGTGGGAAGTCCCGAGTTTGATCTCCGGTACCAAAAAAAAAGAAAGATAGGAAGACATAAGGAATTGGAGGACCCTCCATTCCATACTTGTCTGAACTTTAGAACTCTTACTATGTATAAATGTTCCCTCTACTTAACAAAACTTTAAAACATGTGATAGTTCATTTTTAACTTGTGAGGCCTTTGTTTTAAAAACAGACCAGATATTTATCTGATGACTCCTGGTATAGGCAGATCTAATCACCTAAAGATTGGGCTGGGTGGCCCATGTGCAGGGCTGTCATGCTCTTCATTAGCAGCTGGGTTTGAGCCTGTAAGAGAGGAATGTAGAAGAAATGAATTTCTAAACTGAATATGTAAGTTGTTAGGCAAAGTCGAAATACGGTCTCTGGGCAGCTGATACATTGGAAGAGTTTCACTGCTCTCCTTGTTCTTTTTTTCTTTTTTTATCTCCATATAGATGCCTAAAGGTACAGATGACACTTGGGCCCAAAAATTGTACAACACACATTTGAACAAATGTGCACTCTTTGAAAAACCCCGTCTATCAAACAAAGCTTTCATCATCCAGCATTTTGCTGACAAAGTAAGGAGGCTTTATATCTTTTTTCATTTTGAATATTGTAGTTATTGAGGAAAAAAATCAATAGTCAGGAAGTATCATTATCGGGACCGCCATCACCCCCACCCTTCCATCATCATCGTCATCACCACCACCACTCATGCTTGCATTGTTCAAGGCCCTGTAGGAGAAGCAGTCTTCAGAATTGGCTTCTTGGCTTTCTCTTTCTTTACCTTAAATTTCAGTATAATCCATATGAAATAAATATGGGTCTCTAATCGGTGTGTAACTCTGAAATCCAAGAAGTGCTGAAAACCAAGTCTTTTCATGACTCATTTAGCAGGTAAACCTGATCTCTGATTTTTTTTTTTTCCCAATACTAGAGATTGAACTCAGGACCTAGTGCTTCCAGGCAGATGCAGCCCTGGCCCTTCTGACTTGAATTAATGAGAATTATAGTCTTTATTGCAGTTAGGGTTTTTACATAGTTCAGTGTAAACATACTACTATGTTTGATTAGAGATGGCTGCCTTAGACTGCTGGAGTATTCAGGTGGTGCCCTAATCTCTAAATCCTTGAGAATTTCTGAGTTCTAAACCATAGCCGACCCTGAGGGTTTCAGAATGGTGACTGTAGATGTGTGTCACCTTCTGTAGTGACTCACTGGTCTTTACTAGTAAGCCATGACGATGTGCTGCATCATGCATTCTGTGGTCTGCTTTGTTGTGGGCTAGGCTTTGAGGTTAGCCCTCTAGGGGTCCCCTTCAGGGATCGGGAACTCCCTGAGTCTGTCTTCATCCTGGCTGGAAATCTTGGAAGGACCATAAGACCACCTGTGTGTTTGTAGTATAAGGTGCAGAGCTCCTCAAGAGGCAGATGGCTGAAGTAGCTGGGGTTTTGGAAGAAAAATAGTCCCTCCTTCAGGGGTACTACTTTACCAAGTGTCGTTTCCTCAGCTTCTTCCTCTGTCCATTATTAGCTTTCACCTGTCCCCTCATCAGCCAGTCATTTGTTCTGGCTGACCCTCTCTCCCATGGTGATCTCGTCTGCCACTGGGTGGTGGACTGGCATGGACTGAGCTGTCTTTGGCAGCATGGGGGGGAAGATCAGCTTCTCAGGAGTTAGCTTAATCATGATCAAGAGGCTCATTAGACCACAGTTAGCCAGCAGCACTACCACTGTTCCCTAGCAAATGGTATCTGGGGAGTTTACTGTAGGGTTAGCGCACCTCTTTCCAGTAATGAATGACCTGTTTTTCACAAGGCTTGTTACAGCTGGTTAGACTGCACATGCTGCGAATGAGTGGAGGGGGACATCGCAGTAAGTACGGAATCAAGTGGGAAGCAGGAGAGGATGCATCAGAAGTCCCATCTGAGTCTTGTGGGGCTGATTACTTAGAAACGACAGATAATAGCACTTTGCTGAGAGCTAGTCGTACAGGCTGAGCTAGTAAATATTTTTGTGATGGTACTGTCTATCACATGTTTTTTCAGTATGTTTCTGTGTGTGTTTTCAGGTGGAATATCAATGTGAAGGCTTTCTTGAAAAGAATAAAGACACCGTTTTTGAAGAACAAATTCAAGTTCTTAAGTCAAGCAAGGTAACCAAGGATAGGCTTATTCTAATTAGGATGCATTCCATAAAATGTTAATTACTCCACCATTACCTTTTTAACAAAATGATTTGTTTTCTAACAAAATCGGTTTTATTTACAGTTTGTAATTCATCAAATATATAATGCTGTGTGTCAGGTTCTGTTCTCGATGCCTTGCAAATATTAGCACATCTAACCCTTACAATGAGGGGTACTGTTACTCTCATTTTACATGGCAGGCAACTGAAGCACAGATGCTTCGTGGCTAGAGAGTTTCTAGACCCAGGGAAAGCCTGGGCTGCCATGCTCAGTCTGCTCTTAGCCTCCGAGCAGGGTAGCCTTTCGGCTCTGTGTGGGCATTGCCTCCACAGAGTTTCTGCAGTCTCTGAGAGGAAAGGTTCGCTGTGCCAGTGCTGCAGGGTACACTGGCTCAGCCTCCTGTACTCCAGTCCAGATGTAGCTGGTCCCTGCACCATCATTGCCAGCAGGTTAAGAGTGGCAGCAGGAGCCCTGCCTTCCGGTGGGAAAGGGGTTTCCAGAAGGCAAGGAGTTAGGTTGACTACATCACACCATTGGGTTGATCCCCACCTCTGCCTCCCACCTTCCTCTGGAAAGGATGGAAGGGGCTCGCATTCATCCTACAGGAGCAAACCAGGAGGCCAGTTAGTTTGGTAAATAGTCAAAAATTCATTAGAAAAGCAAAAATCTTCATATAAATTCTTATAGATGACTGACTGGCACTCTTTGTTTTTCTAGTTTATTCTAAGAGAACCCTTTTAATTTCAGTAGAATAGAATTTGAACATTCTGACTCCTGTTTTTGGAAGAAAAACTTTTACTTTCTTTTTTTTTTACTTTTACTTTCAGTTGTTTTGATAACATAAAGGTCAAATAAAGACCAAATCCCAGCTTTAACTGTCAAAGTAATGAGTGATGGTATCCCTAGAAAAAGTGAGCATAGGGCCAGAGATTTAGCTCAGTGGTTCTGCTGCCTGCCTCATAAGCATAAGGTCCCGAGGTCAATCCCCAGTACCAAAAAGAAAAAAGAAAAAGTGAGTATCTTCTTTATGCTTACAGGTACTGGCTCTGATGCTTTCTTTGTAGCTTTCAGGATTAATGTTCTCAGTGCCTGTCTTCAAGTATTACTCAGTTGAAGATCTTAATCGCTTTGACTTATAGATAGTGATATAAACCATGACAACTTCTTGTTAATATTTGCCAGAATAATCAGGCTTCAGCAGAACAGAGGTTCTCATCCCTGAGGCCAGTCACATCTTTGTTGTGCCTTTCTGTGGCTGGTGGCTGTCTCTCATCAGCATCATCATTGCAACCGAGTATTCTATGAGGCATTCAGGGTCTCTGCCACTTGCTGTGGGGACAGTGTGGGCTTTACCAAACACAGCTGCAAGCCTCCCTTGCTCCCAGGCTTTGCAGAAACCCAACCCAGGGGCATGAACTGTATAACTTTTCTGTCTCCAGTTGGAAGCAAGTATAACACAATGTTAATTTGTTCTCTTAGAAGTACCAGTTGATTAATATTTGTGTTTCGTGTTTTGAATGCAGTTCTTGTAGTACAGTGTGAAGTCAGTCCATGTCTGTTTTAGACATGTTTTGTTTGCAGTGGGGTTTAGGTAACCAAGTGGACACATCACCTTAGAAGTCGGAGGGGAAAGGTAGCAGGCCAGAGGGAGAGTCAGAGCGGATGATAGAATCTTGGCAGCCATTAGAGCTTGATGGTCCCCTCAAGAGAACATCTGGATAGAGCAGGAGTGGAGCTGAGGCCAGAGTCTGCAGACACCCTGAGGAAGTGCTCAGAGGCTGGCAGAGGAGGGCCAGGAGAATAGCCTGTCAGGGAGCAGGCGCAAGGCCTCAAGGGGAATTATAGAGCAGTTTCAGATTCCGGGATTTAAAATGCATGTTTTGTTTTTGTCTTTGCAGTACTGGAGGTTGAACCCAGGGCCTTCTCACTGGGCTATATCCCCAGCCCTTTTTATTTTTTGAGAGGGCTCTCACTAAGTCACTGAGTTGCCCTGGCTGGGCTCAAACTTGCAGTCCTCCTGCCTCAGCCTCCTTCAGTGTTGACATCACAGGCATATGCCCTCACATCTGGCTCACTTTTTTTTTTTTTAAAGAAAAATCTACACGGAGAATTTTAAATTTATAATCTCTATGAAGAGGAAGTGCCCCCCCCCATACATGTGTACCGTGAACTCTGGAAACTAAGCTGTTTTCTCGTAGATAATGTAGTTATTGAGTTGAATTGTAATACCTACTGGTGAGTGTGATATGGCAGCCCAGCACTTATGACCTTTTCACACTGAAGAGAGGAAAACAAAGTTTAGCCAAGTGCTAACATAGAGCCTGCCGTTTATTTGAGAATGGTGTCATAGGAGGGATTCCAAGTATACAGCCTGGCTTCGGGTAGCCTGTAGCTAGTCCAGTGCTGAGTTTCCAAATCAGACCCACTAGGACTTTCCTCTCTGGAATGCGACTTCAGTGTTGTGACACAGGATAATGTTATAACATTTCTTCTTTACAACCAGCAAAGCCAAAATTTATTTTCTTTTTCTGTTTTGAATATGGAATGTAATTTATGGAATCCTGTATTGAAAGTGAAAAACAGTGTCTGTGTGGGTACAGGAGTAACAGATGGGGGCTTTGCTGGTGTGACAAAATGTTACATTTCATCATTACACAGCATAATGTCCCCAGCCATGGGAAGCACCCTGTGATTGCATGGACTCATGCTGCTGCCCATCAGGGAGAGCGTGCTACCAGGCATCACTAGCTCAGGAAACACCAAACTTGGTTCAAAGTCTGGTTTCTACCAAATGCTTATCACTTTCATACCATCATATAGTAAAAAAAAAAGTCAAACTTTAAGAGATCATCATCTTTCCTTTGAGGTGAAAATTAACTCTTAGCAATTTGAAAGGAAAGTATGTTTGGGCATATATTTGCTTGTTTGTGTGTTTGAGACAGTCTTGCTATGTATTTCAGGCTGCTTTTGATCTCACTATGTAGCCCAAGCTGGCCTTGAACTCAAAGCAGTCTTCCTGCCTCAGCCTCCTAAGTGCTAGAGTTACAGGCATGTGCCACCACCTGACATATTGTTAATTTCTTAAAGCAAAGAATATGTTCGTTTGTTCAGTGAGCAACCACTGTTATGTTACACATATCATGAATTATTTCCTAAAGTGCATTGTGATTCGTGTACACATTAATAACCAGTGAAGTCATACTGAAATGAAATCTCAGTGAAAGACACCCTGCCCTCTTTTATGGTGCTGGGGCTGGAACCCAGAGCCTTGTATAGGGATTCTACCACTGTCTTATATCCCCTGCCCTCAGTGAAAGAACTCCTGTTAAGAAAAACATTTTTCCTGCAGAAATTCTGAGATTAGGAGATAAATAACTGGGAATTGCAAGTATAACTTCACTTACACAAAGGACTGACATATTTTTGCTTCTGCAGTGCTGGGCATTGGACCCAGAGCCTTTGCATCAAGTTACATCCCCAGGCTTTTTATGTTTAATTCTAAGATGGTGTCTTACTAAGTTGCCCCGGCTGTGCATGATTTTATTTATATAGAATTTGGCATTGTTACAAAGCTGTGTAATGTGTCATGATACTCCTGTGGATTAGTTTGAAGTCTCTTTTATTTGATCAAATTTGTCCCAACAATATTGGCTAATGCCTCCACCTACCTACCTGGCTAATACCAGGTCTCTTGACAGTCTTTTATAGCATGATAGAACCAAAAATTGATTACAGGTGTTATGTTAAAGTTCGAAATCCTTTGAAAACAAAATAAACTTACAGGATAAGATCAACTTTTTGTTTTTATTTTTACTTCTTTCTACAGTGTAGATTATTTTCTTAAAAATTATTGATTCGTGATTGTTTTTTCTCTCATAACATTGAGGACTTGTTCCTGACACCCTGTTGCTGAGAGTTTTCAGCGACATGTTTGAGTTCCTGCTTGAATTAGTCTTGGTGCAGTGTCTTGTTTTCCTCCAGTCATGGTTGTAGAGTTGCTGAATTTTCCTGCTATATTTTTGAGGCATTTGTATTCTCTTTCTCTCATGTTTTTGGCTCCTAAATCAGACACAAGAATGTATGGGGTACTTGAGGAAAGGAGTCACTGTTGAAAATCCCCACGCCTTCTCTTTGATGAAGGTTTACTTTTGAATATGAGTTTAATGTTATTTCCTTTTGCTGTCTCTGATGCAGTTTAAGATGCTACCAGAACTCTTTCAGGATGACGAGAAGGCCATCAGCCCGACCTCAGCCATGTCCTCGGGGCGCACACCCCTCAGCCGCACTCCTTCGAAGCCCACCAAGGGCAGGCCGGGCCAGATGGCAAAAGAGCACAAGAAGACGGTGGGGCACCAGGTGAGTGAGGGTGCTAGGAGTCCTGCCCATTGCTTGCTGGAGGCCTCCCTCCTGGGGTCTCCAGGTGAGGAGCGGGGTCCTTCTCTCCCCTGAACTGTTCTACACGGCCTAGTGCTTCCCCTCATGTCCTCTCCTCTCTCTCAGCCCGCTGCTTCCTTGTTTTATTCTCTAGCTGTTCTGTCTCTGTTTCTGCAGAGCACCAGTCAGTTCCTGTGAGAAACCAGTTGTGAGACCGAGGCCTGGGCTGAACTCTCCTTGAGATGCAGGGGAGGGGATAAATACACATTCGGGCACAGTTTACAAATTATGAGAACCTGATAAACTTTCCATGAATCCTGGATTACATGCTTGCTTGTTTCTTTTTTTGGGTAAATAAAGCCGTGACAGAGTTTATTTGAAAAAGTAAAAGTGAAAAGTGAGGCTCTGCAGAGCAAACTTGGGCTGAGTAAGAGAAGAAAAAGCAAGATAAAAGTACACCCTGGAGGATATAGGGCAGGCTACTGTGAAAAAAGCCACAACAGCAAGCTCTTTGTGACATCTGTGTCCTGATTCAGGGGGGAATAGATGCAACTCCCAACATGCTAGATGTCAGATACATCAAGTTCATGTTCCCCAGAGTCAGAAGAATGAACCCTAAGAACAATGGACATTCAGAGTAGGAAAACTTCTTGGGGAATAGGAATGGAGAATAGGAATGTGGAATAAGAATAGCTCCTGAGAGACAGGAAGGGTCCTGAATGGTTGCCCTTACTTGTTTCTTCTTTGTGTGAGTCTAATGAAAGTGAGGAGCACTGTCAGTTCGGGGCTCTTTGTGCGCTAGAGGCAGAGTCCCCTGGTCCTTCTCTTCCCAATTATCTTTGTCTCTTTTTTCTGTAAGGCCCCCGCTCCACCCCAACTCTTGGGCTGGTCTCCTACAAGCTCCTTCAGTGCAAGAACGCACCCTCTCCCCCTTGATGTGCCCTGCCTATGAGGGCAGGACGTTACACATGTGCTGAGCACCAGAACAGAGTGGGGTGTTGGGAGGGAGACTGTGCGCAGTGTGGGTGGGAGCAGCCTGAGCCCTGTCCCTCCTAGTAACCTCTTTCTGGCTGTCCTTGCCCATTTGCCACCCGTTCTTTGTACTCTTTTAAGGTATCTGTTGCCTTTTGCAGGTCTAACAGCAAAAATTCCCACTTTACCTGATTAAATGGCCTTAATATTCTTAAGGCAGTTGTGTTGTGAGTCACATATGACTGAGCTCACACCAGGAAGCCACAGAAACCCTAAGCATTCTGAGTCAGAGACCAGCAGGCCCAGGCCCTGCCGGACACCCACCGCAGGTTCAAGGCCAGGGGAGGAGTGGGAGAGGGGAGGGATGCAGGGCAGAGCAAGGCTGTGAATGGCAGAGCGCAGTCACAGCCTAACGAAAGCCCTGGCTTTCTCATCCAGTAGCAGCTCTGCTGTAGGTGAGTCCAGTTCACAGTCATTCCACTCGTGTCACAGGAGGAGAGTTTAAATGACTTTGCCCCATCTTTGACTTTTTCTAGCTAATTTATGTTTAATCATCAACCATAGGCATCCTACAGTGCTACAGAACATTAGAAATTATGCCTCTTATCCACCTGTACCCCTGTACCCTCTAAACATTTTCTGTCCATTTCTCCCTCATAGATTACTTCCTTTTTTTTTTTTTTTTTTTTTAACGAAACCTCCATGTCCCTTTCTGTGCTTTCCCTCGAAGTTCCGAAACTCCCTCCACCTGCTCATGGAGACCCTCAATGCCACTACTCCTCATTACGTGCGCTGTATCAAGCCGAATGACTTCAAGCTTCCGTTCACGTAAGTCCTCCTCTACTGGGGGAAAAATGCATTGTCAAATCCATGAAAGGGGAAAATATTTGGGTAAATATTCATGCTTTGCTGAGGAAAACTACTAATTAATAGCCTTTAAAGTTCTGGTTCCTTCTTGAGAATGTGACAACAGATTAGCAGTTAGCTTCTGAGGCTTGAAAAGTGGAGACCTTAACCAAGCATCTGGTTCTGTTTTGAGACTGCCTTGATTCAAGGTCTTTTAATTTGGACATAGTTAATACCAGAGCGGGTTGGGATAGAGCTGCTTTGGCAGAGGTTTGCTGCTACTTTTCACTTGTTCAGACCATCAAGAATGACTACTTTACCAATGTCTCCTTCAGATACCACATGAGAGGAGAATGCATCTTTCTAGAGTTTATATTTCTTTTAATTTGAAAATAAATACATTACAAGCTAGGCATGTTGGCACATGCCTGTAATCCCAGCACTTGGGAGTCTGAGGCAGGATCGCCATAAGTTCAAGCCCAGCCTGGACTACATAGCAAGACCTTGTCTCAAAAAGCCAAAAAAAAAAAAAAAATACATTGCACTGTGAAAATAACTTTCAGGAAATACAGACTAGTATAAAAATAAATGAAAAAGTGTCTGAGACAGCCAGAAAGGATATATATGAATATAGATATGTATAACTGGTATTAACTGGCTTAGAACCTTCTTGACTGACCAGCACCTCCTCCTTCCCTGCTCTCCTCGTGTGTGTGTGTGTGTGTGTGTGTGTGTGTGTGTGTGTGTGTGTGTGTGTGTGTGTGTTGGAAAGAATGGTTGACGGAGAGGGGGAAACAAAAGCAAGGATCTCATGATGTAACTGCTATTTTAGCTCTGCTTTTAACTGAATAGATTGTGGACACTTCCTGTGTTACTAAATAAAAATTCATATCCTCATTTTAATACCTGCAGAGTATCCTGTGGTATCGATACACTGTCATTTGTTTAAATTATTCCCTGTTGATTATTTAGGTTGTTCTAGCAGTGCTAAAGTAAATATCTTTTGCCAAACAGTTTTGTACATTTGTCAGGCTATTTTCTTAGATAATGTATTTCTAGAAGTGGAGTTTGTGCTTCAAAGACTAGGCACATGATTTGATCCTTTCACACTGTGTCCATGCGTTAAAATACCATGCTGTACCCCACAGATACAGACAGGTGTTGTGTGTGTGTGCTGGTGTAGAATTTAGAGACCATGCATGTATGCTCAGGGTTGTAATGGCTCCCACTCCACATGTCCAAGTGTCTCCCCACCCCCCAGCTGTCCTCCTCTCTAGAGATTCTGCCTTGGACTGGAGGGCAGTGACAGACAGTAGCCCTGTCCCTGTCCCCAAGAAGCCTTTTCTGGAGGAAGCAGGAAGTTACCACCCCCTGAGGCCTGGCCTTACCTCAGCAGAGCTCTGGGAAAACAGCCCAGGTCAGACTGCTTAGAGCTTAACTGTGGGAGTAGCCCAGGTGATCCTACGGCTGGAGCTAGAGCTTTCTAATTCCTCTTTCAGTGTTATTTAAGATGCCATTTGCCTAGAGTGAAATACACATGAAGTATAAGACAGTATGAAAATATTTTCATTGATGTGGATACCCTTAATGTTTAGTGTGTGCATATTAAGTAGCTTTCTGCACACGAGTCGTTTTTTAAAGTAACTGAATGGAGCATATTTAACTCGTCCCTCCTGTTGGAGAAGTCTCCAGAGGCCTGGCTATGGTAAGCTAATGACTTCAGAGAACTTGGAGTCAGGCCCGCCCCTGCCGTAAGTCTGGGCAAAGTGCAGAGACTGTCAAGGCTGTTTGTTCTAGGGTGCTTAGTGGACTTTGTTAGGAGGTGTGGAGTGTGACCCACAGGAATGTTTGCAGCTCTGCTGTTACTATTAACAGTTCCGTCCTGCTCTCATGGACTTTGCCATTTTGACCACACTTCAGCTTTTGAATTCCTTCTTCTCTAAGTTGTCCACTTGGTTCTTCACAAAAGAATGTAAATCTTCCTGAGGATCGCGGCTGCTTTCAGCTGTCCGTGGCCTGACAGCTGGTTGTCACCTGTAGGTTTGACGAGAAGAGGGCGGTGCAACAGCTGAGAGCGTGTGGGGTCCTGGAAACCATCCGGATCAGTGCAGCAGGGTTCCCCTCACGGTGAGCCTGGCATTCTTCCAGCGTAAGGCGGTGTCCTAAGAGGCAGACTCCAGTTCTTTAAGACAATGCGATTTTCTTTTTATAGATGGACTTACCAGGAATTTTTCAGCCGCTACCGTGTCTTGATGAAGCAAAAAGATGTGCTGGGTGATCGGAAGCAAACATGCAAGAATGTATTAGAGAAACTGATTCTGGTGAGAAAGATTTTCATTTCTTTTATATGAACAGATATAGTTTTGACCTGCGAAAGCCCCACAGACTTGCATTTAACTTATCACTAACCCAGATGACTTGAGGGTGGCTGAGTGGAGAGGCTCACTGTGTTCAAGTGCTGGGACCAGTGAGGGAGCAGCAGAGTCAGGCCTGCACCCAGACTTGAGACTCATACGTTACTCACTACACGTGCAAGGTGGCAGGCCGGAGAACATGGGACCAAGAAGAAATAAGTACACACAGTGTACCTGGGCAAGTAATGTGTGTGAAAGAGAAGCACCTGAGTGTTCATGTCGAATGGTGAGTGAGCAAGACAGGAGCCAGAGCAAGTCAGAGCCACATCCACCTAGAGGAGGTGGAACAACTTCATGGGGGATATGTTTTGAGTCAGGCCTTGAAGAATGGTTGAGGGTATAGAAAAGTGGAAGGAAAATATGCTAAGAAGACCAGGGTGTGAAGAAGTAGGAAAGCACAAGATTTGCTCTAAAAAATAAAACACAGTAAAGTCACTTTTTGCAGTGTAAGATGTGCTCAAGAGAGTAGAGAAGTGCTTAGGAAGGACAGGTGGGTGCTGTAGCCATGCTCTCCGGGCTAAAGAGTTCTCACTCTGCCGAGCAGCAGCATTACCCAGAGGCCTTGCCAAGCACAGCTTGCTGAGTTTCTGATACAGCAAGTCTGAGATGGGCCCAGAAACCTGCATTTTTAACAAGAGAGTCACTGATCTTGGTCTTGGAGAGTTTAAGAGTCATAAAGTTTTTTAAAAGTCACTTTTATTTGTTTGACAGCAGTCCAGATAGATTATTTCAATTTGAGGTAGTTAATCAGAATTACCAACTATTGACTAAATACAATTTCTCTCCTATGGAAATACCATTTTTTTTCTTTGAACAATCCAAAGCCTCTTTTTAGAGGTGCTTCACAAAATCTAGTGCTGAGACAGCCCTCCTCTGGGCTTCCCCAGCCCCCAGGCGGGGCTGGAGGAGGCAGGGAGTCTGGGGGCTGAGACAGCCCCACAGCTGAGGCAGGCTGGGCAGGGCGCCACTTCCTGTGCAGGGCCCTTCGTTCATGGCGCTGAACACGCTCAGATGTTTTAGACACGCATGGAAGTCCCTGGTTACCTGGTTTCACCTTCAAAATGGGAGGTATCTGCGTACAGTGAAAAGTAATTTCTTCCAGCTCAGAATTTTAGATCACAGCAGTGATTATTATGCATAATTCCACTCTTCTTTTAATATGAGAACGGTCAATAATTTGCATGCTTCTAGATGAGGCAAATCACCCAAAATAACACGTTTACCTGTGTTAACTGCTCAGCTTTGCTTAGGCTTAAGTCAGTAAACAGTATTTATGATTATATTTATGTGGAAAGAGTTTCATAGGATTTTAAACACATTTATAAATCTTCATTTGTTTTTAGATACTTTGGAAGCCGGAAGATGACTATTTAGAAACTTTTAATGTGAATACCCAGTGGTTTCTGTTTTTGTTTTTTTTTTTTAACTTTTGTTTCCTGTGCGTGTGTTCCTGCCTCCTCCTTCACACTGGTGTTTCTGTCCCTTCAGCTTGCTCATGGAGTCGGGGTCAGTCAGAGGGAGAGTCAGCATCTCCATTTCCTTGAGATGTTTAAAATACAAACAAGCCAATAGTAGCTGCTTTAACTCACAACCAAGTTTGGGGCCTCAGATAATAATTCCAGGTAGAATAATTCTGGAAAATAACTCTTAAACTATGATTTTCCTTAAAATTCCTTCTATATACTCAACTTGCATTTGATCAAAAGTCTGGCTCTATTAGTTAATTGTGATGTAGCCCAAGTTTTAGCAAATAGATTCATCCCCTTACTGATTCTGCTTTTAGATATATTTTTTTCTCTTTCAACTTTCCTTTGTATGGTCTATATCTGATATACAATTTTTTCCTAACATAGGACAAGGACAAATACCAGTTTGGTAAGACAAAGATCTTTTTCCGTGCTGGTCAAGTGGCCTATCTAGAAAAACTGAGGGCAGACAAACTGCGGGCCGCTTGCATCCGGATCCAGAAGACAATCCGAGGGTGGCTGCTAAGGAAGAAGTACCTGCGCATGCAGAGGGCAGCTGTCACCGTGCAGAGATTTGTGCGCGGCTACCAGGCCCGATGGTAGGTCTCCAGGACCAGAGGTAGGGGTGGCCACCCTACTAAGGAGACAGCGTCTCACTCCATCTTAGTTTCAAAGGGTGACAAAATCAATGCACAAGATTGCTGTCAGCTCAAATCCTCAACATTTTAAATTATACTTTTGAAAGAAGCTTGAAGAAGTCATGTGTAAATTAAAATTATCGTGAATATGAGCTACCTAATAATGAGTGCTTTCAGCCGCAATTGACTAAGAAGGCCTAGAAAAGAATTACACTTCTGTGTGATTACATGTTAGAACAGTTTTAATTTAAACTGCAAGTGTAAATGAATGAATGATGAGGAACACATCCTCAAACAAGTTCAGCAAGAAGATGGTACATTAATGATAGATCTTAGAAAGCTGGGGATAAGTAAGTATGGGGCTACTACGTAACCAGGCTTCTGTGTAAAGGGGCAAACGTCCTGGGGTCATGAGCCCTGTCACGGAAAGGACCTTCATAAGCTTTACTCACTTCATTTTTAAATCTGCAGTATGGGACATCTCACTTTTCAGGACTAGGGAAGGGTTAAGTGAAACAATAAATGCAAAGACACCTTAGGAAACTACAAATTGCTACAGTATGAGTAAATGTAAGTGTTAGCATATCAGGTATGTTATTAGAGGAATGCACCAGAGGTGCTGCTTATTATGCACAAGCCCCTGTGACCTTTCCTGTTCTTCTGATCACCGACCTGTGCTCCATCCTCTCTGACCAGCTACGCGAAGTTCCTGCGCAGGACCAAGGCAGCCACTGCCATTCAGAAGAACTGGCGCATGTACGTGGTCCGCAGGCGGTACAGGAGGAGACGAGCTGCCACACTTGTTCTCCAGGCATATTTGCGAGGCCACTTGGCCAGAAGTAGGTATCACAAGGTGAGGCATTAGTCTTGACTGTGTTCATCTCACTAGATTAATCAAGCTCCACATCTGTACGGAGAAGCACAGGAGCTGCTGTGGAGGTAAGAGCTGGAGAGAGAACCAACAATTGAAGAGTATTTTAAATATTTAGTAGTTATACATATACATGTATGTATATATTTACTTTGGTACCGGGGCTTGAACTTGGGTCCTTGTGCTTGTGAGGCAGGTACCAGAACCACTGAGCTAAATCCCCAGCCCAGTAATTATATTTTTTAACAAGACAATGGAAAAAGAATTTACTTTCTTTTCTCTCTCTTGTCAGTGTCATTTGAAAAAATAGGTGACAGACACGGTGGCATACACCTGTAATCCCAGCACTGGGGAGGCTGAGGCAGGAGGATTGTCACAAGTTCGAGGCCAGCCAGGGCTACATAGTGAGTTCAAGGCCAGCCTGAACTACGCAGCAAGACCGTACCTCAAAAAAAGAAAAATAAGTGAATGTGTAATTTAAAAAACTCCAATTTAAAACTACAGAAACTTATCTCCCACTTTTCTGGAGGCAGAAGTCCAAAGTCTTTATCCTAGGCCTGCTCTGAGGTGTCAGCAGGGCTGCACTTCTTACAGATGCTGTGAGGACCTGTTCTGGCAGTAGTGGCTGCCAGCGTGTCCTGTCCTTGTGGCCATGTCACTGCGGTGTCTGCTCTGCCTCTGCGTCTGTGTTGTTTGAGAGCAAACCCAAGGCCGTCTGCCCATCTCAGGGCCTCGCACCCAGCTGCACCTGTAAATCCCCTTTTCCAAATCAGTTTACGCCCACAGGCTCCAGGAAATAGGACCTGGTATTTTTGGGGCCCGTTATTCAGATAACTACAGAGAGGTAAAATATATGAGAGATGGATAGAAGAGTAACGCAAGGTAAGCCAACCTTGGGGGAGTTTACCCTGGTGCAGAGGAATGAAACTGTAGCGTTGGTGTGGTTGCAGTTGTATTCAGTGAGGTCCACACACGTAATCCCAGCACTCAAGAGGCTGAGGCAGGGGGGTGACAACTTCAAAGTCAGCCAGGCTATCCAGGGAGTTCCAGGCAAGACCTTGTTTTACAAGAAAAGAAATTGACCAGAGGGTGAGGCTTCCGAAGTTTTAACAGATAATCTTCATAGCTGGTTATAATCAACAGGACTCCGTAAGTAACCTGTCATCACCTGTGACGGTTGATAAAGGACCTGATCTCTTTCATCTTGGCAATGCTTTGAGCCCATCCTGTAAGTCCGTTCCTAATAAGCTGGAAGCACAATCTGGGTATTAGGCTCAGCAGGCCTGTCTGTGAGAAGGCACAGAGATAGGTGGTCGGGTGGGTTTCTAGTCACAGGTGATATATCGGTGTGATGCCGGCCTTATTCCTTCATTCATTCATTTTACTTTATATTTTGAAGTGATTTTAGACCATAAAAATGTGCATGTCTGAGACCTGAGTGAGCATACTTAATAGCTGTGGTTGAAGGAAATTTGAAGACAGCTGCTCCATGTGCTTCAGAGGTTCCTCTCTGCACAAGCACAAGGTTTCCGGGGTGTGGAGAGCTTCGTACTTGGCTTCTCAGACCCCCAAACTGCTTTCCTTGTCTCCCTCCATGCGCTGTCTCGCTCACTCCGGAACAACTGAGCTAAGCTGGGCTGTGAGGTGAGGCGTGGCCGGGCACGATGGGGTGGGGGTGAGAGGCTGCTTACACACAGGCAGCAGCCCCGTCCAGATGTGCTTGAGGCCACAGTCTGATTCCTCTGACTCCCCGGTGGAAGTGGGCTGAAGATGCAGCTGAGTCCTGTTTCCATTGGACATTAGGGAAATGAACCGGCATCTGAGGTTTCCAGGGGACAAAGGGACAAGGAGAGGGAACAGGAAAGCTGGCACCCATCACTTCACCATGTGTGGCTTTAGTTTTCTATGCTGAAGGCCTTCAGTTTGCCAGCTCTGAGCCCTGTGCAGAGGCTCCTCAGTCATGGGCAGGCCAAGGGCCTCCCTGGGAAGGTTGGGAAGCGCAGGGAGCTCAGGAGGCGGAGGCCGGGGCAGGTGGCCTGGTGAGAGGCTGAGGCTGGAGGGACAGCTCAGGCTAGCCAGGGGCTCTGCAGGGCTGCTGCACCGCGCCTGCTTCAGCACCGATGCTTTCAAACGCAACCATGCATTTAAGTGGCCCTTCTAGGATGGCAGCTCTTCTCATTGCTTTTCTCTGGTACATAACCTAAAAGCAGGAACTGTTCTTTTAATGACCTAATTAAACTGCTGTCCACTTGAAGAGATGGGTTCAGAGAGTTTTCATTTTAGAAGTTTGGAAAGACATACATGTGTCTGTAATAATCACAGACAAGCACCCAGTTGTCTAACCTTTAAATGTCATTTATCTCATATAGGAGTTCTTCATAAAATTGTGACCTGCAGGACCTGAAGGTTTCTCTAGTTTAACCTTTCTTAAAACTCGAGAATTTCTTCATCTTTGCTAGAAAATAGTTTTTGCTTAATGGTCTTTAGTGACAAGAAGTTTATCTTGTAAGGCAATACTTTTTGTACCAAAGCTTATGTAAATTTAAGAAAACATCGTGACTTTTTAGAAAATATAAAATATCAAATGTTAGTTTATTTCATATCTCCTTACTTTTAGCTTTTCTTTTAAAGCCCACCTCTCTTATCTTTGAGTCCCGTAAGTGGATTCTTGTGGCATTTGAAACAGCAGTGAAGCTGGATGTGGTGCCATACACCTCTAATTCCAGCACTCTGGGAGGCTGAGGCAGCAGGGTCACAAGTTCAAGCCCAGCGTGGGCAACTCAGTGACTTAGCAGGACCCTGTCTCATAGTGGAAAAAGCCTGGGATGTAGATCAGTGCAAAGGCCCTGGGATCCATCCCCAGTACTACAGAGCAGAGGGAGGAGAAGGGGGAGGAAATGGGGAATTATGCTAGAGTGATGTTTCTTCATATAGCAAACAAGAGTGTCGTCTTTTTGTTTCTGAGGGGATATCAGTGAATAAGTAACAAACTTTTAGTGCCGAGAGTTGGCCTGCCAAGCCTCAGCCCATGTCCTGAGGCACAGGTGAGGTGGTACCCATACTGAGGGTGGTACAGGGCTCTCTTACTGGAATAGTATAGAGCTGTTTCTAGCATGCCTGGTTCTGTCCATTTTCTACAGAAGTCATACACCAATAAGAAACCTTATGTATTTTTCTTTGTTTTTAGAATTCTTTTCCTTTGGTAACCTGGTGTCTTGTATTTATAGACAGCTACCATGTGTGTGTTCTGCTTATAATCATACATACACTGTGATTGTGACCCACATTTTATGTTCTTCAATCACCTTCTAAAGCCTACTTTTCAAATCACTTTAAAATAATGTTCTGCTTCCATATTTCTGTGGTGTGTATAATCCCACTAGTACTCTGTTAATTCAGGTTTTGTTCCTTCCCTTCGGTAACCTCTGTTTTCTCACTGACCCAGGTCGATAGAGATGAGCCTTGTTACTCCACGGTCTGACCCTGTCTGCCCTCACCCTTCTCTGCAGATGCTCCGGGAGCACAAGGCCATCATCATTCAGAAGTGGGTCCGGGGCTGGCTGGCTCGCACCCGCTACCAGCAATGCCTACATGCCATCATCTACCTTCAGTGCTGCTTCCGACGGATGATGGCCAAGCGTGAGCTGAAGAAGCTCAAAATTGAGGCTCGCTCTGTGGAACGCTATAAGAAGCTGCACATTGGCATGGAAAACAAGATTATGCAGCTGCAGCGAAAAGTCGATGAACAGGTATGTTGGCAAAAGAAGCCCAGAAGTGGAGTGTGCCTGCAGAAGCCCACTGGGATTATTTCCAATATTGCTTTCCCCCTCAGTCTTAGGTAAAAGTAAAACAGTGACAGACACAAGCACAGAAATGGTGATGCACTCAGAGGTTGGACTGCATCTGCAAGGACCAAGGCAGGAATTTATCTTTTAAAACATTTTAACCCTGACCCAAGCCACTCCGGAATTTTATGACCAAGAGTCATCTTGTACTTTGTAATTTACAGGGTTCTTTCACTGTTATTATTTGTTTGCCTGCAGTGTGATATTCTTCTTTCAGATGAGTTGTTTAGCATTGAAGTAGCAAAGGAAGCAGGAGGGTTCCCATCCTCCTGAGGAATGTGCAATCTATTTGTAGAGATAAAAATTTGGCTATTTACCAGTACTTACTAAGTGATATTTTAGCACATGTATAAGTGATATAAAGGTAATTATATAAATGGTAAATATAGCAAAGAAAATGGAGCAGAGTGAAATAGGATTTAGCAGGTTTTCTGAATGAGATGAAAGGAATGTTGACTTAGTAAACAAATTTGTAAGAAACTTGTGATTTTTGTTCATTTTATCATTCTTGTACATCATTTGGCTAGTACATGGCTTTTAGTAGCACTGCAGTATATTTTCAAAAGCAAAGACATATACCCCTTTTCCTGGGCTAGAATCAGGAAATCAAGATTTTTCTGTGTAACTTATGGTTATGAGAAAATCACATCTGTGTCGCATACCATGTTAAACACAGCTGTGTGGCACTGCTCTGTGTCTGTGTGACTAAGGAGTCAGTGGCTGCATACTGTGATGTACAGCAGGTAGGACAGTCGCCCCACTCCCATCTGCTCCCTGTGCAGAGCAGTGCACCATCACCTGGCCCTTCTGTGCAGCTCAGAGTTGGTCTAGTACAAGGTGTAGTGCAGATCTTTCAGTGTTACAAATTCGGTGAGATACTGCGACAGCACTGATAACGTGGCACAGATCTGGTTTATAGGCTTGGTTTTCTCACCAAAACACTGATTATTCATATTTCCAATTGTTGTAGGTTTTTGGGGGGGGTACTGGGGATTGAACTCAGGACTTCCCATTTGCAAGGCAGGTGGTGGAACCACTGAGCTAAATCCCTGGCCCTGATTATTCATATTGTAACTGTATTTGCTTATCATTGCTTATGTGTGTGTTTAAAGAATAAAGACTACAAATGCCTCATGGAGAAACTGACTAGTCTAGAAGGAGCATACAACTCTGAGACAGAGAAACTGCGAAGTGACTTAGAACGTCTCCAGTTAAGCGAGGAAGAAGCCAAGGTTGCCACTGGCCGGGTTCTTAGTCTGCAGGAAGAGCTTGCCAAGCTCCGGAAGGACCTGGAGCAAACTCGGTCAGAGAAAAAGGCCATCGAAGAACGGGCAGATAGATACAAACAAGAAACCGAGCAGGTAGGAACTGACGTCCATACCTGTCTACTTACAGAGTCCCACCGTGTCATCTTGACTGTCCATGTGGCTTGACATTAGCATGAATTGAGCTTGGTTTACGGTTCATAGTGGATTTCCCAAGCATTGCTCCCACATGATCAGTGAGTGGACTGTAGGTCTTACTGTAGAATCTGTTGACTGTGGTTAGAACAGAGGCAAAGGACTATTTTAAATATAAAAGTACCCAGGAATGATGTTGCATGCCTGGAATCCAGCATTCTAGGAGCTGGAGGCAGGAGGATTGCAAGTTCGAACCTAGCTTGGGTAACTTAATCAACTTAGTAAAACCCAGGATCAAACAGTTTTTAAAAAGGGCTGGAGAGACAGCTTTGCGAAGGCCCTGGGCTCAACCTCCAGTGCTCCTGCCCCACATACGCGCAGCAGTGAGAGCCAGATACCTTTTCTCTTCATCTGTTCTCTGTTGTTTTAACCAGATTCCCAAGTCGGGCAGTTCACAGACAGAGTGCAGTTAGCCCAGTTCTGGAGCCCGCATTATGGCTGTGGGGAAGCCCAAGTGGGAGGGTCGCTCTAGTGGTGGCAGCCAGGAGCTGCTGTGCAGAAGGACCCCGAAAGCTCACCGACTGATGATCACTTCCTGGCTGCAAACTTCTCTGTCGAAGCTTTATGAAGTACAGAAAACAGTTTCTCAAGTAGTAATGAGATATACTACCTGAACATTCCTAAAAGTGCTTCAGCAGAAGGCTTCCTGGAAGATAGTGATTGATTTGCGTCTGTGGAGATCGCCATCCTAAGTGAACAGAGCTGGCCATGTCAGCCATCACTGCTGGAGGGCACCTGTTGCTTCTGTGGTGTAAGCAATGAGTGCTGCAGCAGGACGCAGCACAGCTGCCGCCCTCCATATGTTTGGGACAGTGTGGAGTGCCCCTTCGGGCCTCGAGCAGGCCTGGACTCCGGGTGTGGAAACACTGTGCTGCTCAGTGGTGCTGTTTTGACATGCGTACTTGTCCCGAAGCTGCAGTGTGCTCTCTGAGGGGTGCCCTGGGGTGTTTAGGGTCTTTTGCTCTTCTGTGCCTCCACACTCCCTGGGAGCTTGCGGCAGCCTTGGCTCTGCAGAGTGCTGCAGCCTGGTGGGGCCCTTGCCCCTTCCTCTTCAGAACCAGCATCCTGCCTCTCCAGTCTGGTAGGGTAGTAGGCATGAGCAGACTGACTCCTCCTTTCCTTCATCCCTCATCTCTGCTTTCCAGAGGGATAGCTGTCGGCCACTACCTTAGCTCTCTTGGTGGAGCATTGTGATGTGGCAGGGTGTGGACACTCCACTATGGCCGCCGGCGTCACGGCTGGAAAGTGACGTGAGGTCCAGAAGTTACACTGAGCTGGTGTGTAGCAGAATCTGCTGGCGAGCTTTTACAAACCCACTTACCCAGCCTCTGGCTGAGTGCCCCAGGTGATGGCTGCACACCCTGGCAGTGCTGGCAGGTGCCCAGGCCGCGGTGGACTGACTGCTGTGATATGGTGCACTTACCTGTTCCTGCGGTGACAGCTGATGAGAGCTCTGCCTGCCACCTTTCTCTTCATTAGCAGCTCTCGTTTAGAGAGTTCTGGAACTTAGGCCGAGAGAAAGGAATTCACATTTCACTCATCAAAGCACACATTTTATTCCAAAGATGAACTAAGTAAATTATGTACTTTGCAGCGTTACCTTTGGCTTCTGTTTTTGCTTCCTGGGAACCCTAATCCAGTCAGAAATAAGAAAGTTAAGGGTAGGTGCTTTTTTGTTTTAATTGTGGTGAAATATATGTAGCATAAAATTTACCATTTTCGCCATAACTAAGGCTGTAGTTGTGTGGTACTAAGTGCATTGACATTGCATAAAGACAGTGCTTATTTATTTATTTACTTTTACATTTTTTAATTTATATATTAATTGGTACATTTTAGGTATACAATATGTTTACCTTTATCATTGGGTGCTTGTACCTGTACATCTTGTATCTTGGTTCTTATTTCTTCCCCATTACCTGTGCACCCTTCACCCCCTCCACCCTTCCCTATTTACATAGACTTTGTTTCCATTTTTTTTTTCTTTTCTCATAATTTTTCCTTTCCTTTCTTTCCTTTCCCCTTCCCCTCCGACCACCCCTACACCTTTGGACCTTGTCCTATTTCAAATTATCAATTATTCATTTTAATCATTTTCATCCTTATTTACACTTTCAGTATCTCACACTAGAGAAACCATTCGGTATTTACATGTGTGTCATTTATTTCACTTAAGAGTATGGCCTCGATATGCATCCATTTAGCTGTAAATGTCTCTAGTTTCTCGTTCTTTATGGCTGAGTAGTACTCCATTTTATAAAAAAAACCATGCCTTCTTTATCCAGTTTCCAGTTGATGGGCACTTGGGCTGTTTCCAAGCTTTAGCTGTTACAAACTGTGCCGCTATAAACATGGGTGCTCATATATCGCTGTGGTATGATTCTTGTAATTCTTTGGGGAAGATCCCCAGCAGGGAAATAGCTGGGACAAATGGGACCTCTAACCCTAGTTCTTTGAGGTATCTCCATACTGATTTCCACAGTGGTTGCACCAGTCTGCACTCCCACGAACAATGGAGAAGGGTTCCTTTCTCCCCACACCCCCACCAGTGTTTATTATTTGTTGATTTCTTGATAGCAGCCATTCTTTCTGGGGTGAGGTGGAATTGCATTGTTGTTTTCATCTGCATCTCGAATGACCAGTGATGTTGAACATTTTTTCATATATTTATTTGGTGCTTCTTTGTTTGAGAAATGTCTGTTCATTTCGGATGCCCATTTTTGAATTGAGTCTTTGAATTTGGGGATCGAACTCGGGTCCTTGCACTTGCACAGCAGGCGGCGAAACCACTGAGCTAAATCCCCGGCCCTTTTTCAATTTTTTATATATTCTCGATAGTAGACCTTTGTCTGAGGTACAGCTGATAAAAATTTCTTCCCACATTGTAGGTTGTCGCTTAGCTCTGTTGGTAGTTTCTCTTGCAGTGCAGAAGCTTTTTAATACGATGAGATCCCAATTGTTGATTCTTTGTGCTAGCTCCCGTGCTACTGAAGGTTTATTCGTAAAATCTTTTCCTATGCCAGTGTCATTAAGAGTTCTACCTAACTTATCTTCCAGCAAGTTTAGTATTTCTGTCTTAATATTTAGATCTTTAATCCACTTCGATCTTAGTTTAGTGCATGGTGAAAGGTATGCAGTTGTAATCTTTGGCAGGTTGAAATCCAGTTTTTCCAACACCATTTATTAAGTAAGCTATCTTTCCTCCAATGAGGGTGGTTGGCTCCTTTGTCAAAAATGAGGTGACTGAGTATGTCTGGAGTTGTTTCTGCATCTTCTAATCTATTCCACTGATCCTCGGGTCTGTTTCTTTGCCAGTATCATGCTGTTTTTATCACAGTAGCTTTGTAGTATAGTTTCAGGTTGGGGACTGTGACACCCCCAGCCATGTCTCTGTTGCCTAGAATCGCTTTTGCTATTCTAGGTTTCTTCTGCTTCCGAATGAATTTTTGGATTGTTTTCTCTAGTTCTGTGAAGTATATTGTTGGAATTTCAGTCGGCATTGCGTTAAATCTATATAGTAATTTTGGAAGTGTGGCCATTTTCACTATATTGGTTCTTCCTACCCAGGAACAAGGGATGTCTTTCCATTTTCTTGCATCCTCTTCGATCTCTTTTTTTCAGAGTGCTGTAGTTTTCAGTGTAGAGGTCTTTTGCTTCCTTTGTTAGGTTGATTCCTAGATATTTCACTTTTTTGGATGCTATTGTAAAAGGAATTATTTCCCGAATTTCTCTCTCAATGGGTCTGCTATTTGCATATAAGAAGGCTATTGTTTTTTGAGTGTTGACTTTGTATCCAGCTACTCTAGTGAATCTGTCAATTAGATCTAGAAGACTTTTGACTGAGTTTTTTGGGTCTTCTATGTAGAGTATCATATCAGCAAATAATGACAGTTTCACTTCTTACTTTCCTATCTTTATTCCTTTTATTTCTTTCTCTTTTCTAATTGCTGTGGCTAATGGTTCCAGAACAATAGGACAATGCTTATTTAAACACAGAATAAAGGAACTCACACTTGCAAGGCAGATGAAAAGGAAATTTTCTCTTTTTCAAGCGAAATACCAGAGAGCATCAGAAGATCTTTAGTGAGCTTCCCAAACTAAAAGCCCCCTTAGCCTCCTTAGCCCCCTGACCTCTTCTCTTGAATTGTGGGTAATGTGGACTTTATGTTACGGAGGGGAGAAGGTGATACCACTGCTTCAAGAAGAAGCTTTTACTAGGTACCAGGCAGTTGCTCAGTGTTCAGAGTGTAAAGGAAAACTACCACCATTACCATGCTTGTCTTCCAGGAACTTCTGGTCCATTCAGGCAGGGGGAAAATCATTTACGGGGCTGTAAAGGGGATTAGACAGGGCCTGGTAGCAGCCCAGAGACAGGATGTGAGATAACAAGGTTCTGGGAAGCGCTCGAGTGGGAGGTGAGGATTGACACCGCACGGTCGGTACACTGGGCGTTCAGGCTTCCTCTGTCTACTGTGGCCTTCTCAGTCTGTCCTTCATTTTGTAGCTGGTATCAAATCTGAAGGAAGAAAACACCTTGCTGAAGCAGGAAAAAGACTCCCTCAATCACCTTATCATGGAGCAGGCTAAGGAGATGACAGGTAAGACTCGTGTGGGCCCAGCGAATTACACCCCAGCAAAGTTTTATAAGTCACACCAGTATTTTTGCAGTTACAGAATTGCTTAGAGCGTGGCTTTTTAAAATGTTGAGGCTATAAACAGTAAACTTTTTAAGTTACAACCAAGTGTGGTGGCACATGCCTATGATCCCAGCACTCTGGGAGGCCGAGGCAAGAGGATCAGGTTTGAGCCCAGCCTGAACAATTTCAGAGACTTGGCAAGACCCTATCTCAAAATAAAAATTTTCAAAAGGGCTGGGGATGTAGCTCAGTGTGGATGCCTTGGGTTCACTCCTCAGAACCATAAACAAACAAAGTTAAAAGTGGCAAGCGTGTCATACATTTTGGTTGAATTAGCCAGGGAACTTGTACACCAGCCTGGCACCAGCGTGAACTCATCTTCAGTCAGTGTCACATGTAACTTTTGTACAGTTAACTTGTTCTGTGTTGTGATTTACCAGTGTGTCTATAGAATTCCTGTTGATTTAGTATACATTGTGCTAAAACCCTGGTGTACATGTGTATTATTTGTTTATTTTTGATGTTGTTGTTTTGGGGGGTTTTTTTGGTACTGGGGATTGAACTCAGGACCTTGTGCTTGCAAGGCAGGTGCAGTGCCACTCAGCTAAATCCCCGGCTTGTTTATTTTTAAATTGACGGAATTGTACGTCTTTTAACAAGTAAGGTACAATAATTTGTACATATATGCGGTGTGCAGTGATCAAATCAGGTAGCATTTCCATCTTCTCATTGATCATTTCTGTGTGGGGAATCTTCAGGCTCTTCTACTTAGTTTTACAGATATCACAAATTCTTAGACCCTAGTTACCCACTGTGCTGTGACTATTGGAACTAATTCCTCCTGCTAAACTATAATCTGCTGCTGGTTATCTAGCCACTCTCTGTCATCCCTCCACCCCTGCTTTTCCCAGTCTCTAGTGACCACTGACCACTGTTTCATTCTCTTCTCGTATCAGATTGATTTTTTTGTGTGTGTGTGTGGTACCTGGGGTTGAACTCAGGACCTTGCACTTGTGAGGCAGGGGCAGCACCACTGAGCTAAATGCCCGGCTCAAATTGATTTGTTTTTAGCTTCCACAAATAAGGGAAAACATACAGTATTTGTTTTTCTGACCATTGGTTCTTTTTCTTTTTCTTTTTTTTTTTGCTGAAGAGAAATGAATGTTATTATACTCAGGTCATCTAGTTTTTGCTACTATTCTAAGATTAAAAAATTAATTTTTCAAATAGAGAACTCAGTAGACATTTATTCTATTTGCTATTTCTGGGGGTGGATGAGAATGGTGATAATTTACCAGGAATTAACACATATATTAGACATATTAATTTATTAACAGTATCAATAATCGTCTACTAAGCCCTTCTATGTACTGCAGCCTTAGTCCTACTAGTTTATATACTGGCTTTAGCACATTCTTGATAAACTTCCTCTAGATACTCTCTAGTAACTGATTATTTCTGTCTTGGACATTTTTTCTTAGCCTACAGTCACCTGATACCCTTCACAGACCACAGTGGTTCTTAAAGTTCAGTCCCACGAAGAGGAACTGGAAGTCAGTGTGTCTGTTTACACTCCTGCAGGCTGTGGAAGCACCTATTTATGCATGTCTCCTTCTTTCTTCCAGAAACTATGGAGAAGAAGTTAGTGGAAGAAACAAAGCAACTGGAACTCGATCTGAATGATGAAAGGCTGAGGTATCAGAACCTTCTGAATGAGTTCAGTCGCCTGGAAGAACGATACGATGACCTCAAGGAAGAGATGACCCTGATGGTGGTGAGTCCCACATTTTTCCCTTTTCAAAATGAGAAATTCTAAACATATCCAAAAGTAAAGAGAGTAGGAGGATGAACCTCTGTATACTCCACGTACCTATCACCCAGTCCCAAAGTGGAGCGCGCATCCTTGCTTCCTCTTCTGCTCGCACCCGCATCCTGCCCATCCAGCGGACTGTCAACTTTCAGTAAGTCCCAGAGACCATGAAACTTCATGTGTGAGAACTTTAGGAAGAGCAGATACCTGCTGTAAAGATTGAACCATAAGGTAGTACAAAAAGTCAGGACAGTAGGGCTTTGTTTTATATATTGACTATTTCAGTATAAAGCTTGCATATAGACCAGATAGTTATGTAATTAGCTTCCCCACTGGGTTTTATAATTTCCAAGATAAATTCCTTCAGAAAGTGAAGTCCCCTTCTATCTGAAACACATTATCCATCCCAAGGGCTCCTCTACATGTGCCTGTGTAGTCTTTGCACTTGGGAAAGTTCTGCACCTTCCCAGTCCTGCTTACCAGAAAACAGCCCAGCTCTCTCATCCCCACTGTGTGCTGCAGCAGACTGAGTCACTGAGAGCCCTGAAAGGTTCACATCACTGCCCTATGAGTATCAGCTTTAAAGTGACCTAATGGCACAAACGGCCAGAAATGTGCTGAGATACCTCTTACAGAAAGCAAAATAGTTCAGTATCTGTGGGGCAAAGTATTTGCCTCAGATTTGGTTTCCACTTGGACTTCCTTGACAAAATTCTTTAAAATGTGATGCTTAAAAAGTCAAAATAAAAGAGATTATGTGACACAAAAATGTTCTCATCCTTGTGCAGATGAGAAAATCTAGACTAACAGCAGTTAAAAAGCTAATACAAATCCCACATTGGACTGCTCTTTCACACCGCACTAGCCTACCCTGCTTCTGTGTGACAAACAAAGCAGGAGTGGGTCAGCAGCATCCAGTCCGAAGAGCCCTGGCTAAGCCTTGTCTCCCTGGTCCTCTGGGCAGCAGCTGCCCAGTGGACACCTTTCTTCCCTCACACTCTGTCTTCTGTAGCATGCTGTAGAGTCCATTTCCTCTCGTCTAATGTTCACATTCCCCGACTTGCGTTCTAGGGTATTTTTACTTACTCCTTTTACTAAGTAACTATGCCAGCCTTCACAGTGAACTGATGTTTCAGTTAGGATTATAGCTAAGCCTTGCATCCCACTGGGTTTTGGGGTTTTTTTTCCATTAAGTTTATTGGTACGTTTTAGGGGTACAATGCAGTTAACCTTCATCATTGGGACCTTGTACCCTGTACGTGATGTATCTTGGTTCTTATTTTTTTCCCATTCCCTGTGTGCCCTTCACCCCCTCCACCCTTCCCTATTTACAAAGACTTTGTTTCCATTTTTTTCCTTTTCTCATATTTTTTCTTTTCCTTTCTTTCCTTTCCTCTACCCCTTTGGACCTTTCTTCCTGTTTCACAGTATCAATTCCACTGGGTGTTTTTGAGGCCATGCTTCCTTGGAATGTTAAGAAATAGCATTGGAAAAGGAAAATGATTCTGGGATCAGGTGAATTTGTTTATCAACTAATCTAAACAGATTTTCTTCCTACAGAACTTCTTAGATTTCTAAGTGGTGTGCGCCTTGTGAATTATAGAGAATAAACTGAGAGAAGCATGGGCCATGTGTATCCTTCTCTGAGCATATCCTGGGGTGGCTGTGAGGCTGTGGGGCTCTGGAAGTGGCCTTCCTCCCACAGCTGCACAAGGCTGCCCCCCTTGCAGCCCCCATGGGTTCTGGTCCCAGCTGCTCCAAGGGTGGATTAAATGCTTGGTTTCTAATTTCTCAGCCCTTCTTCCTCACTGCTGTGCGCCTGTGACTCACCCTCAGGCATCCTGGATCACAAAAGGGTCAGAGAAAAGGAAAAGCAGAGAAAGGAAGATCAGAGGTTGCTTGCTTCCAGCTCAGCTCTTGTTAGATCGCATTTCCCATCTCCAGATGTAGTCAAGATCACAGTCTTTACAGAGAACCTTTGCCAAGAATTGCAAAGAATTAAAAAAATCTGACTTTATAATATAGAACAACTAACATGTTAATAGCACTTTGTTATTTTAATGTTGAGATAGAACTTTGCAGCTAACACATGGGTACTTGGCTAATATTTTATCCACACTGTTCTACAGTGGCATGCTCAGTGCTGCCGTCTAGAGCCAGCAGTGCATTTTGTGGTAAATGGACTTTCAGAAGAACAGAGGAAACTGTGGAGGGGAATCGATAGACTGCAGGGCTTTCCATAATTTGTGTGATCTCCAGGGTGTGGGTTATCAGGCCCAGTGTAAGAAGGGACGTAGAATTTTACTCCAGAAACATTCAGTTGACCAGGGCTAAAGAGCTAACAATGAAAGTATAGTGAGGCCTGGGAATTCAGATTTGAAAAGTGTCTAAAGATGAATTAATTCCAGACTAAAGAAGGAATCCAGCTTGTCCTCAATGGGATTACTAGTATTAGCAAAGAGAATATATAGGTTCTGGAGAAGGAATTATGAAGAAAAGAACAGGTAAGGAACAGAAGAGGAGCAAGGTGCAGCACTTGAGGGACATGATAATCAAGCATATGTCCTTGTAGTTGAGTAACACGTAACAGGAAAACAGAGCCCTAAAAACTTGGAAAACGGAAGGGTCCCATCAAGGAAGTTGTTGGGTTACTGCACATTCTTAACAAGTACAGCAGTAGCGGTTAACAGTAATGAATGCTTGCTATATGCAAGGCACTCTGCTAAACTCTGCCTGCTCACTCTTTATTTCATCACACATAAGCCCCCCAAGACAGATAATATTATTTCTTCATACTGATGAGATGAGGCCTGGTGATGTTGGGAGAGGGACAGCTTTCTTTTTTGGACCCACCACACTTAAGCACTGCCTGAGGCTCAAAGCTACATTAAATGACAACTAGCAGGGCCAGGCAAGCAGTCAGTAGTACAGCATTTGCCTCACTTGTTCAACACCCTGGTTTCAGTCCAGTGAACCAAAATCAGAAAACAGTGTTCTTCCCTTCATTGTTTAATGATAAATCCACATGGGATAAGTGAGGAATTTACTTTTTTTTCTTGTGTTGGGCATGAAACCCATGACCTTACACATGCTAGGCAAGCATTTTACCCTAGCTGTTATCCCCAGCCCTTAGTCATTTTAAATAAATTTATTAAAAATCACTGTCCTAGTGTTTTGTTTTGTTTTTGGTACCGGGGATCGAACTTGGGACTTTCTGCTTGGAAGGCAGATGGCGAAACCACTGAGCTAAATCCCCGGCTATCCTAGTGTTTGTATGGACCTACCTGTTTTTCTTTTTTTTTTTTCCTGGTACCAGGGATCGAACTCGGGTCCCTGCGCTTGTGAGGCAGGGGGTGGAATCACTGAGCTAAATCCCCGGCCCCCACCTGTTTTTCTTGATGATGCAATCAGGTTTGTTAAATGTTATCCCATACAACTGTAGGCTTTTGCTGGAAAGTTCAAGTAATAAGCACTCTTAAAAGAGTAAATCTGTCTTTGCCTTTATGTTTGGTGATTCTCCCTTCTCTTGCACACTTATGCCTCTGGAGTTTCAGAGATTGGGGGTTTCTTTGAGGGCTCCTTATGCATTAGATACAAGTTGGTCTAGCCTGGGGCTGTAACTGTTTGACTTTACTAGTCCCCCATGAGCTTTCTGAGCATGGATTTCATAGTTATCACATGGCATAGAAGTCTCACCTGGGCCCCCAAATACCCAGGGGTCTGAGGAGAGTCTTAAAACAGCCTCCTTGCCTTGTGCCTGATGCCCATTCTTATTGCTTCCTCCAGACAGTGAGCATAAACCTCATGCATAAGTGTGGCAGAATGTGAACACGCCCCTTTACCATTTATGCCCATTTACCATGCAGTTAGATGATCATACATATCGTTCATTACACTTTCTGAACTTTCTGTTAAGTTTTATTGGATCACAACACGAAAGTCTTTGCATGGACAGTGTGCTGCCCCTGTGTGACTGGCCACTCAAACATTTAAAGACCCAAAGGGAACTTTGCTAATAAGCACAGATAACTTTCCTCTGGGCAGTTTGTTTCATATGTATTCCTGTCCTGCTGCGTGTTCGCCTTTCTGCAGGTCCTGCTCTTTGTACAGAGTTGGTCAGGACAATGTGGAGCAGATCACTTGGGCATCACACACGTCGGTGGGGTTAGAACCGAGACATGGGGGACACTTTGAGTTGTCCCTGGTTGAATTGTGTTGTATTGTTTATACCTGTGTCACTTGCCTTGCAGAATGTGCCTAAGCCTGGACACAAGAGAACAGACTCCACCCACAGCAGCAATGAATCTGAATATACCTTTAGCTCCGAGATCGCAGAAACTGAGGACGTTCCATTGAGGACGGAGGTACATGTTAGACATCTGCCCTAACAAAAGGATGTGATTGTGCTGCTGTTCACAGGGAGCATTGCCAATAAGTGACCTGTCGGTGCTTGGTTAGCTGTACATACATACTTCCTGCACATCATTTGGCCAGTACACGTGGAATTGAGCCAACGGCCTTGCACACGCTAAGCACATGCTTTACCACTGAGCTACCACCGCAGCCCCACATTTTAGTTTTTAATATTTTGATGGAGATAGTTACTTTCAGAATTCCCTTTTACACCTTAACATGTTCACAGAAAATATGGCCTATCAGGAATTATTATTTCAGGCTGAGGTGAATTATTTAAAAAGTAATTTAAACATTTCTTTTGACTGACATTCAGGTGTGTGCCAGTTTTTTTGAAATTACAAAAGTGCTTCAGCAGAGATCTTTTTCCATCTACCTTTGACTGCTTGTATGAGTTTTACTGTGGGATTAATTCCTAAACATAAATTTTCTGGTTAAAGGGTATACATTTAAATTTTAATGAAATAGCTAAGTAGCCCTTTTCAGAGGTTTATTTCTATGTCCACCAATGTCACAGAGTCACTGTCGATAACACAGAACATTAATCTTTTTGGTCTTGGCCAGTCTGATAAGGGAGAAGCGGTGCGTCAGTGCTTAATCTGTACTTCTCCAGTTGGTGGCACAAGTGAGCGTGGTTTTGTATGTGCCCTCTTCTGGTGCTGACATGTCCTCCAGTGTCCCCTGTTTTTCGGTTGCATGGTCCATCCTTTTCTCGCTGGCATGGTCTCCTGGCTTGTCTCGACTCTTGTGATTTCTGGGGTTTAGGAGCCCAGTGAGAAGAAGGTGCCTCTGGACATGTCACTGTTCCTCAAGCTCCAGAAGCGGGTCACAGAGCTGGAGCAGGAGAAGCAGGTGATGCAGGACGAGCTGGACCGCAAGGAGGAGCTGGTGCTGCGCAGCAAGGCGAAGGTGCGCCCCGTCCCGCCCCACATATTGGGGGAGCAGTCCAGGTTAAAGCAGTGAGAGCGAGGCCTTCTTCACTGCTTTTGAAGAACAAGTAACTGTTCTAAGAGTAAAAATGTGACAAAATATAAAGGTTTTGGTTTATTTTTTCCTCAGGAAGAAGAAAGACCACAAATCAGAGGTGCAGAACTGGAGTATGAGTCCCTCAAGGTAATGGGACGTTTCTGCCCAGGACTTTGGATATCTGCTTTTGACAAGAGACCTGTGCAAAACCTGTCTTCCTCAGAGAAGCCCTTAAGATGGGGGTTTCCCCCAGAATCCCCAGCTGAAGTATTCTTCAGCATTACTTCTAGCCTTTGTGGCTTCCTTTCATGAATTCTGTTTCAGTCAGACCAAAGTCTAAGCTTTGGGAACAGGAGAAGTAGCTCCCATTTGAGGCTGCAGTAACGTGGGGTCAAATGCCCCATCTGCTGCCATCGAAATCCGATTGGGTATGGGGGACAGATCAGAGGCTGGGGGTAGAAGCCTGCTGTCCACAGGGACAAGGCAAGGCTTCTCTGTGCTATGATTGAAGGCCAGAGTCACAAAATATTAGGTCAGTGGTTCCCAAAACCTTGTCCCTCAGCCCATGGAATCAGTTTTACCTGGTAGTCTGTAGGAAATGCACATTTCCAGGCCTCATGTGATGAGGCCTGTTGAATCAGAACTTCTGGCAGTGGGGCCCAGCAACCTGAGTGTTGACAAGAGCTCAAGGCTGATTCTGCTGTATGTTGAAGATTGGAAACCTATATCAGCGCTTAGGCCACAAAGTGAAGACATTTATGTGTTTTCTACTACAGAAATGGACAGTGCAAATCTGGTGGGTTTTGGTGGGAGATTGGGAGCAGGAGGGAGTTCTCATCTTCATGAAATAATTGATCAGTTCAGGACAGAAATAGTTACATATTCTTTTTTTTTTTTGATACCGGGGATCAAACTCAGGACTTTGCGCTTGTGAGGCCTGCGTGATGCCACTGAGCTAAATCCCTGGCCCAGTTACGTATTCTTAAACTAGAACAAAAGGAGCCGGGGATTTAGCTCAGTGGTTTCGCCACCTGCCTCACAAGTGCAAGGACCTGAGTTCGATCCCCGGTACCAAAAAAAAAAAAAAGTAGAACAAAAGGATCTTTTAGGAGTTTTGATGTATCTCAAAAGACCTAATATGCTACTGCAAACCCAAGATTGTTTCCCTTGGAAGAAACAACTATATGAGCATCTCACTTCCACTGCCATTGCCTGTGTCATGCTACCTGAGGCACCACGGTGCTTTTCCAAGATGCTCGCATGCCTGTCTGCTTGGCTGTTCCCAGCTGGCGCCTTCCGAAACTGTTTTCGTGTCACTGCCATTCTGTCCTGGTCTCTTGCTGCCACGGTTTGAACAGAGTGTGGAGAGGGCTGGCTGCAGGCACCAGGGGTGTGGTGTGTGACAGTGTCAAGCGGCAAGGGTGCCTGTGTCCCCTGCAGCAACTGGAGGAGGTGGCACCCAGTCTGTCTTCCCAGCCCCAAGGCACTGCCAGCCACCTCCCAAGCACGTCACATAGGAAAGAAGTTAGAGAAATGCATTCCGTGTTGTCAGTGAAACACTAGAGGGAACTTTATCAGTCTAAATGATAAAGTCATTTAAAAAAATTATGTTATGTAAGTTAAAAGCCTAAGATTTCAGTGGTCTTTTCATTCTATTACAAAAGAAATGAGAGGCCACTACTAAAGATCTCAAGGCTTCAACCTCTGAGTCAGTGCTGGACATATCCTGGCTCTGGACACTTGTCCTTGCCGGGTGTTTACCTGCACACAACCCAGTTCCTTAGGACCAGCTAACCCACCCCCGGGAGTCAGCAGTCACTCTGGGCCTGTGAGTGCTCCCTGAGCAGGCTGGAATAAATTTTGACTCTGGAATTTGGGTTGATGATGCAAACTGCCCTTACCTTGCTCAGTTCCACTTGGTGGCAGACGCCCTTCATGTGCAGAGCAGTTCCCAGTACACCTGGGAGCCACTCCCAGGAGCACTTGTTTGTCTTCGTCCCACAGAGCCCTTGCAGGTGGGGAGCTGAGCTTCCCATGGGAAGTAGGGGTGACAGTGGTGGGCCTTTCTTCATTTCCTCATTCAGCGTCAAGAACTGGAGTCAGAAAACAAGAAATTGAAAAATGAGCTGAATGAGTTACGCAAGGCCCTCAGCGAGAAGAGCGCCCCAGAAGTGACTGCTCCAGGCGCACCAGCCTACCGTGTCCTCATGGAGCAGCTGACCTCTGTGAGCGAGGAGCTGGACGTCCGCAAGGAGGAAGTCCTCATCCTGAGATCCCAGCTGGTGAGCCAGAAGGAGGCCGTGCAGCCCAAGGTGAGCACGAGGTGTGGGCTTGGGGATAGGCCTCCACTTCTAACTCATAGGAACATTTTCACTCTGACTAAGGGGTCAGCTCTTTTTCTTTTTGAAATGTTATAATGCTGTCTTAAATGAAGAGGGTGCAGAAGAGCACTCTCCACCTTGGCTGGGCTGCATAGATGTCACCTGCCCAAGGTGGTCGGCTGGGCCTGGAGAAGCAAGGCTGTGCTTGCTTCCTTTGCAGACTGCTAGTAAGAACAGGAGATCAAGGGAGGAGAGGAGGGTGACAGAGAAGGGAATGGGGCTGTGGTCAAAGTATGATACCTGCATGTATGAAAATGCCACAGTGAAACCCAATATTCTGTAAAATTTAACATATATATGCTATGGTATATAGTTATGTTACAAAAAAAAGAATGAAAGATTCCTGCCTCTGGTTCCCATGTGACAAACTGATAGTCTTTCTTCTTTAGTTACAAATAATAATTGTGTATATTTGAGAAGAAACGGCAGTGAAAAGGAAACTGAAGCAAGAAGCATAGCAGTCTAGCTAGCAGGGCACGCAGTCTTGGTGTCACACATGCTCACCCCCAAGTGCCCTCCTGCCCCTAAAGGCCTGGCTCTGTCTAACAGGGTCCCCGCTTGGCCAGCTCCCAGGATACACATGGCATCAATCTTGTCCTCTCTTCAAACAGTGCCCTCAATACTAATGAGACATCTCAGGGCTATTTGTCCCACCCAGTTTCCGGTTTGCAGGGCAGTGCTGAGCAATCTCCAGGGAGCAGCTGGGTCTGGTTTGTCCACTTCACCTCCAGAGCCCAGGGGAGGCTTGGCCTGGACCAGGGTCCTCCTAGTGGGTGGGACTGGAACTTGCACAGCCTAGGACACAAGTTGGCCCAGGTGCATTACCAAGAGAACCATTCTTTGACATACTCACAACTGTCGGAAAACCAAAAAACCAGAGCAATTCAAAAAAGAATTGCAAGTGTGTGTCCCTAAGAAATAAAAACACCATCACAAAAATACAGATTAATGTTCATTATATCCCAGGTTCATGAATGTTAATTTATTTACAGGGTTAGTTTTAGGAAAAACAACTCATGGTTGTTTTTCTAAATTAGCTTTTATCTTGTTACAATGGGGTTCATTGATGGAATTTATTCATGAAACTAAAGATTTGTTGTTTTCATTTGTGCCTGCTAACTTGGGGTTTTCAGGATGACAAGGTAATTATAAAATATTTCAGTTTTTATTAAGTACTTCTCCTTAATCCTTTGGTTTACAGACCCCCTATTTATGCAGCTGATGCTTTCTGACCACCACATCTCATTCGATGTATACAAGCTAATTTCTATTTGACTCCCGTCCTCTTTCAAAGTTGGTGGGAGAACAGTGGAGGTCATGGGTGCCGATCTATATCACAGAGAGTTCTCCTTGGCTCTAGCTCACGTGTCTGTGACTCACTGTGGTAGTTGTGGAGGCCATGTGCAAGGCGGGAGGGGCCCTTCCCTGAGAGAACCTGCCAGGCGCAGGCGCTCCTGGCTCCCCTCTGCCAGCTGAGCTTTGTGGGTCAAGCAAGGGTGAGCAGGAGCTGGGGAGCCGAGTGTCCCCTTTATCATGTCACGTCTCCCTGCGTGCAGGCTCCGTGGCTGGAATGAGAATGCATCCTGATGAGTTGCACGCTCAGACTTCTCTACTACATTGTTTTTGTTTTTTATCTTGGCAGTACTGGAGAGGGAAGCCAGGCCCTTGTGCATGTCAGGCAAGCGCTCTGCCACTGAGCTACATCCCAGGCCTTTTTCATTTGAGACGGGGCCTTGCCAAGTCGCAGAGGCTGGCCTCAAATTTGCAATCCTCCTGCCTCAGCCCACCAAGTAGCTGGTATTGCAGGCATGTACCATGAAGCCTGGCTCTGTTATATCTTGCTACTAGGTGGAAGCTACTGCTGGGATTTCCATATATGCTGCAGGGTTCAGGATTTCAGAACTTCTGGTCTCTGGCTTGGGAGCCAGTGAGTCAGGAATTTCCTAACACTGTGGTCCAAATCCAGTCGCATCTCCATTGTCACATCTTAGCCAAAGTAGGCAAAAACTGTCTACTTATTCCCTAGGACAGCAGTGTGTGAGGAAGCTTACTTTCCCTTCAACTAATTAGATCAAGTTTCCTAGTTTTCCAAAGCTCAAAACCACTCTCTAAACCCTCAGGTATTAGGCAGTTAGCATTATTTGATATAGAAACCTGAGTCTGTGAAAGATGATTTATTTATAAGTCTTAAAATTGACAGTCACCCTTTGTGGAATAGAAAGATAGTTTTTCCTTTCAGGGAAAGAGGAAAAAGAAATTCTCTGAAATATGTACTAAATTTTATAAAGCATAGCTAAAGAAATGTTACATGTGGCATTTGTGAGAAACATTTTTTTAAATCAGTGAAACATAGCTTTTTATTAATTGTCATCAGGCTATATTCGGTCATGTTAAAGGGTGTATTTATAAACTCACAGAAGAATAGCCTTAGGAGAGATGTGGGATTTTTGTTTCTTACACACACTGAGAATCAAAACAAGCATTCATAAGTCTCTAGTTGGCATCAAAGTTATCTTAGAACTGGTCTCTAAGATCACGATACTTGAAGTGTAGACTACGAAATCCATTCCATTGTGAATGTGCCTGCAAAACAAATGCGGGCCAAAGGTTGTGCTTATCTTGTTTAGACAAACAGGATGGGCTGTCGGGTTCTAAGGTGAATTATTCTTTAGAGATTGCCCTGCTGTAAAGAGATAGAAGGTTCCTAAATAGAAGCAAGATTTTGAAACTACATTGATTGTCAGACAAATTAGACCAAAAGGGGAAAAAAAATAAATTAAAATGTTGGCAAAAACTATGTTGACAAATGTTCTTTATCAAATTGTTAGTAATTTTTCCCTGTTTGAAGTTTATCTCAAAAGCTTATATGCCATGCAGTACTGTAGCAGGAGGAAAAAGAAATAGCAACAGATGGTAGATATTAAAAAGAACCTAAATCTTTCTCATTCATATATATTTTAAGGTGTGAAGGGAAATGCTTTTAATTTTACTAAAGCATATAGAAAACTTTTTTTGTACTGTTTTTGATGGAAAAAATGAGCTTTATTTATGTCATCTTTCTGTGTTTAATTGGATGTTTCGTTCTAACTGATTGGAAAATAGTAGGAAGAGCAGTGTTGTATGTTCCATTAAATCATGCCCAGTTTTTTTCCTGATCCTCTGTTTCCGTGTGTGCGTATGATTCTTCACGTGATGTAGACCACAGAGAGCCCATCAGCAGTTGTCGTCACAGGCAGGGTGCTCTGTGCCTTTGTGGTAGAATGAGGGTGTCCTCTGGAGAGGTGCATCATGTGGGCGGAGGGGGTCTCTGATGAGGTGCAGGTGTGGGGAGCACAGGCTCCACCCCACTGGAGGAAAGACGCGTTGCCTGTGGTCCAAGGCCTCTGAGTTGAGTCTCAGTGTGGAAATGTGTTGTTTCTCCTTTCAGAATACAATGACAGACTCCACGATACTTTTGGAAGATGTACAAAAAATGAAAGATAAAGGTGAAATTGCACAAGCATACATTGGTTTGAAAGAAACGAACAGGTGAGTTTACCCTTCTTGTATTCATTTTGATTTAATTGTATTGCTCTTTATTCTTCAAGGCAACCTCTTACACAGGAAGTTGACATGTTTACTCATTGTTGTATTAGGTATCAGCTAATCTTTGGAGAGAATCCAAAGTTTCCAGTGTATTCCCAGTAAAATCCCATTTACAGTAGTAGGGAGTTTCATGGATGAGAAGTGTCAGAGGTAATGTTACTTACAGTAAGGGAAGATATTTTTGTATATTTACGGGCTTAGCCTTGAGGTGCTCCCTTGAGAGGAAGACCCGTTGCTTAATTTGGACTGCTTGGGTAGTCCTTTCCATAGTATGGGTAGTTCTTCAGGACGGTTATTTGAAGGCTTGTAAGGGTATTTGCAGCTTTGAACAGTTGACACTTGTGTGAAGAGAAGTGATGGAGTATGTAGGATTGCATCAGTGCTGGCCTCACAGTTCTAAGGGTGCCATGACTTAGGGTGGGGGAAGAGAGGCTCATGTGCTCTGCCTACTGCCTTCCACTTCCCAACAGAGCCTTAGTGCTAAGCCTCTGAACACAGGGCTGCAGGCTGAACCATTCTGAGAGGGCATAGCAGTGAGGGCCTCAGGGAAACATGATTCTGGGGCTGTTGTCAGAGTGGGGACAGAGTCAGGACTGGCATAAATGCATGAATACTTCACAGCCCGAAGGTGTTCACCATGCAAAAAGTATGACACTTGTTCTCCACTTTTCGGGGCAAGGGTAAGTAATATTCATTCACAAAAGTATTTGGCCAAACTTAAATTTTAATTTATGAATGTAAATTACAAGCATCTCTTCATATCTAGGAATGTGTCGTTATGAAAGAGCTGTATTGCACTCTTCATCCACCCACTGGGCCATGCAGTCATGGGTAGGCTTTGGGTGCCCTCCATCCAGGACCACAGCAGAAACCAGGGTGGATGCAGTCCCACGGGTGACGAGATGCAAAGCCGATAGCTGGGAGGGTTTGCTTCTTATGCCAAAGGTAGCGGCAGCCACTGGGAGGTTTTGAGGAGGAAGGGTGTGACGAGATTTGAATTTTAGGGAACTAGCTAGCCCTGGCTGTTATATTAGCGAATCGGCTATGGCAGAACCAGATTGAAAACACAAAGACCAGAGGCTTTTCCTCTAATCCAGCGACTAGCGAGACACAGGGCACTTGGGAGATGTGTAGAAGGCTGGCACCAGCCTGTGTGGGCGATGAATGGGGACCCATTTCTAGGACCTGAGGAAGCGCAGGAACCCAAGGAGCCAGGAAGACCTCCAAGGACAATTACTGGGCCGTTGAGCCAGAAGAGGTGTGTGGGCCGAGATAAACATTTGTCATCTAAGTATAATAAAACAGTTGAAATCTCGAAAGCAGACGATCTCTCTCAAGAGTCTCAGGAGAGACAGTAGGTAGAAAATAGAAGAGAGGTCCCTCAAACTCGGGCTCTGTAAACAGAGCGAGAGTGAGGCACCAGGATCCGGCTGGCTTCCCGGGCTGCGGCCTCTCGGCCTCCTCAGCCCCCATCTTCTGGAGTGTGGGGAGGCCGATCATGGAGGGCCGGGCCAAGCTTTTAGTTCTAAGCTAACACTTAGAACACACTCAGAAAACGCTGTTTACGAAAACTTGTCTGCTCTGCCACTGCTGTCTGTTAACTACACTACTTTTAATAAAATGTGACATCTCTAATACTAAAGGCAGTTCAAATCTTAAAATTTTAAAATTTTTGACAAAAATTTTAAATCATGTCATAAAAGCTGAGAATTTTGGACGTGTTATTTAAGTTACTTCTATAAGAACTTTTAAAATGAGAAGTCAGACCTTAGTAAGCTAAAGAGTTCCTACTTAGAAGACTTAGAAGATTTCCGTGTGGAAATCCGTGGTGACGACTGGCAGACAAAGACCGCAGCTGGGGTCCTCACTCACTGCGTGGTTGCTCTTAGCTGGGGCTGGTTCTGCTGTAGAGGGTCACAGAGTCTCCTGCTTTTCAGTCATTTCTCATCCTTTCTGGAAAAGGCACTCTAGACTCTTCAGTATTTTGCTCTAATGTCTACTCATTTACATACCCGTTTTAAACAAGTATCCAAAAATGATTTCCTTGGTACTGGCTTAGCCATATGTAATTAATAGGAAGAACTGCGTTCACTTCTTTCGATACTGAACACCACATGCTGCTCTTGTCCGTCACTGTCTCACCACCACCCCGTGTCCCTTGTGTTTGTGTTGTTTTTCCTTTTGCATGGAGACCATCTGCTCTGGATTGCCGTGAGTTGAATGAGGACGGAGAGCTGTGGCTGGTTTACGAAGGGTTGAAACAAGCCAACAGGTTATATTTGTCTCGTCAAAATGAAACATTATTCGTGTGCTGTTTTCCTTACTAACAGTGGTCTTGTGACTTTAACTCCTGATTCTTGTGCATTAATTATCTTCCTAGGTAAATTACTTTCAGTAAAACTTAGAACATGCAGCCAAACACCTTCTTAGAACCTTCTCCACTAACAGATGCCATTAAGGCCAGACTGATAAATGGTGAATACCAAGTTACTTCCCTAAGAAATGGTGCTGTCTAGGGTTTGTGAATATCTAAACATTGTGAGTATATCTCCAGAAGTTGGTAGGAAAACAGACCCTTTCACTAGCACACAGATTACTGAGATGAGGGACTAAGAGTCGTTCCTTAGCATATGCTCCTTTGCCCTATTGCTCCGTGGGGTACGCGTGCTGATGGCAGTGTGGCCTCTTTCCTACACATTGTGCTGCCTCAGAGCGGTGTTGCACACATGGTGTGGCCTTCTGTGTAGTCATCACAAAATTCAGATCTGAGAAGCAATGAACCCAGGTTTCTCGTGTATTTATGGTGCAGGAAACCACTCACACTCCACACAGTGCATATGTTTAAGGGGAGAGAACAGAATTGAACAGCAGCCTCTTTCTAACCAGGTACTCATCTGCTTGTGATATTTGTGTCTTAAAACTCTATTTTAGTGTCTAAAATGTAAAAACTACTTAATGTACTATTTCTTCTTGCTTATTCTGCTTTGTTTTAACAACAGAACACTGTCATTAACTTTGCAGCATTATTGGCTCAAACTCTTTTTGTGTAATCATTAGAATCTGCTGTTAACAGTTTGCTTGTATCAATAAGTTTTACCCAGCAGTTGGCAACCAAGGCAATTAGAATAAAAGAATGATTTTCGTTCTTCATGTTGGTTAGTTCCTAGCCATAGCTTTGTCAGCATCTGGAAAAGGAGTGAGTGTAAGAGCGGGTGCACAGTGACAGAGGCCTCACTGAGCCTGGGGTCCTCACTGCTGGTGCCCTGGGCTACTCAGGCACAGCTGGCCACTGCTTGCTCCAAGAGGCGGGGCCACTTGTCCTGTTATTCTTTCCTAAGCCGTATCTTGTTAGGATTCTGTTACTGAAGTGTCAGTTTGTGGGGAGAGAGAATGTGACAGATTATATATATGAAATTAAAGAACTGTCTGGACTTAGGTAAATTCATGTACATTTCCTTGTAGCACTCCAGCTTTTCTGTCCTTCAGAGATAAGAGTAGAATATAAAAATGAGACCTTAATTTCACCCTCTCCCAGTAATTAGTAACCATCCTCCTTGAAGACAGATTTCATTAAATTGGGAGTTGATGGTCTTGCTCTTTATGGTGCAGTTATTTTGTGGCAGTGTTACTGTCCTTGCCAACTTAAATGCTAGTTTGTAAATACAGCAGGCCAGACCAAAGTTATGTCTTTGAAATTTTAAAGTCATCATTTCCTACAAACATGGAATGAAACCTTTATGTTTCTTGGAGACCTCAGAACTTCATACCCTTTAGACAGATGCAGGTGCAAGAGTCTTTGTTTGCATCTCTGGCCCCTATTGAGTTTCTTGACTTTGATCAAGTCAGAAGAGGCAGGAGCACGGCTCAAGAGGGTTTGCTTTTCCTACTCTAGCAAGGGAGCATGAGGCCTGGCACCCACTAGGCAGAGACTTGGGCCCCCCCGCCCCCTTCTTACTGGTGTGCTCCCTGCAGGCTCCTGGAGTCCCAGCTGCAGTCACAGAAGAGGAGCCACGAGAATGAGGCTGAGGCCCTGCGTGGGGAGATCCAGAGCCTCAAGGAGGAGAGTAACCGGCAGCAGCAGCTGCTGGCCCAGAACCTGCAGCTGCCCCCAGAGGCCCGAATCGAGGCCAGCCTGCAGCATGAGATCACCCGGCTGACCAACGAGAACCTGGTGAGGAGAGCGCAGCCCCAGCCAGGCTCCTGCTTCTTGGTGGTTGGTGCCCTGCTCCATGCTTTGTGGCCCTACTCTCACTGAGACAGGAAGGAGTATGAATAGTGATGCATGGTCTGAGTGCTCTCTGCTGGAGTGGAGGGGCTGCAGAGATCCCCAACCCCATGCAGGACTCCCAGAGGCTCCAGACCCAGGCCACCCGCTCCCTTCATCAGCTGCACAGGCTCTGCCTTCTCAGTAGGCTTCTTACCTGATTGTCACAACAGAGACCAGGGACAGCTGTGTTTACCTTTGGCCCCTATGCAGCCACCAAAGCCACACCAGCCTCCCCCTCCTAGACAGTGGGCTTGGCGTTGAGGTTGGCAAACCGACCAGGAGCTTCGGTTGACTGAGATGGACTGCTAGGACAAGGGCTGCACACTTTTATTTATCTGGGCAGAACTTAGACCATAGATGAGAATTTTTTTCCCCCTTGCAGATTCTGAACACTGGTATGGAGTCTAAGGTTTTTCTTCTCCTTTTTTTTTTTTTGTTTTTTTAACTGAAATTTTTTCTGAGCTCTTTCTCAGTCACATAATAGCTTTTATTTCAGATTTGTAGTTTTAAAAATCTTTTTAAGTTTGACAGATATATTTATTGCATTAAAAATCATTGAAACATTATAAGTCTACATGTCTTATAAGTTCTATAATGTAAGGCCAGGGATTTAGCTCGGTGGTTCCGCTGCCTGCCTTGCAAGCGCAAGGACCCGAGTTCGATCCCCGGTACCAAAAAAAAAAAAAAAGATCTATAATGTAGAGACAGCCTGATTTTGAGAAAAGTTGTTTGGTACTATTGGTGATTTATGTGTTTTTTTAAAATTAAGGTTCTTAATATATTTGGAATTTTTCTGAAAATTTAACAGTCAGAATCACCCCTCCATTACTCCATTAATGATCACTGACACACTGATACACGAGTAGTTTGCTTGGGTCATTCATTTGGCCACACTTCCTGTGGATTAGAAGCAAAGCTCATAGGTGTTCCTTTCACCGTCCGTCTTCCTATAGGGGCTCCAGGCTGGGAGTAGGGGTGAGGATAAGGAGGTTACTCGAACTCTTCCAATTCGTGGGAGAAATCTGTATCACAAAATATTATTGAAATGGTGTTTTATTACTTTTGCATATATTGTTGCTTCATTTAGACTAACAATGCTTTGATGATTTAGAACTGATTAACGGCCTGAATCATATATTAACTGCTCAGTGTGCAGTCTATGCTCATTTATGATCACGTTTACGAATGCCTGAAGACACCAGGTGCCTGGAGGACCCGTGCACTGCAGGTGCTTCTGGGTGGCAGTCCCCAGGGTTTGTTCACTAAGCCGATCACATTTCCTCTGCCACCTGTCTGCAGTTTAACTTTCTTGTCAATTTTTCATAGCTAACAGAATAAATCAAGGCCCCACATTCTAAGCTGGAAGGGTCTAGTTCATGAGTCTGAGTTTAAGGGGCCTTCTGGATCAGCCACTGCTCCTGCCATTACACTGACTACTAATTCAAGAGCATGGATTCAGTCTTCAGGACACGAAATGGTGGACTTTTTCAAAGTCTTTATAGTTTCTGTTTCCGCTGTGCATTTCCTTCGGCACTTGGGCAAAATATTAAAGCAGCCCAGATCTCAGTGTTCCTGGAAATTCTGCCTTGCATAACATCCACCACCCACCCACCCCCAGCACAGACAGAAGGTTTTCTCCCTCCTCTCAAACAGGCCTCCCCGCACCGCCTCTTCAATGAGGGCAGGTGCAGCAGTGCTATCGGGGCCATCACTCCCACTTTGCCCACCCTTGTGCGCTGCTGGAGCCCGGAAGGTGCAGCAGCTTGAGCACAGCAGAGTGGGTGGGGCCTGGAGTCAAAGGGCAGGAGGCTAAGACCTAGGTGGCAGCCTGCCCAGAGCGTGCACGCCTGTGCCTTGTACCAGCTGAGTGACAACATCTGGCTGGCACCTGTTTCCTTTGAGGGTAAAAAAAGTATTTGTAACTGTGGAGTTAAGACCATCTATACTAGAGAAATAATAAGGTAATGGTAGGTGACAAATTCGAGCCTTTGAGTAGATAATTTCACCATTTGTGTTTCAAAATATTTTTTAATTGATTTTGCTGGTGTCGCATTCCCTCAAAAATATGAGAAAACAAATATCCATTGTGCCTGTTTTTTCAGTATTTTGAGGAATTATATGCAGATGACCCTAAGAAGTATCAGTCATACCGGATTTCACTTTACAGACGGATGATTGTATGTAAAACCTGTGCTCCTCTTTGTCCTCCTGCTCTTCCTCCTCGCCCTCTAACTGGGGAGCACTGCTGCCTGCCTCCCCAGGCATCCCTTCCAAAAGTTCACAACACCCGCTTCTTCTCACAGCTCTCTCACAGCCAGCAGTGTCACATCTGTCACCGTCCTCCTCCACTGTCACGTTTGGTTTGTTATTAACACCAGGCTTACAGTGTGATGGAAGCAAATGTGTTTGAAGATCAGCTGAAGTCCAAGAGGCGCAGCCTAACACTCCATTAGAGACCATTCCCGTCAGATCACGGATCTGGTGTCTAATTCACTCCTGTCCGAGCCGGCAGGGGGCCGGTGTGTGTGTGACAAGTGCCTATGTTTGGAGGCATTGTCTTCCCCACACCTTGCGCGGCAGCCACACACATATGGTCCACCTCCTCCTGAGCTCCTGGTCTGTGCTTGTCTACTTCCTTCGTAAGGGTGGAGTTAACCGTGCCTGTCACCTGCAACGACTCGTTAGTCAGTAATCACAGATTCCCCCTCCGTCACACTCCATTTTATCTGTGTACTGGCCATTCATAATTACCCCCTTTTCTCTGTGTCATTAGTTTCATAGGTGACTTACGCAGCTGTCACTTTAGTTCTCCACGCAAGAGCAGACCGCTCTTTATCCTGATCTCTGGCTATTTTTCAGCCTTTTAATTTCTACAACTTCATTTCTTTTTTTTTTTTTGGTACCGGGGATCGAACTCGGGTCCTTGTGCTTGCACAACAGGCAGCGAAACCACTGAGCTAAATCCCCGGCCCTACAACTTCATTTCTTAAGCTTCAAGGCTAAGGTAGCATCTCCAGTGGGGGGTTCTGAGAGACAGCATGCTTCACACATGGGTGTCAGTGTTGCCTAAGTCCACGCACCCTCAAGTCTTCCCACAAGCCCCCTGGTGCACTCATCAAAATTCATTCTTGCCCAGTCCCCTTTGTAAAAGAAACGGCTCTGCTGGAGGACTAGTGATTTCCATGCAGTCAGTGGTTTCACCCTTGTGGAGCTGGCGGAAAGCACGCGGGTCAGCCTCTGCCCATCACACTGATGTGCTTAACTGCGCTGTGCCTTAACCTTTGGCTTTCTTTGCAGCTGCTCCTTCCCTGCCTGCCAGTTTGAGCCAGGTGCTGGCTCCACCAGCAAGTTTTTCTGGAGTTTGTGTGTAAAACTAACAGTGTTGTTTCTGTGATTTTGTGTCTCTTTTTTCTTTGTGCATTTCAGAAGGCCTATTTTGAACTTTATGTGTATGTCTCATTTTGATCTGTAGGATTTGATGGAACAACTGGAAAAACAGGATAAGACTGTCCGGAAACTGAAAAAACAGCTCAAAGTATTTGCCAAAAAAATTGGTGAACTAGAAGGTATTTAAACATGTTTTTCTACCAGCTGCTAAATCTTGGTTTTGTGTTGCCGTGCCGGTGGCCTAATAGATGTTTGCATGGAATTGTTAGGGATAATAACAAAAATTACTTTTGGCAAACCTGACCTCTTTAGAGTGGGAATTTCCATTTCTAGATGAAGAAAAATGTTCTTTCCCTGGTAATAATAAGTTTCAGAGGGAAAGCGTAAGGACCCGAGTTCAATCCCCGGTACCAAAAAAAAAAAAGTTCCAGAGGGAGACCACTCATTCAGCTAACATCTAAGGAGTATCTTCTGTATCCACTGTACTACGGCGTGGTGGTTAGGACCATGGGTTCTGGAGACATGCTTCTTAGGGTCAAATCCTAGCTCTTCCTTGTTAATCCTGATACCGGGCAAGTTCCTGAACCTGTCTGCCTCAGTTTTTCTACCTGTCAAATGGGAAGGGTTGGTGTCTATCTGACATGGGTCACAAGGACTAAGTAAGTTAATATAGGTAATGCATTTAGAATCGTTCCTCACAGTAGCAAATGCTAAGTGCAGCTTAGTTGTTAGTATTAGCTGTCCTTATTAAAGATAATAAGAGGAATATAATAGAGTCCTCAGAGAACTCATAGCCTAATGGAGAAAAAAAGAAAAAAATATGAATTACAGTTATAAAGAATAAGATTTTTTAAACATCTCATGATTTCAGTATGACGATAGGAAAGCTTCTTGAGAAATCATCAAAGAGCAGCCGTTATGGTTGTCATGAGCAGACAAGTCCCAGTGCCTTCCAGTACGTTTCCCTGAGTTCCTGCCAACACTGGGCAGTTGTCAGAGCCAGTCGTCTTGCAGTGACAGGCTCCAGCCAGACCCCAAGCTTTTCCAACCACCTTCTCACTGCTCAGGACATTTCCGAGCTCAGCCCCAAAGCTGGAATTGCCTTCAGATCTATGCAAGCTCTTATGCAGACCAAAACACCATTGCTCTGCTGGCCACCTGCCTTACTTTCTGAGTCACTCTTAGTCCTCCTTGGGCCTGGGATGAGGACACCACGTCACCAGGGATGCTTCAGAGCTGCTGCCGTGACACATGCCGGGCGAGGCTCACCAGCCATGTCGTGACTCCCTTTCTCCTGGGCCTGCTCATCCTTTGAGGTCAGAGTCATAGGTCTTGTCCTCAGGAGCAGCATTTCCCTGCCACCCAGACAGGGCTTGCTGCCTCGCCCTCTGTGCCCTGCTGTCTAGCTCTCTTCTGGGGCCTTCGTCATGCCTTATTGTAGCAGTTTTCCCACTTGAATTGCTGGCTTCCATGATAGACTTTGAGCTTCCTGGGCATAGGAATGCTTCTCACTTCTACTTATTTTACAGCACCCAGCATTGTATCTGTCTATCAAAACCTTCCATAAATGTAGAGTGATGGAATAAATTTCAGAAATAATTAGAACGTGGCAACATGGATGCTTACTGTGGAAAGGATATTGCTCCCTTAGATGTGCAAATTCTGAAGTATTTGTTTACAAATAAAATCACTTTGTAGCCACATTTTATATTTAATTCTGTAGTACTGCATGATTCATGCATCATATATCATGGTAAACTTTTTTTTAAATTTTGAGACAGGGTCTCACTCTGTAGTTCAGGCTGGCCTTGAACTCACAGTGATCCTCCTGCCTCAGCCTCCCCGGTGCTGAGATTACTGACATGCGCCACCACGCCCAGCCATGTTAAACTTTCTGAATTTCCACATCACATATATGTACAAGCTGTGATTATTGGCAGAACTCAAAACTACTTTTTTGGCTGAAAACTTTCGACAGGTAATTGTGCACCCATTATAATAATCACACAACAGAATATTTACTTAAAAAACTGATTTCAAGGATATAAACTTGTGAGCTTAGTTATTTGTTCAAGTCTTTTTCTTTTTTTTTTTGGTACTGGGGATCAAACTCGGGACCTTACGCTTGCCAGGCAGGTGGCAGAACCACTGAGCTACATTCCCAGCCCAGAGAACAACTTGATAGTTAAACTATCCTGACAACTACAAAGGTAAAAGAGGCATTTGAGAAGCCAATTGTTAGATTAAACCAAAAGAAGAAAAAGACATAGCAGTTCCTAATAAAGGCTGTGTTTGAGTGAGTGATGGGAATCCAGAGGGAATCAGATGGATTCTGAGCTGGTGCTCGCCCAGATGGGCTCGAAGTGAGTGGCTTCTCCTCACATCTCTCATCTTCACCTGAGCACCCAGTGTACAGGAAGTGACAGCAACATAGTACAGGAAGCCCTTTCCATAAAGGAAAGTTTATGCCTTTGTTTCTGTGAGTGTGCTGTAACATGCGTGCATCCTTCTGGTTTAGAATAGCACAGCTCTGCCTTCTCCTGCGGGCTGCATTTAATTAAAGACTTTTTTAAAAAGCCAACAGACTTTTTTTTTAAATGCCAACATATATAATTTTTAGCAGAAATTATATAGCGAAATGGGGAGTATTTTGAAGTTTGATCTGCTTCGTGCTGTATTTTAATCCAGGAGTAGGTGTTGCATCTCCGTTTTTATAGTTTAGAGATTTAGACCTCAAAGCATCCTAGCATCAGTTATTTTGAAGAAGAGGACAGAGCTGAGGCCCGGAAGTCACTGGTGACTTGCCAAGGCCTTGCCAGTTGGTGGCAGGAGGAGTCAGGCCCTTACCTGACTGTGGAGTTCCCATGAGATCAACGCCTTCCTGGTGCCTGTGAGGAAAAGTGAATATTTTTTAAAAGTCATTCTAGAGCTGGGGATTTAACTCAGTGGTTCCAGCGCCTTCCTTGAAAGCACAAGGTCCTGAGTTCAATCCCCAGTACCGAAAAAAAAAAAGTCATTCTGATTTTCCTTTCTAGGACAATGAAATCCAGGCACACTTTTCCACTGAGCTTAGAATAAGAATCTAGAGAAGGAAAAAAAAAAAAGTAGAATCTAGAGAAGGGCACCAGGAGTCGTTTCCCGTCTTTCTGGGAGGCTGTCAATATAGCTGGTCCATTTGTGCTGCTCTAACCAAACACCTCAGACTGGGTGGTTTATTGGCAAGAGAATCCCATTCTCACAGCTCTGAAGAGAGACACCTGGACCCAGGTGCCTGTAGGCTCAGGGTCTGGGGAGGCCCTGGCCTGTGCCGTCCATGCGGGACGTTGTCCCCTCACCTCCAGAGGAGACTGCTCTGGGGACAGGCATGTGCCTCACTGGTCCCAGGGGCCCTCTGGGGTCGCCAGTCCCTCAGTGGGGTGGGGCTCTTGCGGTCCCGTGAGCACTCCTCAAGGCTCAGTCTCAGTGCTCTTACATTAAACATACACGTAGCACCCTGAGGTCTCTGGAGGGTTTGAAAACTGGCAGAGCGCTCTGACTTCTCCTAGTCCATTCTTTGTCTTCCTGATGCCACCTAAAGGTTGCCATTTTGTGGTGAACTGATATCTAGCTTTCATCTGTGAGTTTTCATATAAAAACTTAAGTCCTTAGGAAGAATTCAAAGACAAAAATTTTAAAGATGATGGCACATTTTGTGTGACATTTTGTACAGAGCCAAAAATACCCTGATTTGAGATTTTGCAAAAGGAAAGTGAAACTTTCTTTTAAAACATGAGCTCTCTTAGTGAAAATATTCACTGTATTCCAAAATTCTGATGTTTCCATGTTTAACATTTTACCATCTCTAAAGTTTGTGTCTTAAAGTTGTTGAGGTTAAAAAAAAAAAAAAAAAGTTGTTGAGGTTAGCCAGGTGTAGTGGTACAAACGTGAAATCCCAGTACTCTGGGAGGCTGAGGCAGGAGGATTGCAAAATCCAGCCTAATGGGCAATTTAGCAAGACCCTGTCTCAAAAAGAAAAAACTTAAAGGGCCTGGGGATATAGCTCAGTTTGAAGACCTTAGGTTCAATCCCTGATACCACCAAACAAAAAACAAAAAGAACAACTGTTGGTATATGATCTATTATAGCTTAATTGGCAGTGGTTTTCCTCTTTTAGTGTACATAAAATGGCATATCTCTAATTAGTGACATCTTAGGTTTTGTAAAATCAGTGCATTTAAAACATCCTCTGGGTTACCTGGAGTCCAAATATATGCATTTGTCAGTAAATCTAACTTGTTTCCTCCCAGCATTTAAAACATCCTCTTTGGGTTACCTGGAGTCCAAATATATGCATTTGTCAGTAAATCTAACTTGTTTCCTCCCAGTTTTCCCTCTTGGAATTGTCTCTGTGGCCCGGGGACTAGTAGCATAGATGGCAGGGATTTTATTGCTTTTTACACACAACTGTCTTAAGAGTTGTGGAGGCCACAGGTTCGTTAATACTCAGCATTGTGTTTAAACTGACCCTGGAGATAATCAGTGTAAAATTGAATGGTTGGGTCTCCCTTCTGTTGTGTAGAGGAGTGCATTTTACGACCAGTCTTGGGGCTCTCCAGCTGCACGGCCCTGCGTCCAGTCGCAGGCTGATCACTCTGTAGACGTCGCAGTGGTGGATGTGGTGACTGCCTGCACCAGGTTTTCAACGCTGAGAGCCTCAGTGTGTGACACCATGTCACGTGGTAGACGGGTGTCACTGAGTCCGAGCCACCTGAGCGTGAGCACCGCAGGTACTGGTGTTCCCATGGCAACCTTCCCAGGCTGGCTTCCCAGAACTAACCCCAGAAACCGCCCTCGTGGCACAGAGTCAGTACATTAAACTTCTGATGTCTCTGGCGCTCATCTGCCTTTTGTTCACCAACCATCTTGGAACTGTCTGTGCTTAAATAGGTCTCCTAACTGCTCCCCTTCCTGCAGATGAAAGCGTAAAACCCTCCTGCTAGCATGTGTGTCCACAGTCTCTGCAGAAGCTCCTGCTCCCTCACCTCTCCTGTGTCTCCTATTCAGTTCTCAATTCCGAGAGGAAGTCTTCTTTCTACCCTTGGCCTAGCTTTGCTCCAGTTGCTGCCATGGACAACAGCAAATGTGTTTAGTACCTGACAGGGTTGTACTTGAATGATTACGACTCAGGAGTGGGATGTTCATTCTCCATCAAACAAAAAAATAATATTTAGTAATTCATATTAAATAACAGTTTTTATTTGCCCATGATTGCTTTGGGAGCCAGAGGTGGTGGGAGAAGGTTTTGCCTTTGAGACCTCTCTGGGAAATCATCTGTATTCAGATCAGCTGGTATGAAGAAACAGTAAAGTAAATGTTCTTTTACTTATAATGACTGGATTCTGCAGCTAATGGTACTGTTACTGTCCCTTTCTAGAATAGTTTTTATTTTTCCTCTATGAGTTAAAGTCCATATGTATTTAACAATTTCTGATTGGTAGATGTTAGTTAACAAATATGTTAAACTACATATTTCTGGAACATTTAATCTAATAAACTGTGCTGCAAAAAGAAAATATTTTGAATCAGGCGAGGTTATTTGATGTTAATAATATCAGACTGTAATGGCTGTTAGAGTGACATTTGCTATCTGTCCACCCCATTTTAGCAGAAAAAAATACTTTAAGAGAGGACAGTTAAGTGGTCAATATGACAAGTTTCTATTGTTAGAGTTCATTTGAAAGTACAGGAACATAGAACCCTCTCATCTTTCCCATCTGAATAAAACATTTTCCTCTTTTTGTTTCTCATGAAGTGGGCCAGATGGAGAACATATCTCCAGGACAGATCATTGATGAACCTATCCGTCCAGTCAACATTCCCAGGAAAGAAAAGGATTTCCAAGGAATGCTGGAATACAAGAAGGAAGATGAGCAGAAACTTGTTAAGAACCTGATTCTAGGCAAGTACTCTGCGTGAGCTGCAAGGTCTGGCTGCTATGAGGGGAAACTCTCCCTGCTGTTAAAAGTATCGTATGCGAGGGTCTGCACTCCCCTTGTGAACTGGCCCCCACCTCGCTGTCACTCAGATGGAGGCAGGGACACCTTTAAGGACCCAGGGGGCCAGGCCTTCTGAGCCTGGCTGCGTGTTGGAATCAGCCAGGGAGCTTCGCGGAGCATTCACACGTGGCTCTCTCGGCCCAGTGAAGCCCAGATCTCTGTCTGGGGAGTGGTGGCAGCCATATCTAGTATTTGTTCAGAAAAGACTTCAGCAAAGGAAGGGCAAGATGGGGCAGATGAGAAGGGTAGATGCAGCAGTTCAGAGGGGCATAAGGCTGGGAGTGGCCCCGCCGGTCGTGTAAGGAGCCTCCGTAAGGGGGCTTGTAGGGAGTGGTGGCGGCTGAGGAGAGAGTACACACCACTGAGAGGCGTCAACTGTAACACCTAACACCTCCCCCATGGCCCTCGCCTGGCACTTCTCCCCCAGTGCCAGGTGGCAACAGTGTGGCTGGCAGCTACGCCCACCCTGACACCTCCAGTTCGTGGCGTTAAACTTAGCACTGAGGGTGGGTGCAGAGGAGCTTCGCTTTCAATGTGATCTTCACTTGGGAAGAATGTTAGGGAGCCACTGTTCAGTTTTGGGGTAAAAAGGGTAGAGTGAAGGCCGGTATACTGTTTTATATAAAATTGTCAGAAAACACCATGACACATGATTTTTGGACAGACTGAAGGAAGCAAGGGAGCAAGTCATGCTATCTTAGGAAAGAGCATCTGACACAGAAAAGCAGGCTGCCCATCAGCCCTGGGGGAAGCATGCCTGACACTTTGAGCCCCCAGGCACAGCCACGTGGCTAGGGCAGAGGGGGCTGGGCAGGAGAGGAACCAGGTCAGGGCACAGGGGACCCCTGGGGACTTGGGGTCTTGTGGATGAGTGAGATGAGGAGCTTCCTGGAGGATTTGCCAAACAACAGTGACATAATCTGACTCCGTTCATAAAGAAGTGCCACGTTACAGTGTGGGAAATGGGTCACCAGTAGTCAGGGAGGCCCGGGGGCCTCGGCTGTGGTGGTATCTAGAAAATGCAGAGGGAGGGGCCTGGACTCAGAATGTATTTTGTTTTCATTTTTTGTGGGGTTTTTTGGTACCGGGGATCAAACTCGGGACCTTGCACTTGTGAAGCAGGTGGTGGAACCACAGAGCTAAATCCCCAGCCCTCAGGATGTATTTTGTAGGCAGAGCCAGCAGGAGCGTTGATGGAGTAGGGAGGGGTGTGTGGTGTGAGAAAAGAAAGGGGTCAAAAAAGGTGGGCGTGGTGGCCCAAGCCTGTGATCCCAGCACTGAGGAGGCAGAGGCAGGAGGATCACATGCTCAAGACCAGCCTGGTTTACGTAGTGAGACCTTGTTTCAAAAAATAAAAAAGGGTCAAAGAGATGTTGAAATTGAATCCTGAGAGGCTGGGAGGCTGGAGTGCCACTTCCTGGGGTAGGGAGAGCCCAGGAAGAAGGAGTCAGAGAAGAAGCCAGTGGGGCTTCTTCTTCACCGGTGCATCAGTGGCACGTCCAGAAGGCAGCTGAAGTGCAAGTTGGGGCCAAGGGAAGGTCGGGCAGAGGCCGCAGTCCTGCATTCTGCAGCCAGGGCTGCGGGGCGTCAGCTGTTAACTCTCCCGTGTGACTTGCAGGCTCTCACTTTTCCTCTTCCAGAACTGAAGCCACGGGGTGTGGCAGTTAACCTGATTCCGGGATTGCCGGCCTACATCCTGTTCATGTGTGTCCGGCACGCTGACTACCTAAATGACGATCAGAAAGTGAGGTCGCTGCTCACATCAACCATCAACAGCATCAAAAAGGTGTTGAAGGTCAGTTCCCACGCGCACGGCAGGCCTTGTGCTGAGTGCTGGTGAGGATGGCAGCACAGAGGCGCTGTCCTCCCCAGACCTGTTCGTCACCAGTGACCAGCGCCTTCCCGGCTTCACTGAAGACCTGCCCTGAGGAGACACCCTTCTACACCCTATCTGTAACAGCTTCCTTTAAAGCAAGTTAGACTTGATTCAACACTGTTGCATTTAATCATAGACTAAGTTAAGTTTCTTTCTGGACAAAAATAAGCTGCTTTAAAGTTTTACGTGCAACTAAATTAAAAGTGCTTAGTGGAGACTTTGTATACGGAACACGATGCTGGTGTTCAAATACGTGCCGCGTTCAGTGATACAGGGCTCATCTGTTGAAAAGCTGCCTGATAAAGCATAGAACATCTTCTTACTTTAGTTCCCAGTGTTCTCCAGCTCAGCCCTGATTTTTCTGTTACCCAAATGCCTGCCTCCCTGTGAGAAGCGCACACAGATGCTGTCAGGGAGGGGCTTGGGGAGGGCGGAAGCGTTGTGTAACGAGCAGAAAGCCCACAGACCTCCACCAGCCCCGCGTCATCGTGACTTGGAGGAAGCGCAGCCCGCTCAGCGTGCACTGCAGGCAGGACGCTAGCTCCAGGACTGCGCCTCTGCAGGCAGGACACTAGCTCCAGGACTGCGCCTCCGCCTCCTGAGTCCTTCCTCACTGGGCCTGGGTGGGGGCGTCAGGGTGGAGAGAGTTAACGTGCCCATTGCACTCAGATCCAAGATGTCTTTCATGAACTTTTTAAAAAATGGTAAAATATACAGAACATACAGTTTACCATTTTCATCGTCTTCTGTGGACAGTTGCAGGACACTGAGTGTTGATGGTGCTGTGCAGCCCTCAGCACCCCCCTTCTCCGCTGACCCTGTGCCTGTAAACATCCTCATCCCTCCCTCCTCTGTGCACTTACTCTGTGGCCACCTTCTGCAATGCTTGCCAAACCAGGGAGCTTTGAAGGCTTGACATTCAAAACTCCGTGGCTGACTTTGGAACATGACTCATTTTTGATATACCAATGCTACATAGCATTTAGACTCTAAGTTTTGCCACTTACATAAAAACTCCTACATAGACAGAAAAAAAAAAGAGATAAAGGTTTTTTTCTTTAATCTGAATTGCAAGAAGGCATTTATCAGCTAGGCATGGCGGCACACGCCTTTAATCCCCACACTCTGGGAGGCTGATGTAGGAGGATCACAAGTTCCAGCCCAACCTGGGCTAGAGATTTAGCAAGAGCTTGTCTCATAATGAAAAATAAAAAGGGCTGGCTGGGGTATATCTGTGTGAAGGCCTGGATTCAGTCTCTAGTACTGCAAAATAAAATTTTTTTAAAAATACGTTTATCTAGTTTGACTAATTGTCCTACCATATTGTTTAAAATTAAAAAGGAGTGGGTATTAGACACAGTACTCTTGATCTCATTTTAATTTGATGTGTATTTGTTTCACATCCTTGTTTTGAATTGAAGTGTGGTTTGCATCCCAGTTTTGATTTTCCCCACTGTTTTTTCACATGGGCCCTGAAATAGCATAACAAGCCAAGCCATAAGAAAACCCATATGGTTTTAGCTCATAGAACCTTTTTAATCTAGTAAAGTAAAAACCACAAATAGCTTTGAACTCATCCTTTTTCCTCTGCGAGGCAGTTGGAACTAGCTGATTTATTATTTAATTTTGGCCAAATATAGTTTGTTCATTGTAAAAATATTATTTTGGCAAACTCAATCCAGTAACTTGCAGTAAAGTTGGCATTCAGTTTTAAATTTTTTGAAGTTTCCAAAGAAGTAAATGGTCTTTTATTTTGAACTAATATGGGAACATCTTTCTTTAATGAGTACGGGGCAGGCACTGTTAGTGTTCATGTGGAGGGGAATTATGGAGTTAACTTGTGTGAAAGTAGCTTAGCAAAGGCTGGAGCCCACTAATGGGAATAGATCCTGAATTATTCTGAGAGGGAGTCTTCTCCTTGGCTTTAAATCAGCTTTACCTGGTAATTCTTTTCGGTGCCGGGCTTCCTGGTAATTTTCAGCATAGTGCAGTTAAATCCCTTCTGTTCAGGCTGTCCCAGGGTCTCTACGTCTTGACTTACCTCACGCGTGCTTCAGTGACTCTGACCCCCAGGCCTGCCTGTGGCCAGCATTGCCTTCGAACCTGCCTGTTGGTCTTTGTCAGTGTGGCCCAGACTCTGCTGGGGACAGTTATAATCCAGGTCTTTGCAAGGGTGAGATTATTTTTGTCAAACCTGCTCTCAGGCATAGGGTTTACCTTGTGGTAAAATGAGGTCCTCAAATCAGCCGTCCTGTCTTAGCTAAAAAGACTAACTTAGATTATCTTCTGGGATTTCTTTCTGAAAGTCTCTATAGAAAAATACTCTCCCTGGACCGGGGATTTAGCTCAGTGGTTCCAGCACCTGCCTTGCAAGCCCAAGGTCCCGAGTTCGATCCCCAGTACCAAAAAAAATAAAAAAGAAAAATACTCTCCCAAATTTAAAGGTTTTAGTTTGTGTTGTGCTTGCTTAACATGGGAAATTTTACTGATCTAGACAAATGATCCCCTAGCAGTCTCTTCCCATGTGTATCCTGCTCCTGGTACACTTTACTACACAGAGCTGCCACCAGGGGTGCACAGTGGGGCTGTCAGGCCGCTTCTGCGCCCTGGCTCTGCTGCGGTGGAGGAGCAGCAGACTTATGAGAGTGTGTGACAGCATGCAGGAAGAAGCTGGTAAGGTCAAAGCACACTGGTTAATGGGAGGCACCTGGATGCAGTAAAAAGCGTATTGTAGCTTCTCCCTCCGTGACTTCTGTACCCACACAGGTCTGTTTTCCATTCACAAATCAGTGGAACTCCTGAGTGTGTCCTTCCCAGCTCCGGGTCTTCAGGGAGCTGGCCTCGTCCTTGCCCTGCAGCCCAGCTTCCCTGAGGCGCTGCTCAGGGAGGCCGCCCAGGCCCTCACTTCCTGCTCAGAACCCTCAGCTCACCGTGCCCAGGAGCTTTAGTCTCAGTCGGGCCTGAATTCTTCAGACCTACTTTCCTGTTCACCTGTCACTAAACCTTTTGTGCTCTTCCTTCCCGCCCCCTCATTAACTAGCCCCTGGGGAGCTGAGCCTGGCTCCGCTGTGGACTGAGTTCTGTTCTGCACACGGGGCAGCTGGGCTGGGCCGACTGGATGGCAGTGCGCTTCTCTGGTGGCCCCAACACCCAGCCAGTGAGCCAGACTGCCCTCTGCGAGCAGTGACGTAAGCCGCAGTGAGGCTCGGTCTTATTTCTGTAACAGGGTGTGACGGAGACTGGTGGAAGTGGGCTTTCTGGCATCTGTGTGGGTTTTTTCATGTTGTTATTTCCCTGTGAAAAAGCTAAATTTAGACTTATTCTCTCTTTCAGAAAAGAGGTGATGATTTTGAAACCGTCTCCTTCTGGCTCTCTAACACATGCCGATTTTTGCACTGTTTGAAGCAGTACAGTGGAGAAGAGGTGAGAAAACCTTGATTATAAAACCAGCATGCTGTTCTTAAAAATTTAAAAGCACAAAATGTTTTTGACCATGTGTTGTGGGTGCAGTGGTGCACGCCTGTAATTCCGTCTTCTCAGGAGGCTGAGACAGGAGGATCCAGCACATGGGAGGCACTGGGTTCAGTCCCCAGAACTGAAAAAAAGGGTTAACCCTTGTGTTAATTTCAAAACCCAAATTCAGAAGAGGCTTGGAAGTTCACTGTTGTATTTGGTGTTCCTCATCTACCATGCAGTGAACTGAGGTATGGTAGAGTTTCCTTCCTTTTAGAGTTTATATTATGAGAAAGCACAGCAAAATAATAGGCAGTATCAGTCAACGGACAGTTAACACAAATGGGGCTCGTTGTCGGTATGCTGAAGTGAGCTGGCAAGAACCAGTACTGGAACATCTAACTGTTTAAAGACAGTCAGTTTTGGCTTGCCCCAGTGCATCAAAGTAACAAAGATGAGGCACACGTGTAAAGTCATGTGTCCTTGGATGTGTCCTGAAGCCTCTGTTGCTTTTGTTTGTAATGATGTGCTCATTAGCTGTTTAACACACATCAACGTATTTTAAAATTTTATCAGATATTAATTCTCACTGTTTGTTAAGGGTCATATCTAACTCGTTATACGTTAGGTTATTTATGTTATTTAATTTTGGAAACCCCTGTGCAATAGGAATTAGAACCCAGTTCCACTGAGAAGGAGGCAGAAGCTCAGTGAGGCTCAACAACTCACCGGCACCCTGTGCTGTAGCAGGGAACTGGGGTTCGGCCTGTGTCCTAACTGCTCCCACCCACGCCTGCCAGCCCCGCACTAGGAGGCCTCTGACAAGGAAGAAAGAGGACTGTCCCGTGAGTGACGAAAACATGGCAGGAGCCCACACCTGAGCAGAGCAAGGGCCCCCAGGCCCTGGGCAGGCAGAGCCTTAACTGTGTCCCCCTGGAGCCCATGTCGGTAGCAGCTCGTAGGGGCAGATGCCTGACTGGAGGCAGAATGCAGAGAGTAAGCAGCACATGGGTCAGCTGGACTCAAGTAGCTATGGTTCCACTGCAGAGGACTGCAAGAAGTGCCTGCCTGTACACCTGGCCTCCTTTACAGGACACCACCCAGAGGGCCGTTCCCAACTCGGACTGAAAATCAGTGCAGTCACACAACATGATAAAAGGAAAATTCTTGTTTGCTTAGCGGTCTCTGTAGCAATTGGTCTCTCTCAAGATCGCATATGCCCTTGGGCGCAGTGTTCAAGAACAGGACTGTGTTCAGTGAGCTAGAGTTAACGGGTTGCTCCTTTCCATAATGTAGTATTTGCCACAGATCTGCTGCTTCATACATGAGGCACTCATTCTTTCTTAAATTCCTCCAACATGTTTTATTGACATTACTACTGGAAAGCTTTAGGGTTAGTTTGCCAAGTTTGTGGTTCAAAGCTAAGGAAGGGGAACAACAGATGCAGACAGAAGCAGGGCAGCATGGGAGGACTGTCCTGCCCCTTGTGTGGGGATGGGAGCTCATGGGAGAGAGGAACAGAGAGCATGGAGATGTTGGCCACGGGGGATGGTGAGACAGACAGGAGACCCTCTGGCTCAAGGGGTGATTGAAAAGTGCAGTATGTGTTTAAGTGTTCCCAACTTGTTAGAGCAAAAGACACATTGCCAAGAACAGTGAGCTAAGTGTATTCGAAGGAACGGGGAGGGTGTTGAGGGAGGTTAATGTGTCTTTTACTGTGATAAATTGTATTTAAACATTCACTATAGTTTTTGATCACACCTGATTGATCAACCATTGTACGGCAGTTCCTGTCAAAAGCACTGTGGCATGTTGTCCTGCACCTTACTCGTCAGATCTGACACCCAGTGACTTCTGGCTCTTCCCAAAGTCAGTGAGGGGAAACATTTTGAGTTGATTCAGGACATCGAGGCAGCCAGGACGGTACAACTAAAGACACTCAAAAGAGGACTCCAGAGCTGCCTCAGAGAGTGGCAAGAATGATAGGCTGTGGAGATTCAAAGCAAGGGGGAGAATTTTGGAGAGAATTCATGGCAGTGTGTTTTACTGTAGAAGATTCTTTCTCCACGTGAACATTTCCTGTGTTTTTCCAGGGCTTCATGAAGCACAACACGTCCCGCCAGAACGAGCACTGCCTCACCAACTTTGACCTGGCAGAGTACCGGCAGGTGCTGAGTGACCTGGCCATCCAGATCTACCAGCAGCTGGTACGGGTGCTGGAGAACATCCTGCAGCCTATGATTGGTAAGGCCTGGGCGCGCTGACCTCGGGCTCCTGCCTGGGCCTGTGTTCACACGGGGAGCTTAAAGTAGGGAGGAAGACACAGGCCTGCAACCAGCCACGCTTACCCGGCCTGCAGAAATTCACTGCTTCCACATGATAGAGATAGCAGACCCAGCTCCCACCCGTGGATAATGCTCCCTCTTGAGATTGATTATACCTTGTTCAGTTTGCAAAACCGCTCTGAGCTTTGGCCTGGAGTCTACTGCACGGGGCTTCTCAGAGGCCATGGGACGCTGCAGGGCTGCGGAGGCACTGTGGTAGGAGAATGTCCCGGGGGTGAGCTCTGCAGTGCCTGGAAATGTGCAAGGCGGTCTGGGTTAAAGCAGTGGTCTCCTATTGGCTGCATGGTGTGTGTGTGTGTTTAAGTACGTGCACACATGTATGTTCCTCTTTATGTACACTCAACTAAATGTGTGAGCCTGGGCAGCTCTCTGTTTGTGCTCATCCTGGGGTTCTCTTCTGTGTCGTGCTAACTGCGTTCCTTTGGTGATTGTAGCAGGAATGACTAGGAATTAAGACCCATGGGTACAGATCAGGCTGCTAATTTGAATGCATTGAATTTTTTAAAAACTTTTTTTCAAGTTACCAACACTGGTATTTTCAGGCAAATTATGAGCAGGCTCTTAAAGCTACTGCTAACTATTCTTTCTTTCCCCACTGTGCACTCTCCACATTTCCTGGCTGCCTCATTATTCCGCCTCAGGGCGCATAGTGCTCCATTCTTTCATGGCCCAGTAAAGCAGCGAGACACAGTAGGCTGAGGAAGCTATGCAGGACAGCAGTGGTTTCTTCTCTTGGCCCCTAAAGGTCAGGGATGTAGAGCTACCTGGGTCAGCCGCAGTCCAGGAACTAACACAGAGGCCAGGAAAGTGGGCTTGGGCCAGCCCTTCCTCTGCTTTTACCCGATCTCCCTGGGTCTCCCTGGGTGAACCAGCAGTGTGGTCTAGGGAGTCCTTCGCCAAACAGTGGCCTGCATTCCCAGCCATCTGACAGCAACAGCAGCGTGTCTGCATCTCCACGAGGTCTGGGGAAGCTGAGGTTAGCACAGCGAATGAGAAAACACACCAGGGTAGCTGGGACTTCAGGTGCTCCTCAGCCCAGTGTTAGGAGGGCACAGTGTGTATGTTGGGTGGTGTGGGGTGCGGAGCCCAGGGCAAGGAGAGCCTGTCTCCAGCCGCACACCAGCTCCTTTCCCCAGGTCTTCTTCCTCCAAAGTACGGAGCATACTTCCCATTGCTGTGCCTGCCCACCCACCTACCTTCCTTCCTTCCTTCCTTCCTTCCTTCCTTCTTCCTTCCTCCTCCCTGTTTGCTCTGGGGCTCAGGTATGGAGAATGCTTACCTTAACTCTGATACCTCTCTCAAAAACCCACCCAAGACATCACATGTTTATGCTATCAAAGCCACTGCCTCTTATTTTAGAAAACATGGCTGAAGAGTACATAATGTCATTTAAATTCCATATTTAAGAATCAGCTCATTAAAGTTTAAATCCAGAGCTCCTTTAGATGAAGTCCTTCCCCTCTCTTGACTCCAGGTCTTTCCTAGCTACATTGTGCTCATAGCCAGGTTTCCTCAAAGTCTCATAACAGTTCACTCTCTGCAGTGTCAGGCATGCTGGAGCACGAGACGATCCAGGGCGTGTCCGGCGTGAAGCCCACAGGGCTGCGGAAACGCACCTCCAGCATTGCTGACGAGGGCACCTACACACTGGACTCCATCCTTCGGCAGCTCAGCTCCTTCCACTCGGTCATGTGCCAGCATGGCATGGACCCTGAGCTCATCAAGCAGGTGGCTAAGCAGATGTTCTACATCGTCGGGGCCGTCACGCTCAACAACCTCCTCCTGCGGAAGGATATGTGCTCCTGGAGCAAAGGCATGCAGATCAGGTGAGTTGGGCGAGCCCCGCGATTATGGGGCTGTGGCTTGGAAATATATTTTACCAGAATCCCATTTTGTACGTAAGGAAAGAAGAATAGATCTAGTAGATTTTTGTTTTGTTTTGTTTTTTGTTTTTTTGGTACCAGGGATTGAACTCGGGTCCTTGCGCTTGCAAGGCAGGTGGCGAAACCACGGAGCCAAATCCCTGGCCCTCTACTAGATGTTTTACAAATGCTTCGATTTGCCCCTCCTGTGTTTTTTCTCGTTTTTTGTTTTTTTGCCCCTGCTGTGTTTTAAGAAAAACTACTCAATTTTATACTCATGGTCCAGCTACCCTTTAGCATAAACTTATTATTGTAATCAAACTGGTTTATTTTTGGCAAATATTTACTTTAAAACAGCTAGAATGTTTAGAGTAGGAAGAAGGTGATTTCCTACGAAAGTGTTTACTCACTTTCAGGACACAAGTGTTCTTTTCCCATTTCCCATTCTGACCCAGTGGATTTGTGGTTAACTGAGACCTTCCACTCGGGTAGCGGGGCTTCTTCCTCAGCCCGCTGTGCTGGTGAGTGAAGCCGCCTGGCGTACTATCAGAACGCCTCCTGTTTGCCTGGGACAGAGCTCTGATGCTCTGTTTACCTTAGTCTGAGTTTGAGACCCACTGTCAACTGGCTGGCCACCTCCTGACCCCTCAGCATCTGTGTACGTTGGAGTGGGGTGTCCCAGGGGTCCTGCCACCCTTCCTGGGGCCTCAGGCCCCCGTCTGCTCAGCCCACCCTGGATGAAGAGGCTTGAGCATAAACATGAGGGACCTGGTCACTCAGTCTGTGCTAGTCTGCTTTACTGTTGCCATTTAGCGTCCAACTCCCACAGCATAAAGAGGAAAGGTTTCTTTGGCTCATGGTTTCGGGAGTTTCTGTCCATGGTTGGCCAGTGTCAAGGCAGAAGGGCCTGGTGCATCGAAGCTGCTCACCTCAAGGCAGCCCGAGGAGGGCCCTCCAGAGGTGGCCATCTCCCACCCGCATGTTCAGCTGTGAACACAGCAGTTACCCAGTGACAAGGGCAGCACCTCAACTCAGCCAGCTTTCCAGGTCTCTTCATCAGCAGGCTGACGGTTAGATGAACCAGCACAGCTACTCAGTCTGGGGTTGCCTTAGAGAGAGCATAAAGGATTACTGAGCCTCACCCTGACATTGTACGAGAAGCCAGCAAGTGTGTCTGTCAGCTGCCCAGTAAGGGCAGAGCCAGTATATGTTTGTTCTGTTTTGCTTACAGCAAGTCTTAGAACTTTCGCTAAAAGAAATTCATTTTATTTTCCATTAAATTTTCTTGTCAGTTAGTCTTACATAATTGTGATTATAAACCTCATGACTATTTATAATGACAAATTTCTAAGCACAGCTGATTAGACTTAAGAAAATTGAACAAAAATACTGCCTGTCATTTTAACTGACAAGGCCACTCACACAAAATGAAGACGTTTATGACAGCGCTCAGCAAATTTGCATTCTCTCTCTGCCCCCACCCTGGTCATCTCTGTCTCTGTCATAGGTACAATGTCAGTCAACTGGAAGAATGGCTTCGTGACAAGAATCTGATGAACAGTGGGGCCAAAGAAACCCTGGAGCCACTCATCCAGGCTGCTCAGCTTCTGCAGGTGAAAAAGAAGACGGATGATGATGCGGAAGCCATCTGCTGCATGTGCAACGCTCTGACCACTGCCCAGGTAAGGCACCTGCCCGTCAGGATGTGTGTTGCCACCAGTGTGGTGCTCCAGAGGAGCCAGGAGGCCTGTGGTGACTTCCTCTGTGACAGAGAAGATGTGTCTACGCAAGTCTTGGGCAAAGGAGATCCTACGAGAAATGAGTACAGGTCAGTGCAGGCCGTGGAGATCTATGGTTAGTATGCAGGCAAGTTTGTGCCTGTGGTGTTGTGCATGGTTTTCCAGGCTTGGGAAAACCATAGATAAAATCGAGTCTCCATTCTACCGGACTAAATGTTCCATGGAGCTTACATTCCATAAACTTTTTTTCCATATTATTTGATAATGGAATGATTCTTTAAGACTTCTCTCTCTCTCTCTCTTTTTTTTTTTTTTTTTTTTGGTACCAGGGATTGAACTCAGGACCTTGCACATGTGAGGCAGGCCCGGCACCACTGAGCTAAATCCCTGGCCCAAGACTTCTCTCTCTTAAAACAGATAATTCCTGTTCCTTCAGTTCTGGAAATGGCTTGTTGGGTTTCCATCTCAAGGCACCATGCCGTTGTTGGGGGCAGTATTCAGTAAATAATGAAACATCACCTTCTAGGAGCTTCCAGTTGAGTACAGAAGACAGATGCATCTGGCAAACTCTGCTATAGAGGTCTGGGACATTCTATAGCCAGAGGACTAGCAAGTGTTGAGGGGGACAACCGACATCAAGCTAGGCATGGAATTCAGGAAATAGGAAGAGGGCAGGGTAGTTGAGGACAGCCCAACAGTGTGAGACCAGGCATCAGCACAACCATGCCCACTTCTCTTGTGGTCAGTTATTTTATTGTTGACTTTTCAGCTTACTTAATGTCATCACTTATAACCAAATCTCAAGTTGTGACCAGTATAATTAATCTCAGTCAGTAGGTAGTTGGAATCTTATTTACATAAGAATAATGGAGAGTCACATTACTGAATAATGGTTTTGAGAGTTCCCCCATTTCTGTCAAGTGTGGAAAGCCAGAGCACACTAGGGAAAACCTGACTGTTTGAACATCTAACTTTTAAAGAACATACTCCAGTACTTTAAGCTACTTTAAGCACATACCAAGGGGTGATCAAAATATACAGTGAGTATTTAAATTCTAAAAATTAATTGCAATAAAAGATATATTTCCATTAATTCCCCTCAAAATGCTCCCCCTCGCTTTGAACTCACCTGGGCTATCATTCTTGTCACTTTCTAAAGCAGCTCTGAAGTTCTCTTTCCTGAATGTCCATGAGATGTGGTCCAAAATACAGTGAGTGCCGCTGCTGAGCACCATCTAACAGAAAGGCAGCCTGGTGAAAACGTGACACTGCATCCTCGTGTACCTTACGCACTGGATCTGGCACCGTGCAACTTCTGGCTCTTCCCCAAGTCAAAATGACCATGAAAGGTCAGCATTTGGAATCTGGTCAGGACATCAAGGCGGCCACCACAGCCCAACTAAAGCCACTTGGGAAACCGGACTCCAGAGCTGCTGTAGAAAGTGAAGAAGAATGATGGGATGAGTGTGTGCCAAGTGAGGGAAACTTTGAGGGGTCTAATGACAATCTGTCTTTTGCTATAAATTTTTTTAAACTTATACATTCACTGAATTTTTTGAGCACACCTCATATTTTACAGAGTAAGGTAGACCTATAATTCAGTTACTTAGCAAGTTGCATCTCAGGGGCTGGTCCCTATCAGTTTGTCACTTACAGCCTCACGCTGGCCTACTTTCTCATTCTGTCTCTCTGGTGCTTGCCGTTTTCATGCCTGTATATCAGCATTGCCCTACAGTCATTCAACATTTTACGTTTAGTGTAATTAAGTAGTCACATACTTAACTTAAAATTGGGCAGTGACCTCTAGTGTATTGGATGGCACAGCTTTAGATAGTACCTTGAAAATGAAATATCTCTACCTTATTCACAAAATGGTTTGTTTTCCCCAGAAAACTCACATGCCAATTACCCAAAAGAAATTAATTTGACATTTCTTAAAAGATCTTCTTACTCTCTAATTAATTAGTTAATTTTTAAGGGCCTTTGTTGTTATTCATTTATAATAATTTATCTTTTGTGAAAGTATGATTTTTAAAAGACCATTCAAAAGAAATATATAATTCTATTATTTTTAATATGACCAGATATGTTTTTATATGAACAGAGCAAATTGCAGAATAGTATTTTTTAACATTGTCTCCCCCCGAATAGTATGAACAAAATGAACCCCATTTGTAAGAAAATAGCCTAAGCCAGAGTACAGCCCCACTGGATATTGAGAACGCAGTTAACAGGTGGTACTCTGGGGTCCTGGCAGGATGGGGCGGGCACTTCTGTTTTTCATGTTGTACAGTATGTCCCCAGCTCACAAACATCCAGTGTGTGACCTTTCACAGGTGTACTGGATAAGGCTCGCTTTGTGGCTTGAGAAACGAATGTGATTTATGAACAATTCTCCCAGCACTTACAAACTCATTCATAAGTCAGGGACTTGCTCTGTTCTTTGTACTGCTTGAATGTTTTTCTAAACTTACATTGCTTCTTAAAATACTATGCAAATATTCCACTTACAGGTGTCTTGTAAAGAGGCAGTAGCAGGGCGGGTGTGCCACCTCTTCCTCTGTCCTGAGCCCCCACAGGACTGGAAACTGCACACTCACACGTTAATCTCCCAGAACCAAAACACTGATCATCTCTTCTCTCATAGATTGTCAAAGTGTTGAACCTGTATACCCCGGTTAACGAGTTTGAAGAGAGAGTCTCTGTGTCGTTTATCCGTACTATACAGGTGAGTGTACTTACTGTACAGCTAAGCGTGCCCAGCTCTCTCTCTCTGACTCACCAGCAGCACAGTCTTGATTTCTGTCCTTGCACATACTAGGCAAGTGCTCCACCACTGAGCTGCCGCCCAGCCCTCCAGCCCTTTTTAATTTACTTTATTCTGAGACAGAGTCTTGCTAAGTTGCCCAGGCTGGCTTTGAACTTGTGATCCTCCTGTCTCAGCCCCCTGAGTAGGTGGGAGTTAGTACAGGCATGCGACATCACAGCTTGCTCAACACAGTCTTTGAATGGAAATTTTATGATGCTATTGAAGGATGATGTGTTCTTCTTATCTTTTGTTATATTATTGTAGTCACAGTACATTAACTACATTGGTAGTAGTTTACTGAGTCAATGAAGTGATTTTAAAACAAAGAAATATTTTTCCTCAGTTGAGGATATTTTAGTAGAAATTCAGGCAGAAATAAACTTACAGATTTGAAGAACTGATGTCCTGTTAATCTTGTTTTTTAATTTTCTCAGATGCGTTTACGAGACAGGAAAGACTCTCCCCAGCTGCTCATGGATGCAAAGCACATCTTCCCTGTCACCTTTCCTTTCAACCCATCCTCCCTGGCCCTGGAGACCATCCAGATCCCTGCCAGCCTGGGCCTGGGCTTCATCGCAAGGGTCTGAGAACAATGAGCAGACAGGCATGGACAGTGTATTTCTTGCCTAGATAAGAACCATTACTCCCGGTGAGCAACTGAAAATACCTTTTTCAAGCAAAAGTACTGATTACCTCTCGAACAAGAAGGTAACCGGAAATCCCCTAGGATGTGTCATCATCTTGAAAAGAAGACGGCTCCTTCGTGCTGTGTGTGCTGAGAGCAGCCCGCATGCTTGGTCAGTCAGGTGTTCTGAGTTTACACACAGCTGAGCGTTGCGGAAGGGAGGAAAGAAAAGGAGGGAAGCAAAATGCATTTGCTGCTGCCAGCATTTATTTTAAATCCTTAGCACCGCACCTAAGTAGTAGAAAAATGTAAATTATATACACACACACACACACACACATACACACATACACACATATATGTGTCTGTGAATATATAGCTATTGCTAGGAAGGCACCAACATTGCTTCTCGGCCTTTTGGCTAAGTGTAGGAAGGCACCAACAAAGAACCTCTGCACTAAACCGAAGAACTGAAAGAAAAATGGCCATTGAATACATATCGTGTCAGTGTAGGAATCAGTTATGTTGGTACTGTCAAACTGGATCAAAGAAATAAACTGGCAGTATGTAAACTAACTTGTCAAGAAACATCTTCCCTTGTGTGCCTGTGCCGTAGATACTGAGAGTGTTGGCTTGCTATACAGCATAGGTGTCCACTTGTACTGTAGCTTGCTGAGCATTTTAAATTGCTGCTACATGCCTTCTCCTTAAATGTAAATGATATTCTTAGTAAGTACTGCAACAATAAGCTTCTCTTTTATCAACTCGGTTTACAATTCAATCAGATCAGTTTTTAGCTGGATTATATGCAAATATCTACAGATTCACCTGCAGAGGTAGCAGACACTGGGAGGCCATGTCCATACCACAAACGCTTGACACCTAGGGGTGAGATTAGACAAGATGGCTGTTGCTGGTGTCACTATTTACTTGGGATGTGTTCCATTGCTGTGCATGTTAGTTTTCCTAGGTGGTTATTGCTTGGGGGCAGTGTTCTGTGAAGTAACTTACTTTCATTCCTAGATGTAATCCCTGCAGTGCATATTTTCAACCTTGACAGGTTTTCTTTCTTCTTAATTCATTAAGAGTTAATCTCAGTCATTATCTACAAAGGAGTGTCAGAATATTCATGATTCAGGTCTTGAAACTTTGATTATACTATAAATTATGCAAAGGTGTATAATAAATATTTAGTTATAATTCAGTTTTTTAAGGCTCAGAAATGTTTATAAATGTTCTCAGATACCACTAGGTACTTTAAAAAGCATCATGTTAGAAATAACTTAAGAAAACTTATATAAGAGCTATAAGAAGATTGTTGAATTTTACAGAGGTTCAATGAGACCCAGATTCCTTTTTCTTGGAAATTAATTTTATTGGTACATTTTAGGTATACGTAACGATCACATTCATCAGAGGGAATTTGTACCTATCCTATACATGATATATCTTCATTCTTCTTTTTTTCCCATTCTCCTCCCCTGCCTTCAATCCAGATTCTATATTTTCATTCTGAAATTCTAAATAAACATACTCTCCATTTTACCTAAAAATCTTTTACAATAAATCCTTCAGGATTTACAAAATTACATCATTAGCTTTCATTAGAAATTCTAGCTCTAAATTACAGTCATAGATTTCCATAGCTTAACTGTTAGATGGCCTGTAAAAATGACATCTTATTGAAATATGTGCAATATTATTTACAGAAGTCAAACAGTTTCAAGTCAGTGATAAAGGTTGTTATTAAGATAAACACTGGTAACTTATTTGAGCCTCAGTCTGCTTTAAAGAGGTGAGAGGACTGGATGCCTGATTCTCAAGGTCCCTTCTGTACCTGGGGTTCTCTCCTTGCAGACTTGGTCCTGGAGAGCAGAGACTCAGCTTTCAGTCAGGGCTTGGTGCCCCCCACTCCCTTAGGGTTCCCGAAACACAAACCACAGGTTTACGTAGCCATCAGCTTTCCTAAGTGTTCATGACTCAAAGGCCTGCTGTATCTGTATTCTTTGGATGTTCATTAGTTTAATCTTTATTGCAGCATATACTACTCTCTTCCATTTTCATACTTGTATTGATTTGCAGTGACAACACAACACACTCCATTGACAGCCTCACCTTCCTGGTTCATTGTGGCTCCCATGAGCAGTGAGCTCTGCCAGCCCTTGGGCGGAACGGAGTGTGTCGGGTCTAAGAGCACAGGTGGAGGGGTGAGAAAATGTGTCCACCTGGGCCTGCCACCCTCCAGGGCGGCCCAGCTGTGCTGTGCGGTGTGGCCAGGGTGCACTGAGTCTCCCCTGCGTAGGGTCACACCATAGCCCTGGTGTCGCAGGCACTGCCAGCCTCTCCTTTCCCTGAGGCTTCTGAACCCTGGGACCCCAGGTGGGGTCAAAGTTAGCTTCTCTGTGTTACTGAAAATTCCTAGTGATGGCGGATCCGGTCTGCCCGGAACCCTGGGACCTGTCAGCGATTGTGTTCCTCTTGCTGAGGCACTGTGGGTGCCCTGTGGCCAGGCGGAGGCCCGCTGCCCCTCTGCTCTGTCACCTGCTCTCACCCCTGCACCCCAGCCTTTGCCCCTGCTCTGCAGGCTCCCCCTCTGGCCTCACCGTGACTCAGCCCGCCCGGCCCAAGGCGGCAGGGCCTCTCAGGGTCCCACGGCCTGCCAGTGGCGCACCTTCCCACTGTCCTTGCACACGTGCTTGCTCTCACGTCTTCTCTGACACGCATGGGAATTCGAAGGGACACTTCCTCCTGCGATACTGGGGGTTGAACCCAGGCCCCGGCACAGACTTGCTGTGAGTGCGCAGCAGCTGGGCAGGGTGACAGAAGCCGGGTCACTGCCCGCACAGCCAGGCCCCGCAGAGCCACAGGCGAGCAGCCCACATGCATGTGGACATAGGTGTGTGCAGTGGCTGCTAGGGAATGTGGCCCAGGCGTGCATGAGCCAGCATGGTGTGCGCAAGGGCGTGCACATGAGTGTTAGCAAGCACGGGCCAGGAGTCAGGGTGTGCATGGCGTGTTGGGCTTGTGTATGACCGTTCACTGCCTCTGTTCCGGACACGTGCACTGCTGCTGCTTCTCAGGCCTGCTGTGAGGCCTCTTCCCCTGGCTCCTTTCCCTTTCAGAGCTGCCTTATGTCCCCCCCGGAACTGTCCATGTTGGCCACGGTGCCGGGAGCAGCGTGTTCACCCTGTCCCTCGAGGTGTGGGGAGCAGCGCCAGCCACTCATCCCTCTCCTTCCTGCACACCTCCGCTTCCTGCTGCTTCCTCCTGGTCCTTTCTGTCATTCCCAAATGGGCTAGGATCCTGGGGCAGCCACAGTCTCAGAGCCAGTGAGCAGCCAGTGAGGGAGGAAGGAAAGGACACGAGGCGGGTGTGTGTGCGTTAGCCTCAGCCAGCCTTGAATGCCTTGTTCTCCATGAACCCTTTCTTAATAACGGTAAAAGGTACAGCCCTAAAACTTCTTGTGGATATTCTTTTAAAACATTTTTAAAGGATGTTATACTGTAAAAGAGAAGAAACAGGAGAGTAGTGCTGTAAGTTGGAATCCGTTGTATTACCTTAAATTGAACAAATTACCCTGGAATTCAGTGAAGTCAGTAGAGCAAGAACTGAAAAGTACAATGTAAAATATCTACCAAAATGCATTTTATACATTTTTTATTTTGTAATTTGGTCTAGCTATGAGTTAGTTTAACTTAATGGGTATTATTCATAAAATTTCTGAAAATGACTAACTTTTTAGTATCATAATATTGCTTGAAGTGTTTGAAAGACGGTGTTTAAGTTGAAGTTGGTATGTGCTGGTCCTCAGTGCCTGGTAGGTCAGTACATTTCCCGTTTTTCAGAGTCAGTAGTTTCAGACATCTTACTGTTTCTATGTTAGAAAATTTTAACCTCTAGGGCTGGGGATGTAGCTCAGTGGATCCACTGCCTGCCTCGCAAGTGCAAGGTCCCGAGTTCAATCCCCGGTACCAAAAAAAAAGAAAATTTTAACCTCTAAATCAATGAAGCCATTATTTTCAAAAACATGGTGAATTTTCTTTTAAATGTGGATACGTATGTTGTAGTTTATGATTTCTAGTTATGTATTTTTGTAAGGTCCTGGAGTAACATTGACTTTTGGGGGTTCTTGGAAAATTTTAAATTGCTCCAACAGTGTTGCACAGAAATTAGCTCATGACATTTAACATATTGTATTTAATTATTAACCTTATTTATTAATTTACTATGAAATGGACACATACCTTGTAACTGTAATGAAACTGAACACTGCAGTTTTTCCAATATTTTTCCTCGCTGGATGTGGAGAAAGAACCCTGTGGTCTGCCTACAGATCTGCGAAGTTCTCAGGTGGAAGAGCCATGCAGGGGTGAAGGGGAGGTCACCACCCCCCAGTTCTGTATTAGTATTCACCTCCCCTCATGAAGCCTATGAGACGGGTTTCCACTAGATACCACCTGTGCTAAATAAAGACCAAAACAACATCCGAATGACACTTAGGATCTAAATTTGTAGTTGTCGAATGTGGTACTTAGTATGTGTGTCACTAATGCTGTATTCTCCCTGCTGTTATAGAGAATTGTTCAAATAAAGTTATGGATGTAAAGCTGTTCTGTTTGTGTCTTTTAAGTAAACCTACTGCACAACCAAATTGCTTTTCTGAAGACCTGTGAATGTAAATATAACTTTCTCATGGCGGTGTTCTCTGGAAACTTGGACATTTAAAAGTTTGCAAATAAAAAGTTCCCCATATCTGCTGGAAAACTAGTGACATATACTTGATAAAGAAGAGAACTGCCAAACACTGAGACAGACAAGCAGACAAAAGCAGCTGAGAAAAGGCAGCCTCCTCTCTTCGAGCAGAAGTTATGCCTAAATACCCTGAGTTCTTCAGCAGAGTAGATCCAGCCAGCGGGGCTGACAGTGTCATCTGGACTTTTTTTTTCTTTGGGGTACCAGGGATCAAACTCGGGTCCTTGCGCTTGTGTGGCAGGCAGCGAAACCACTCAGCCAAATCCCTGGCCCCATCTGGACTTTAAAGATGAGCATTTGGTTTGTGTCCAAGGTTCTGCTGAGCACAGGGTGGGTTAGGCAGCATGTTTAGCACAGCACAGACTGACTGTGCACTTCCCTCTCCATGAGGAGAAACAGATCTCTGAGGTCCACTTATGCTGTGGCGGATCGACACTCCACGTCTTCATGCCCTGGCGCTCTCATTTGTTCAGCTCAGTTTTAAGGGCCTTCCTGGGCACCACGACAGGCCTTAGAAATAGAACAACATCAACACTAAGTTTGGTCACTGACCCCTTGTACAGTATCCTGGTGGGACATCAGGCTGTCACAAGCAGTGCAGTCTCACAGTTTGCAGTTTCTTACTCTGAATAAATTGGACTGAGCCAAGGTAACCTCTCCCTATTAAAGACTGCTCAAAGCAGTGGTTTCTTGTGATTGATGTGATTTCTCTCTGGGGCACTTGATAAAAATCAAGCTCATACTAACCCCAGCAAGAAGGAAATGTGTCCCCAGCATAACTAAAATGCAGGACATCTGCTTTGCCCTTGTTCTTGGCCAAGTCTTCACTTAGGCAGTGGGTGGCAAGGGTGACACTCAGGAGTGAGTGACTCCATTCTGTGCCTGCCTGCTGGCTTCTTTCCCGACACTGCCAGGGAGACATTCCATGGCAGAGGCCGGCGTCCGCTCTGCCATCCTGGGGAGCAGGGTACGAGAGTAACACTGTCATGACTTCTGAGGGGGAGCAGGGACAGGTGCTTCGTGTCCCCAGGAGGGGCCATGGCCTGGACAGTGAAGGGCTGCTGGGCTCCAGAATGGTCGCAGGGGTGGGGGGTGGGGGGCGGTGAAGTGTCACCTCGTTGGAGGACCGGAAGGGGAGAGACGGGTACCAGGACTCCATCCACGAGGCTCTGGTACTGCACTTCTGGAACCAGGGCACGATGGACCCTTGACAGGGGAAGGAGACCCATGAAACAGACCTCAGCTCCATGTGGCTCACGGTGCGTCACACCGGAACCCAGGCGAGCACGGGAGTGTGTGAGGTTCAGAACAGGGTGGAAGGTGTTGAAGGAACAGGATGTGCCTGAAGAACAGCTGCACAACCCTGAGACTGTGGCGCCTGGAGAAGGAAGAGCAGGAAGCGAGAAGGCAGGCAAGCACTGCAAGAGGACAAGGAGAACAGGAGTTGTTCACCAAAACCTGACCGTGGCAGAAGCAAAGTTTGAAATTTCAGTCATTACTGGAAACCAAACAAAATATGATCACTTTCCGAGAGTCTGTATTCATTAAGAAACTTGAAAGAATTTGAAGATAATTTGGTCAGTGCTACTCGTGACAAGGAAAAAAAGGCAGCTGGGTAATCTCAAATCTTCAGGCTATAATGCAGGAGGACATGGGCCCTTTTGCTCTGCAGACACTCAGCTGGAAGAGCAGGACTCCGGGCTGAGCGGCCTGTGTGTAGGGTGACCCCAGGATGACAGGCCAGCGCGAAAGGATGGGGCTCCCATGTGTGTGTGTGTGTGTGTGTGTGTGGTGAGAAGCTTTTATACACAGTCTCATGGACATGGGCCACAGAGGGAGGAAAATACTGGGGGTTGGTCATAAAAACAAGATGGGCAAAGACAGGCCAGGTGTCACTTAATTTTTTTCGAGACAGTCTCGCTATGTAGTTCGAGCCAACCTTGAACTCCCTATGTAACCCAGGCTGGCCTCAAACTCACTGTGATCCTTCTGCCTCACCCTCCTGAGTGCTGGGATTACAGGTGTGCGCCACCACGCCTGGCTTATTTCTCACAATTTGAAAATGGACTATAGAGGCTCTTGCTTCCGGCATAGTGGCAACAGGAACTCTGGCAATCCATTCCTTAGTGAAAATTATTTTAAACATCCCACATACACACCATTTAAAGTCTCTAAACGATGTGTTGTATACATGTACCAATTCCTCACAATGTTATTATCAAGTACTGCAAACATGTACTAATAAACTAAAAGAAATGAGCCTGAGGCCGTACAGCAGGCGGAGAAACATTTATCCACGACAATATACTAAACCTTGAGCTTGTGCTAACTGAACCCAGACTTGCTCCCTTCTCCCAACCTCCTTGCTGACCCAGGCAGCGTGCCACACTACCCTGTGTGGCTGAGGACTCAGCCCCAGCACCTGCAGAGGAGACAGCTCTGCCTTTCGTCAGCACTGCGGAGAACACTGGGCCCCCAGGGGCCCCTGCCCAGGCTCTCTGGGTGGTGGATTCCTGCTGGGAGAGACCAGCCCAAAAGACAAGTGTGCCAACCCCAGCACCCAGCACCCAAGCAGGGGTGTCACCCCAGAAGTGGCATCAGCCCCGCCACCAGCTGCAGAGCAGGGGCCCAGAGGCTTCTCCTGGGAGCAGAAGCACAACATAAAAATATCCCCCGAGGGAACTGACTTTCTAGGTGGCAGTGTCTAGAGCAGTTCCTGCCTGAGGTCACCTCGGAACAGCAGGCCTGTAAGGAAGGGGAGCTGTGTGCCCCAGGATATGGACTAGACTGCTGGAGGTTGACAGGTTTTCTGCAAGAGTTCAGAGGAGCCCCAGCCAGGAGGGGATCCCTGGGGGTGAGAACAGGTCTCAGACGCTGATCCCAAGAGCTGTCCTTCCACAGGAGCCCAGACAGGCTGGGGTTTACATCAGTTTGTGCAACAGCTTGAGCGCCATGGCACCACTGAGAATAGAGCAAACAGACAATCAGTGGGACTCAACAGCTAAGCATGTTCAGGGAAGAGGCAGTGCGAGGTCTGCGAGGTCCACCCACGCTGGCTGTGTATGGTTGGGTGTCAGTCCTGGGAGCCACGGGGGCGGGAGTCATTTCTATCTGGGCTTTTTTTTCTTAGTACATGTTTGCACTACGTAATGGTGACACTCCTCACAGGGAGTGGGTATGTGTACATAACGATTTATCTGGTCACTTTTAAACAGCAGAGGACAAGCCCACTTCCTTAACGATAACAACGACCAGTTCCCAGAGTTGCTACAATATATTAACAGAAATGCTCAGGTTCCAGCAAAAAATTGTAAGACACAAAGAAACAGGAAACCCTGGCCCATTGCAGGGGGATCAGGCAACAGAAACTGCTCCTAAGAGTAACCAGATGTGTTATTTACCAGCTGAAGAACTGCAAGTAGCCATTCAAATACATTCAGAGAACTGAGGGAAACAATGACAGCAATGATACAAGGGAGAGGAGGGAGAAATTGAGGATATTTTGTTACTATGAGATTGAATTACATGTGAAGTGGGTACAGTGTTATGTGAAGACGAATTGGGGTTAATTATAAGTATTGCAAACTCTAGGGCAAGCACTAAAAGTTTCAAGTAGAAGTATAATTGATATGGTAAGAAGGAGAAAAATGGCATCATAAAGCATTCAGTTAGAACCTCAAGTGTCAGGAAAAGAGTGGAAGACAAAAACAGCCTCATAGCAACACACTGAAGTGTAACAAATACAGTGGAGACTGCACCCATCACACCAGTACTGCCCTCAGTACCATGGTTTACACCCACTGAAGACAGATGGTCAGACTGCTCAAGACCAAGGCCCAACTGTGTTTCAGCTGCAGTGTGATAGTGTCTCTATTCAGGAGACATCTAGGGCGGGGGATGTAGCTCAGTGGCACTGTGCCTGCCTCTCAAGCGCAAGGTCCTGAGTTCAATTCCCAATACCAAACAACAAAAAAGAGAGACATCAAATAGCCAAAACACTCTTGAAAAACAGAAATAGAGCCAGAAGCCTCATACTTCCTGGTTTCAAAACCTACTACAAAGCAGCAACCGCCCAGACAGTGTGGTACTAAAGTAAGGACAGATGTATACAAACGTGAAATCAATTCGGAGCACAGAAATAAACCCACAAGTTCATGATCAGCTGGTTTCCAGCAAGTGTTGCAAGCGTACGATGGGAAAGTGGTCTTTCTAACAAAGTCATGGGACGAGTGACAGCTACATGCACAAGAATGAAGTTGGACCCTCAACGCATGCCACGTGGAGAATAACCCAAAATGGGTGACAAGCCTAAACATTAGAGCTTAATCTATAGAATGCAAAAGAAACTATAGGGCTAAATCTCCGTGACCTCAGATTTTAGGGATGGCAACAAAAGAAAGCACAGATAAGATAAACTGGGCCTTACCACAATCCAAAATGTTTGTGCTTCATTGAACGTTGAAGAAAGTGAAAGATCACCTCACAGAACTGGAGGCAATATTTGTAAATTACACGCTTGATAGCAAAGTTGTGTCTATGATATATAAAGAGCAATTGTGAAAGAGTAGAAGGAAAAAACTGGAAACAAAGCTGTAAATGTGGAGAGGAAGAAGGGTTGAAGGGAGGGGAGGGATGAGAAAGAAAGAATTCAGATATATCATGTCCAGGTACAGATTCCCTCTGATGAATGTGAATACTATGTGCTAATAAAAAAATACTTTTAAAGAACAATTGTGAATCAATAATAGATAAATAACCCAATTTTAAAACAGGCAAAAGATATAAATAGACATTTTCCTACAGAAAATGCAGAATCAGTAATACATAAAAAGGTACTTGATTGACATCATGCTAGTTAGGGAAATACATATCAAAATCACATCCTCTAAAATGTCTAAAAAAGATAACAAGTATTGGCGAGGATAGGGAAAACAAGCCATCCAACACTGCTGGTGGGAGTGTAAAGTTCTGCCACACCTTGGAAAATGCTGGATGTTGTGCAGATGATCCGAGTCACTGTGGTCCGCCACCACTCTTTGCCCTAGCAGGGGAAGTGCAGATTGTGTTCATGTGAAAACTCACACGTGAACGATTCTGGCAGCACTGGCCTTAGCAAAAGACGAGGCCGGTCCCTGTGAAGTGATGAGTGGTAATGGAATGTGGGCCATCCGTACAATGGGTTACTCAGCCTGCAGAGCAATGAAGTGCTAATATATGCTACATATCAGTAGACTTTGAAAACGGTAAACTGAAAGAAGTCAGAGACCTCACAGAATTAGAGTGCTATGAACAAATTTGTGCCCACAAATAGATGAAGTGGACAGATTGCTAGAAAGACACAAATATGAAAACTGACTCAACAAGACCCAGGAAGTCTGAACAGATTTATAAGTAGAGAAATTAAATGAACAACTGAAAATCTTCTCACAGAAAGAAGTCTAGCCTCAGCTTCATTGGTGAATTCTATCAAATACTTACAGAAGAAATAACACAAATCCTGCACAATCTTTCATAAGAGAGGAACACACTGCCTCACACATTCTACAAGGCCAGCATCAAGGCCACACAGAATCCACCACGAGAAAACTACAGAATATCCTTCATGAAGAGGTCACAGAATCCCTAACAAAGCATCACAAATGAAACCCAGCAACATACAGTGGACCCTGGAGTTATGACCAGCCTGACATGCGAACAACTTGGGTTACGACTGGAATTATGGTTTTAACTTACAACCAAAGTCGAGTTATGATCTGAATGCCAGCCACTTGTGCTTCCTTTGGTCTCAGACACAGATTTAACCCTTAAAGAGTTCTGGAAGGAACATGACAGCTTCCTTTCCTGTGTGGGGTTCTCTGAGAAATCCTGGGCCAGGGTCTCTATAAGGAAACTGAGATCTGCCTGTGTACAGGAGAAAGACTTTGAGGGCTGCCTTAGAGGAGCCTGAGCCTTCACTGACCAACTTGGGTTACAACCAGCCCTCTGGAAAGAATTGAGTTCATAAGTGAAAGATCTGCTATAGTATGAGTATTATGTACCACAACCAAGTGGGACTTATCTCAGGAATGCAAAGTTGGTTTAATCATTGAAAATAAATTGCCAGGCAGGTGGCACATGGACCTATATTACCAGCTACTTGGGAGGCTGAGGCAGGAAGATTCTAAGTTTAAGGCTGGCCCGGGCAACATATCAAGACCCCCATCTTTTAAAAATCCATTCAAAAATCACTTAATATATAGCCACTATAGCAATAGAATGGAGAGCAGACCCCTCATCTCAGTAGATACAGGAAGGGAAGTGCTGCTCTGCATCTGGACATGGTAGATGTTTGGCCCTCCAGTGCGGTGTCCCATGAAGAAGGGTACATTGAGCTGGGCACTTGTCTGCTTTTCTGTAAATGTCTCCCTCTCCCCTCCTCCTCCTCCTCCAGGGTGCTGGGGATTGAACCCAGGGCCTTCACACTGAGCTACGTCCTCAGCCCTTTTTTATTTTGAGACAGTGTGTGGGGAACAGGGGAAGGGGACGTTACCAGAACTTCTGCAGTGAGTTCTGGTCTCCTGCGAGCCACGGCAGCACACGGCGAATTACAGAAAAGGTAGACAAATGAGACTGAGAAGAAGCTGAGCTTTGGGTCTGATCAGTGCTGCTCTGGACAGCAAAGACCAAAGCCCCCAGCCCACCACACCTTTTATTCATTACCTCGTAACAAATGATTTGCAGAGAATTCAGTACATCTGGAGAAACAAATGCAACAAATGACTTAAATGACTTGCAGAGAATTCAGTACATCTGGAGAAACAAATGCAACAAGTGACTTCCAGAGAGTTCAATAGTTCAGATTGGGATAAACAAGGTGTAACAAAAAGCTTGCAGAGAGTTCAGTACATCTTGGGTAAACAAGATGTTAACAGTCCAAGAACAATGAGGAACTGAGCAGATGTTTGTTCTCCCAGGATGTTTCTTGCCCTGGAGAATCACAGCACCACTGGATCACCAAAGTCTCAGCTCTGACCGGAGGCCAAACCGGAGTCATTCTGTAGCTGGGCTGTAGGCAAGAGAACCAGGCCAACCAAGTAACTTTTCCCTAGAACTATGTAACATTGCTCCCAACACAGTGTCTCCCTAAGTAACCAGTTCTTCTTCAGTAAAACTTTACTTAGGTAAGAAACAGCTGGATTGCCTTCTGAACTCAAAGCAGCCAGCACTGTCCCTGCCTGCCACAGCTTCTCTTCGTTTCTTACTGCACAGCCGCGCCGAAGAGCTGACTGCACAGGGTCAGGGCCGGGCCGGCTCTCGGCTCCAGGCTTGGTCCCCTTCTACTTCTGCTTCCATCTCCCTCCTCGTAGGTGTGCGCTCCCAGGCAACAGGCGGTGTCATTGACCACCCACGCCTCCATTTGCAGTCACACGCATGCCTGTGTCCACCGCGCGGAGCGTGCTGATGGAGCTGTGGGATCCCCACTCTTCCACGCCCACCACCGGCCTGTCTGCGAGGGCCGGATGAGGATTTCCTGCCTAACTTACTTACCTTCGCGGAGCCTTCTCTGCTCGCTCCCAGGATGGCAGTGTCGGTTCAATTCCCACAGCTGTGTGTGCAGAGCAGTCTGTTTTCTCACACCCTGGATGGTGTTCAGTAGCGTCCAGCCCGAGTGCTTTGTGGATCTGACGGCTGTGGAGCAGCATCTCACTGCTGTTTCCGTTTGTGTTTCTCTGGTCACTCGAGTGGAGGTTTGTTCGTCTGCAAACCACCCACCCGAGTGCTCCGTGTGATGTCTGTCCATTTCTTTTGTCATTTAAATAATTAGATATTTTATCTTTTCTTTAACCCATTTACAGTATGCATAGAGAGAGATATATAGAAACGACAAGATTCTAGGGTCCTGGTCCGTAGGTGGCGGGGGGATGAATAGCAGAGGCCCTGAGTTCTGTCCCAAGCACCTCAAAAACAAGAGACAAACAAAATTACTGTAACCCAACATTTAAAAGGTGTCGCTGGCTGAAGGGCGTGCATGTGTGTGCGTGTGTGTTAGGAAGTGAACCCAGGGCTTCCCATAGAGCCCCAGCCCCTTCTTACTTTTATTTCGAGACAGAATTTTGCTAAGCTGCTCACTCTGGGCGGGCACTCGGCCCTCCTGCCTCAGCCTCCCGTATTGCCGGCCGGCTGGGCGCTGCCGCCTTCCTGAATGCCCTCGGTCTCGGTCACGCCCTCGCTCCGGGAGTCCCACACCCTCCGTTGCGGAGCACCTGCGACCCAGCGGCCCGCCCCTCAGGGCGCCCCTCCCCGCCTAGCAGCTCGCTTGCCCGCTCTGTCCCGGGCCCATGGCGGCGGCTGAGCTGTACGCGCAGGTAGGCGCGCGGGCGGTGGGGCTGGGGTCGCGGCGCCCGAGAAGCGTCGCTTGGGGCGTCCCCGCCGGCCGGCCGCAGAGTCAGCGCTCGGGCCAGGCGGCCCCCAAACTTGGCGGGCGCGGGGCGGGGCCGAGGACCGGACGGTGGGGCAGGGCGCGCGGCCTCAGGCTTCAGGGGCTGCAGAGGCTGCTGGGGCGCTCCGGGAGACCGGCTTGGCTGCTAAGCGCGACCCCAGGAGGAGGTCTGGTGGCACCGCCGACCTGCGTCCCCCACTTCCCTCCGGGCCCCAGCCCTCACTGCAGGGTCGAGGGCTCCCGTGGGCACAGCTTCCGGCACCCGGACGGTCTCTGCCAAAGCCTTTTCCCAAGCTGAAGGACACCTGTCCCCTCCCGCAGTCTGGCGGGCGGTCCGGGTGCCAGCACCTAGGGGACCCTGGGCACCCTAGGTACCAGGCCGTGGCCCTGTGGCGGGGCCCAGGGGCAGTCACTGCCCAGTTCCGGGGAGCTGGGATTCCTGCAGGACGCACCTGCCCCCGGGACCCCAGGCCACCACCCACTGCAGGACCCAGAGGGCTCAGGACAGTGCCAGGGAGTGGGGGGCCAGGACCAGGCTGTGCCCTGTGCCAGACGGAGGGGGCCGCAGTGTGGATGGGTGGGAAGGCAGAGGACGCTGAGCCTGGGAGGAGGAAGTGTTTCAGGCAGGTCCTGGCTGGCTCCCGCCAGTGGGACGGGACGCTGACGTGGCCGAGAGGGGCCCGGGCCAGGCCTCTGCCCAGACGGGGAGGGCCTGGCCAGGGGACTCAGGGAGCGCTCTGTTCAGGGGACTGGAGGACTCCCAGGGCCGCGGACAGGAGCCCGGAGGACAGGCTGTGGGAGGCAAGTGAGGGGCGCACAGTGACCCTGCCTGGGGAGCAGTGGCAGCGGCCAGCCAAGCAGGTGCTGCCGGGAATCTGAGGAAACCGGTCTGGCCACTGCAGTGTGTCACCTGCAGCCACGTCCTCCTTGTTGTCCCCCCTGCCCCCCACACCGTGCTGCCCGCACCGTCGGCCCGCTGTCTGGGCGCAGGCTCCCGTCTGCAAGGCCCCAGCCTTTCCAGGGCCACCGAGCAGCCCAGCCCTCCTCGGGAGCCCGCAGCCTCAGCTCAGCTCCCAGGGCACGTGCCATGACCGCAGAGCAGGCTGTGGGTGTGCGGGCCTTGTGGTGCTGTTTGTCTTGCCGCGTGATAAGGTGGAGTGCTCTGTATATGCCAGCTGCCGGCCCCAGAGCTTTATTGCTTCTCTGACTTCATCCGAGTAAACAGTGCTGTGCTAGACGTTGTCATCCCCGTGTCGCAAAGGCGCCCCTCAAGTGAGCCGCCACGGCGGGGATGAAACGCCCAGGCCGCCTTCCATTCACCCCACCTGGCTCCTCTCCAAGGGGTCTGACCTCCCCGCACAGAGGACTTGGGACATCCGTCCGCGTCCCGGTCACCCCCTGCGCCTGCTAACTGTTACAGTGGGTTCCCGGAACCACAGCAGACCTGACCGGGGTCAGCTAGAGAGGTGCAGCAGGGCTCGGAGACCCAGGCAGAACACGGAAACCATGACAATGCTGTGTGCAGAGACTGCACTGTGATGGTCACTTGTGCCACGTGGAGCTCGAGGTGCAGACACTGTGTGCTGTGATCCCAGCGTAACGTGTGTGAACCCGGAAGGTGGTGTCTGTGACAGCCACAGTGGGCTCTGCTCGAGGGAGGCCGTCAGGTGGGCCTCTCGCAGGTCCCGGGTCAGGGCTGGACAGAGGGGACATCAGGGGACGCAGGGCCCGGCCTGGCCTCGGCGGCAGTGGGCAAAAGCACAGAGTGGGGTGGAGGGGGTGGGAGCCCAGGGCTTGGTGGCACCCAGACAAGGGCGGGAGGGTGAGCCAGACCTGGGCCCACTGGCCTGTTGCTGTCCTTGCCACCTGCCCTTCCCTGGTGACTCCGGGCTGCCAGGTGCCCCAGCGTCGTATTGGTGCCTTGTCTCGGGCCATTGCTCGTCCTGCCTGTCACTCTCGGGTGGCAGGACGAGCTGTCCCTCCTCTCTGTACACGGGGTGTGACAGTGCTCCCCAGGGCAGACATTCGCTGCGAAGCCGGAGGCAGCTGTGGGGACCTCAGCTCGGGGGTTTCTTATCCCTTCGCAATGACAGTGAGTTACTTTTGTACACCTGTGTTCACACGGCCTTCACTTCACATGAAGTTTTCTGTCTTTCTCCTGCTGCTCTACAAGAAGCTCTCAGACGCCATCATGGAACTTCTGCAAGGCCAGGAGGCCTCTGGAGAGAGCTCCACCTGGGGACCCGGGCTGGGGCCCCCAAGATGCGGAGCCAGGGCATTGTGGGAGCCATCGGAGTAGCTGGGGCTCTCCAGAGACAGCCTGTCCCCGAGGAGGCCAGAAGAGGCCTCGGGATGGGGATTCGGGGGTGGAGGAAGAGGGGGAGAAAGGGGTCGTGGTGTCACCCCCCGAGCCGGGCTGGCCCAGAGCGGAGCTGCTGGCAGCCCAGAAGGTGGGCCTGAAAGTGAACTCCCGTCACCACACACACAGGAAGCCTGCACCCCAACTCCACTGCTGAGGCCAGGGAAGGGGACAGCAGCCCTCAGCCTGGCCCTGGGAGTGTCCCGTGGAGTGGGGAGTGGCTCCTTCGCTGGGCCCACCCAGTGGGCAGCCACCTGCCCTGTGAGCTCTGGTCACTGTTTGTGCAGACCCACAGTCACCAGCTCCTGCAGACGGAGGGACAGGGCAGCGGCGCCACGGTGTGGCACTGAGTCAGTGCCCGCGTGTGTACTAAGCAGGCTGGGCTCCCAGTGCCCAGCCACCTGTGGGCTGCAGGGTGGAGGAGATGTGTGTCATCCACAGCTTTGTCACAGAAGGGGAGTGGATGGCTGCTACCAGCGCCCCAGCCCTCTGCCCTCGATGCTGCTTTCAGCCAGATGGAGTACAAGTGGCGGCTGGGGGACCTTGGGCACTGAGCAGGCGGGCAGGGTCCCCCTCAGGCCAGACCTTGGTCAGCTGCTCACCCAGGAGTGCAGGGCCCGGCTCTCTGTGTGTGCCTGGGGAGTCCTTGCCCTGCCCAGGCTTGAGCTGGACCATTAATAAAACCGGGGACTGGCTGGCTTAGTGACCTTTCCTTACCCTTAGACCCCCAGCTTCTGCGGAGGGTCCTGGGGGGCCTGGCCCCTGCCTCGCCTCTCGGCCACCCCCATTTCACGTGAAGCAAGCTCTGAAGTTTTCAAAAATTGGACAGACAGCCCTGCGTAATCTCCAAGGATCAGCTCTGAGGAGCCTGTGGTCACAGCCAGGCCTCGTGGTGCATGCCTATAATCCCAGCCAGACAGAGGGAGGCTGAGGCAGGCGGATCGAAAGTTTGAGTCCAGAATGAGCAATTTTGCAAGACTCTAACTCAAATTAAAAATAGAAAAAGGGCTGAGTATGTGGCTCAGGGCAAAGGCCCAAGGTTCAGTCCCCAGTAACACACACACACACACACACACACACAGACACGCACACCCCGTGGCCAGTTCTTGATAAGCTGGGGTATGAGGCTTTAATGATCTGAGCTTCATGAGGTTGTCAGTATTCTGGATATCAGGCCTGAGGTAGGAATGTGTTGCCTGTGGCAACAAGCTTGTGTGCCGGCTGTTGGGCGGGTGTCCCACAGCTGCGTTTCCGAGGCCACCTGCCCTGCCGGTTTCGGTTTCTCTCGCTGTCCCTCCCTCCTGTGATGCCTCCACAGGCTCCTGCGCTCCAAGGACAGACGAAGCCCAGGGGCCACTCCGAGCGGACCATGACTTTTATTCAGTTAACCGAGACCATTCATGCTGACGAGTAGTTGTATCCGGTGTCCAGCGTTGTGCTAGTCTAGGACTGGTGTCCGGAACTTTGTTTGCTTCTTATTGTTTATTTCCTCCAACATCTTCACGAAGATGTGGAGCATAAAGCAAAGTTTCCACAGACTCCCACAGGGGGCATCTGTCCCCGCACCTGAACTCCAGCATGAGCGGCCCGAGTCTACTGAGTCCACGTCTTCCTCCCCGCTCCCAGCCCACTCTCCCAGTTTCAAAGCATTTTACCTTTATTCTTTTTTTGAGACAGGGTTCAGGGCTGGCCCTGAACTCACTGTGCGGCCTGGGCTGGCCCCGAACTCACAGCCATCTTTGCTCTCCGTACTCTCTGGAGTTCCAGATCTGTTGGGCTCCCGGTGTGAGGGTCACAGTGAGGTGCGCACCTCTGGAGCCTGGGCCGTCTGAGGTTTGCATGGTGCTCCCCACACCTGTCAGGGGGCAGACGCTGCTGCCACCCCAGATGCCCTCTGCACCTCTCCCGCCCCAGACACACATGTCACCCGCCCACCGCTTCCTCTCAGGAGCCGCCCTGCTAGGCACAGCTAGGGCTTCCTGGGTCTGGGGCCCCTCCGTTCCCTCTGGGTCTGCCCCCCTCTGTCTGCTGCTGCTCAGCGGTGCCCATCAGGCTGTTTTTTAACCCATGGTCTGCAAGGGCCTCTGTCTCTAGCTGAGCCGCTGTGAGCGAAGCGTCTTGAACGTCTCAGGCCATCACTTGACCTCTTGACCATGAAGAGGCAGAGACAAAGGGCAGCACCCCGTCTGGTCTGGGAGAGTCTGGTGTTTGTGAGGAAGGACAGGGTGCTTTTGCCAGGGGCAGCTCCCGCCTGTTATACCCAAGTTTCCGCTCCCGAAGCTGCCTGCAGGAAGTCGAAGCGAGGAACATTTCCTGGGCCCAGGGGTGTAGCAGGAGGACGGAGGTGACCCTGCGGACGCGGGTGCTGTCTCTCTGGAACTGAGGGTGACACCTGGGCTCCTCCCAGGGCCTGTGGCCCCAGGATCCCAGACATGGGGCACTGTCTCTCACGGGACCCCTGTTCCCCCCGGCCTGGCAATGCCTGGCACGGCAGGGCCTGGGTCGGGTTGGGGAGCAGGACAGTGCCCTCCTGTTTGTTCTCAAGAGGATGCAAGCCTAGAACTCATCAGCTCGGGCTCCGCCCTATAACCGCATTCAGCCTTATCTGCCTCCTGGAGGCCCGGCCCCCCCCGAGCGTGGTCACTGTGGGGCTCAAGGGGACCCTGAGTTCAGTCCTTGGCAACACGGCTCTGCCTGGAGAGCAGTCTAGCTGCAGCTGCCAGGGGCCGGGCCCCGGGCCCCGCGTCCCCTCAGGAGGTGCTGACGTTGCTGTAACATCTCACACCCTGCTGCCGGCCAGCCTCCCTAACCTCCAGGTGCCCTGTGGAGCACGCAGTGTCCCCACTTCGTGAATTTAAAAACAGAGGCACAGGTAGTGTTTGGCTCAGAGCCCCAGCACCAGCACAGGGAGCCAAGTCCCAGGGCTCAGGTCTCCGGCTCACGAGTCTGTCACTCCGCGCTGCAGATGCTCCGAGGGGGGCCTGCTCAGGCACAAGTGAGTTACGGTTAGGGTGTGGGGCCTGGAAGAGACAGCGGCACCCTGTGCAGTGGTCTAAGCCTCTGTCCTGTTCTGTCGTCAGTACAACAGGGTCTGGATTCCCGATCCCAAGGAGGTCTGGCAGTCAGCAGAGATAGCGCAGGAGTACAGCACGGGGGACAAGGTCCTGCATCTGCGGCTGGAGGATGGCACGGTGAGCGCTCCACTGCTGGGAGGGGAAGGGAGGGGAGAGGAGGGCAGTGGGTGGTCCTGTAGGAGCTGCCCAGGGGCGGACACACAGGAACACCAGCCCCATGCCCAAACCCGTGCTGCCCCTGTCCAGATGCAGCCTCCAAGTCTGTGCCCTTTGCTGCATTTCTGGTCACTTTCCTCCTCACTGGGACACAACACCCAACACCCAAGGCTCAAAGGAGAAGGGGTTGTTTGGGCTCCATCTTGGCATGGTCAGGGCCATGGTGGAAGAGCCTGTGTGGAGGAAGGCAGCTCATGTCATGGTGGCTGAGAAGCAGAGAGAGAAAGAAGAGCTGGGGAGGGAGATGCCTCCTTCCAGTCATGCCCCAGGGACCTGCCTCTTCCCCCAGGTGAGGTAGATCCACTAAACGCAGCCCTGTGCAAAACATGTTTAGTCTATCTCTAGGAGTCACCAAAGCTTTAACACTTCTAGCACTGCTGAAAAGTCCAGGGCCTCTGAGACTCAAGGCAAACTCTTAGCTGTGAGCTCCTGTAAAAATCGAAAAGAAAGCTACACACTGCCAACATACAATGTGTGGGGTAAACATTCCCATTCCAAAAGGGAGGAACAGGGGGACAGAAAGGAATGGGACCAAAGCAAAACCAAAACCCAGCAGACAAACATTAATTCCTGTAGCTCCATGTCCAGCACTCAAGGCAAGTTATGGAAAGATGCTAATTCCCAAAGGGGTGACCCTGCCCCTATGGCCCTGCCTGTTACAGCCCCATGGCCTCTTGCACAGGCTCCACTCACTGCCTGCTGCTTCCCTCAGGTGATCCACATTCATGGCTTCTCCTACGTCCTGGGGTCCCCACTGAACTTTCAGCTTCAATCTCGCAGCTTCATGTTCTTCCCTCTCAGGGGCTCGCTTCCTGGCCTCCTGGGGCTTCTGAAATCTGAGTGGAAGCCTCCTTGACACTTACAACTCTTGCATTCTGCATACTGTAAAACCAGCACCACATAGATAACACCAGACTCTCCCACCAGCTCAAGCAGTACCTGGGATCCCCTAGATTATGGCTGCAAAGGTCTCTGATTGCCAGCTGAGCACTGTGAACTGAATCCTGAAGAACCAGTACCCTGGGACTCTCAAAGCAGTCTTTCACTTTTAGATCCTTCAGCTGGAGAAGAGTAGGGTCTTGCTGATTTCTCATATGACCTCAGTGCGTCTTTCCTATTGTCCTGATGCAAAGTGCTTGGCTTCTTTTTAATACTAATCTTTTCAGCAACCAAGCTCTCCTTAAAACTTTGCAGCCTCATCTTTCCCAGTGCATCCTTTCTGGCCAAACTTAACTTTTTAAATCATTCAGCTATGCCATTTGCTCTTGATTTTCAGTATAAACCTGGCTAAGAGCAGCAAAAAGCATCCATGCTACAGCCTGAATGTTGGGCTGTCTTGTTATTTCCTCTGCCAGATTAATTAGTCCACCACCCTTAATCTCAGTCTCCTGCAAAGTCTCAGGACAGGAGCAAAATGTAGACAAATTTTCTACCTGAGCATAAAACACATGGCTGGAGTCCAACTGCCAAGGAGTCCTTGTTCCCAACTGAAACTTCCTGAGCTCGGTCATTACCATCTGCATTCTTATTAGGATTCTGGTCTTCTGAGCTCTGACCAGAATCTCCCATCAAGCTCAGCTCACTGCATACTAGGGCTGCTTCTCCAGCCAGAATTTTCAAACCTTTCCAAACTCCTCCCACAAGTCAGCTCCAAAGGCTTTTGAAACACATGATCAGATACAATCACAGCAACAATCCCACTCCTAGTGCCAAAATCTGTTGTCTCATCTCTGAGACACATTACCCAACATCCACACATCAAAGGGAGGTAGATTTATTTTGCCTCACAGGGACAGTTCCTAGTTGACATGTTCCAAGACAGGTAGGTGGTGGAAGGGCCTGGACAGAGGAAAACTGCTCACATCCCGCTGGCCAGAAAGTGAAGAGAAAAGGGAGGATTCAGGGAGGGAGAAACACCTCCAGTGAGGTCCCCAGGGTGGGTGCTGAGAAGGTTCTCAGAGGCTGTCGAGCCTTGGTACAGCTTCTGAGGTCACACTCCAGTATGAGAAACTGCAGCAAGGATCCTTCCTGCCAAGAAGGCGATATCCCTGGGCCCTGAGCAGGTAACCTGATGCTTTAGAATCAAGTATCAGGATGCAGAGCTGGATGGAGGATTCAGGGTGCTGGGCTGGGGGTGCCTTGTGTGTACCAGGTGCTGGAATTGACCTAGCAGGAAAGGAAACAGGACAGCACTTCAGTCACACTGTCCTGAGAGGGGACACGCACCATGGTGGAGGGCCGGTCCTCTGGACTCAGGTTGTCTGGGTGTGACTCCCACCTACTCCCCCTTGTGTATAAAGGGCCACTGCCCCTCAATGTGACAGGAGTTGAGGGCCTGTGCTCCTCAGGTGGGAAGGGGTTAAGGGCCACCCCTCCTGAGATGTGACATGATTGAAGGGCCACTTCCCCTCAGGTGTGACAGGAGTTAAGGACCACTGTCCCATGGGTGTGACCGAAGTTAAGTGCCATTCCCTGTCTGTGTGACTGGAGTTAAGGGCCACTGCCCCTAGGGCATGACAGAAGTTAAGGGCCCCTCGTTTGTGATAGGAGTTAAGGTCCAGTGCCCCACGGGTGTGACAGGAGTTAATGGCACTGCCTCTCTGGTGTGACAGAAGTTAACACCAGCGCCCTCCTAGGTCCTGCCAGCCACACACATTGTCCTTGTGCACATAGTACGACACCAGCGTTGCTCCCCGACTGCTGTGCCCAGGAGCCCCCTAGCACACTGGTGCAGTTGGGGCTCGTCCTTTGTTGGGGAGGACCCTCTCAGGTCAGCAGCCACAGTGGCACCAGCGGGGCCCTGACTGCTGCCCAGGGAGAGGCAGGGTGGCAGCAACAATGGCTCCTCAACCCAGCCCTTCCAGGCCATGAGGACAAGGCCTGCGCTGTGTGGATAAATGTCACCTCTGTCCCCACCTGCTACCTGCTGCTTCCCCAAAGAGAACTGGCTGGGCTGTCCGCTCTCCCCGCACACAGTGGTTAAGCTGGAAATCCAGGTTGTTGATTTCAAACAGGAAAATAGAGACAGGGCAAGTAAAAATGGCAATTGACAAGCTTTTTTACTTTCCTTTTGCAATACTGGGGACTGAACTCAGGGCTTTGCACCGAGCTACATCCCCAGTGCGTTCTGCATTCTGAGACAGTCTTCCTAAGTTGCTAAGTTGCCCAGGCTGAGCTTGAGCTTGCCACCCTTCTGCCTCAGCCTCCCACAGGGCACCTCCCATCTGTGCCTCTTTTCCTGCCTCTCCAGGGTTGGTGGAGCCTGGGTGCAGAGTCCCCTGAAGGCCCTCCCTTCCCTGCTGTGCTCTGTCTGTGTCCGGTGTTGCTCCGCAGAAGGCAGAGAGGAGGGCCAGTGACTCAGGTGACTGTGGCCTGTCCCCAGGAGCTGGACTACCCCTCTGAGCCAGGCCCGCTGCCGCCGCTCCGCAACCCCGACATCCTGGTGGGTGAGAATGACCTCACGGCGCTCAGCTACCTGCACGAGCCAGCCGTGCTACACAACCTGCGCGTGCGCTTCGCGGAGGCCCGGCTCATCTACACCTACAGCGGTGAGGCGAGGGCTGGACTCACATCTGGGAGGAGCCCAGGAGCACTGGGAGAAGAGGGCTGGCCTGTGCGAGATTCTCTCCTCTCAAAGAACCGGAGAGCCGGGTCTTGGTCCATTTCCCTGGTGTGCAGAATGCCGGAGGCCAGCAGACTCATGACGGGTGCAGCGCTGTTTTGCTCTGTTCTGTTCTGCAGTACTGGGAATTGACCCCAGGGCCTTTGCACTGAGCTACATCCCAGCCCTTTTTAAATTTTTTTAAAAATGTATTAGTCTTTATTTACGTTTTTATTGGTCTGCGTTTGCGGCCCACTCCTGCACTCCTCGTGTGGAGTTGGCGCATGTTCATAACCCATCACAATTCTCCTTACTCCTCGATCCCACATCAGCCCTTTCTTAGTTTTCATTTTGAGCGCAATCTTGCTAAGTCATTAAGTTGCCCAGGTTGGGCTTCAAGATCCAGATCCTCCTGCCTCAGCTTCCCAGAGTGCTGGGACTCCAGGCGTTCACCTCCGTGCCCGGCTGAGAGCAGAGGTTTCTATGCCTCACCATCCTGGAGGCTGGAGCCCGGGGCACGGCCCGCGTCTGCTCAGCGTCACTGCTTGGTGAGGGAGCAGCGCCCTAGCTGGGGTCTCTTCCTCAGCCACCCTGGGGCCCCATCTAACCCATGACTCCCGAAGGTGCCGCCTCCAGATGTCACCCCGAGATCAGGGAAGAGGCCCTACTCTGGGACACTGAGGACCGGAGCTGGCCCCTCTCCACAGGCATCATCCTGGTGGCCATGAATCCCTACAAGCAGCTGCCGATCTATGGGGACGCCATCATCCACGCCTACAGCGGGCAGAACATGGGCGACATGGACCCGCACATCTTTGCTGTGGCCGAGGAGGCCTACAAGCAGATGGCCAGGTAGCGTGGCCACTGGGCTTTCCGATGTCCCCTGAGCCTGCGCTCCGGGCACTCACAGAGGGGCGATGTCTGGGTGGGGCCCATCAAGGGAGACCGGCGGGCCGGACAGGGCCATTTGTGGAGCAGGCCACTGTCATGACAGCCGAAGAGCTAGATGTGGTGGCACATGCCTCAAATCCCAGCACTGTGGGAGGCTGAGGCAGGAGGATCAGAAAGTTTGAGCCTAGCCTGGCAATTTAGTGAGGCCTCATCTCAAAATATAAAATTAAAAAAGGACTGAGGAGGTAGCTCAGTGCAAAGGCCCTGGGTTTGATTCCCAGCACTGGGGAGAGGGGCCAAAGACAAATGCCTGTTAGCCGATAGCTAGCTGTCCAGCCCCGGCCCCCAGCTGCCCTCCAGGAGTCCCCACGTCCGTCCTTCCAGTCTGAGAGCCGCAGCCGCTCCCCTGCAGCACCTCCGGCTGGGGCTGGCTGGGGCTGGTTCTCCACGGGAGAGGTTCAGTCCTCTGTGGAGGCCGAATCCAGTGACAGGCAGACGAAGGATTGGCAGGGGAGACTTGGGGTTCATCTGGTTCCCCACTTGGCTGCTGGTGGCCTTCTGGGCTCTGCTCTTGCTCCTGCGCGTTGCGGAAGCCTCCTGTGAGTGGGCGCCCCGTGTGCCCCTGTCGCCTTGGGCCCGAGTGTAGGTGCCACTTGGCCGGCAGGGCGGGCTCAGGCGCTGTCCCTACAGCACTTACTGTTCCCATCACAAACGCTCCTCTGTGGTCCGAGTCCGAGTTGCTCAGGGGCAGTGGCGGGGAACGGAAGCAGCCTCAGCCTCGAAGGCCATCATGATTTGCCCGGGACTTTCACACGTGGCTGCTCCTTCTTCGTTCTCATTTCCTTTCTGCAGCATGGGGAGTGGGCCAGGGCTCGTACACAGTGGGCCACACCCAGCCCCATGGTCTCCCCTGGGCCTGGCCAGGCTCCAGTACACTGCTCATTACCCATGTCACCGAGGGGAAACTGAGGCCCGGGCCATGAATGAGCTGGACGTTCAGGGTACCCAGTCCTCCTCCATTGCTCAGCTCAGGGGATTGGTGCCAGGTGATCGGGGCTGGACTGAGCCTCTCCCAGTCATTGGAGTCCGGGTGACACCCAGCTCCCAGGGACCCTCATCCTAGGGCCGAGCACCCGGCCGCATCCCTTTCCTCTAGGCCACAGGGCATGCAGGGGCCATTGTCCCTCTAGCACCCCTCGAGGTGGCCAGGATGCATCCACACGGCCAGTGGGGGACACAAGGCTGTCACCAGGTCCCTGGGAGGGAGGCGGGAGGATATCAGGGATCGGTGGGCAGCAGCACCAGGGTCCCCCAGCCCCACTGTCCCTGCTGCGAGCTCCCTGCAGCTCAGGCCTGGTCATCTTGGTGGCCACAGCCCGGTCACCAGTGGTGGGAGCTCATTGGAACCATGGGGCGGGGTTGGCCTTCCCCTGGTGTCCCTCTGGGTCCCTATGATGGTGGCCACGAACCACGCTGCCTGTTTACCCAGAAGAGCGAACGCAGTGAACCTGTCTACCCCTGCTCCAGAAACAACAGAAACCAATCGGTCATTGTCAGCGGGGAGTCCGGGGCCGGCAAGACCGTGTCCGCCCGCTACGCCATGCGCTACTTCGCCACCGTCAGCAGGTCCAGCAGCGACGCCCAGGTGGAAGACAGGGTCCTGGCGTCCAACCCCATCACAGAGGTGGGTGTGAGGAGCGGCACGGGTCACTGTGGGGTGTGGGGCGGAGACTGCAGTTTCCAGGCTCCTCGCTGCGCACGGGGGTGGACGCTGTCCTCAGCTCCGTCCTGTCCCGGGAAGGCTCCCCATGGGCAGCTGGTCCCGGGTCCCCTGTGCGGCCCGTCACACACCCGGGAGCTCTCGCTGAGCTGGCTGCTCGCCTTTTGTGAGTCAGTCTTGCCCTGCAGGGCCCGCTCCCAACCCCACCTAAGGGGCAGTGCCCAAGGGATGGGGCACCCAAGGCCAGCGCCAGCCCAACCGTCCGCACATGAGAAGAGGGCTCGTCTGGAGGTGTAGCCAATAACGAAGCGCTTCAGACTGCGAGCCTCTCCTCCTGCCGTCCAAAATCCGAATCCACAGTGACCCTTTTCGGCTTTGTGACGCCACTGTGCCAGGGCAGAGAGTAAGGCCGGTCCCCCGTGGAGGGTCCGCAAGGCCAACACAAGCTCATTTACCAATTAGATCTAAGGTGCAGCGTCCAGCCACACTCAGGGTCACAGTTCAGGGACATCAGCTCGCTAACTAGAAACGCACATGACTGTCCCGGAGAGTGACAGGACTCGCACCACAGGGCAGTGTCATGCCATGTGCCGGTGGACAGTCGTGAGTGTGTGGTACAGGGGCGTGAGCCAGGGCTTCCCACTGAGCTGCATCCCCATCCCTTTTTATTTTTATTTTGCGACAGGGTCTCTCCAAGTCTCTAAGTTACCCAGGCTGGGCTAGAACTTATGATCCTCCTGCTTCAGCCTCCCAGGGTGCCGAGGTTACAGGCAGGCAATGTCCCATCTGCCAGTGGATAACTGCATGTGGCTGTTCTTTCAGGATTTGTCTCCCCACAGACTGTAAGCTCCACAAAGACAGGACCACGTCCTTTTTGTCCACTTTTGCTTAGCGAGCACGTGGCACATAGTACTGTAGGTGACAGCAAATATGCACAGGCAGGGACCCAGGGTGACTGGGGTGGAGGCACCGCCCAGGAGCACAGAGGGCACCCAAGCTCCGGCAGGGGAGAGACGGACTCAACCCAGAGGAAAAAGCAAAACTCAGGCCTGCGGAAAGAGGGTAAGGGTTAGGGAAGTGGTAAGGGATGAGGTCAGAGCAAAGGCTGAATTCAGTGTGAACGTTTAATTGAGCATCTAGGGCATCAGGGCAGAGGTGAGTTATCTTCCCTGCCCTGTGCATTAGGCAGAGTAAGCTGCCATAGTAGAGTACCCTGAATGGCGGTCTGGATGTGGCAGAATGTGTTTCTCCTGGCACGGAGGCTGAGGCTGAGGCCAGGGCTCTGTGAAGTCCCCCTGGGCTGAAGAGAGCTTGGCAGGTCCCCTTTATGCGGGCACCAGATCCTGTTCTCTGGGCTCCACGCACGACCTCATTGCCCGCTGCAGTCCCCACTCCTGATGCCCACACAGGTTAGGATTTCCACACCAGGACCTGGTAGGGACACAAGCACTGGGTCCATAACAGCAAGAAGCGTCTGATTTCCGTATTACAGAGAGACAAATGGAGACTGAGTGTCCTAGTCATTTTCCTGTGACTGAGACAAAATGCCCAGCCCCACAATTTAGAGGATGAGAGGTTTATTTTGGCTCACAGTTACAGAAGATTCAGTCCATGGTTGGCTGGCTCAAGGCAGGAATGGCATGGTGGGAGGGCCTGGTGGAGGAACAGCTGACCACCTCATGGAGGCCAGGAAGCAGAAAGAAAGGAGCTGGGGACAAGAATGTACCCTTCCAGGTCACCCTCATGGTCACCTCCAACCAGGCTCCACCTCCTACAGCGTATTCAGCCATGAAGTCATCCTTGGATGAATCCACACAGTACGGCACTCCACAGTCCCATCACCTTCCACACTCAGGAGACCTGGGGAGCACTTTAGACATAAGCCATAACACTTGGAAAGGTGGCATAACTTTTGTGCCATCACACAGATATCAAACATGGATCCCAGAGCCATGAAACAGAGCTGAAGCTCTTTCTGCCCCTACCTGGTGTCTTCTGGAGGGATGAGGAGAGCCTTGGATTGTACCCCACACACCCATCTGCCTCCAGCTGCTCTTCTGCCTCCCCAACCCCTCTGCCATCAGGCTCTCCCATCAAATCTTCCCCCACCAGGACATCCCCTGCCAGACCCTCCCCCACAGGCCCTCCCCCAGCACACAGGACCAGATGTTACTAAAAATTGCTCTAATGACCTTGATGCAAAGATCTTTTAATGTTGTCATGTCAAGAAAGCCCTGTGTTTTCTAGGCTATTGGGAATGCCAAGACCACCCGCAATGACAACAGCAGTCGGTTTGGAAAATACACAGAAATCAGCTTCAATGAGAGAAATCAGATTATAGGAGCCAACATGAGGACATATTTGCTGGAGAAATCCAGAGTTGTCTTTCAAGTAAGAATAAAAGTATTCGTTGAATTTCCTTTCCCCAACCTTTAAATATTATACCCATGTGTACTCCACAAACAACCTACATTACTCTGTGACTTGAAGAATCAAGTTTTCCTGTCTTTCGTTTGCAGCCTGGATTCTTCTAGTTTTTAATAAGCAGGAAAACAAATTGCGGGGGGGGGTGGCTGTATATCAGTGGGGTTGTGTGGTTGGGGGAAAGGGTTTTGATTTCTAATTTGAAAGAATTTAGAACCCCAGAACAGTGGCCTGGCAGGGCTGTGGGGTCTCTGCCTGGAGAGCGGGCTGGGCCAGAGGTCATTCCCGAGTGTCCTGCTGTTCCCACCCACAGAACGCTTCCAGTTCATGCTGTCTGCTCTGGGGCCACCCAGCTGGCACCGGGTTGAGGGGACACATCTGTGTCCTTGGGGGAACAGTGGCCCAACCCAACTGGCCGCCTGGGACCCTCCAGTTAAAAGCCTGCCATTTGCACCCATAAAGGGCTGCTCTAATTTGAGGGCCTTTTCTCTATTTTGCAGTCGGAAAATGAACGGAATTACCACATTTTCTATCAGCTGTGTGCGTCTGGCCAGCGGTCGGAGTTTAGACATCTGAAACTGGGTACGTGACAAACCCTGCTTGAGTTCTTGGTTCATTTCCCCTTATTATTATAATGCACCTTTATAAATACGTTTTGTCTAAAGCCACAATATCATCCTGCTTCGGGGGTGGAGCCCATGTGTACCTGAGGAAAAAGATTGGGGCCAGGCGGGAGGGGAGCCCCGACAGGGACGGGTCACAGCTCCCCAGTGACCAAGCACTAAGCTAGAGCCACCTGAGAAGCACCCTGACTCGGGGCGCGCGGCCACAGCCCACTGTCACTGCTATTGAGCGCCCCTCGAAGGCTGTCCTCAGGCACCGGTGATGCGGCCCGGTCTTCTAGAGGCTCCTCCATTGCGCTCTGATCCTCTTCGGTGACTCGCTGTCAGTGTCACAGTGACACCTCAGCTACTTGTCCTTATGCGCTGAAGGCCTGGAGCCCTGCTGGCCTGGCCTTCCCTGTCCAGGCTGGGCTGGGTGAGAACTGGCAGAGGCATCACCGCCTTCCTGCTTTGGAGGAGTCCCCTGTGCTCTTGAAGCGCAGCTTCTGCAGATTTCACAGGAATATGCTGTCCGTGCCCTGCCTGCCACAGCAGCAGAGCTGGGCGTGGAGCGGGCTCTGCCAGGCCTTCTGCTGTGCTGGCCACACCTGTGCTATGACGTTGTCTGGTCTGGGACGAGGGGTTATGGGCCACACGGACATCACACTCATCACCTGGCACCACCTGAGTGTGTGCAGCTTATTGCAGACCTGCATGAGTGCATCAGATGCAGGAGCAAAGCCCCATGCTTCCAAGCAGGGCCCGAGGTGAACTCCTGCCCGCCAGCCAGTGGGCTCGGCCGGGGTCTGCTCTCGCCTCAGCCCCGGTCCTGCTGTGGAGGTCTCGGTATGTATGGGAAATGCGAAGTGTGTGGCGCAGCTCGCTGTCCTTTTGGCCCAGGTCGCGCGGAAGAGTTCCATTACACGAACATGGGTGGCAACGCTGTCATCGAGGGTGTGGACGACAGGGTGGACTTGGTGGAGACTCAGAAGACCTTCAAACTGCTGGGTGAGTGAGGGTGCAAGGCAAGAGGAGAGGAAGCCAGGCAGGAGGGAAGGCTGGGGTCTCCGTTCGGCTGCTTAGCACGGCCATGCAGGACGCATCTGAGTCTAAGCGGGCACAGCTAAGCTTCTCCCCCCGAAGTGCAGGCGCCAAGCTCTTTTCCGGTGCTGCTGGGCCAGGAGTGAGCCCCGGGACCGCTCCTGAGCTCACTGCGGCAAGGGGTAGGAAGCAAAGGCCCCACGCCGCTGGGATGGGCATGGGTGGTCCTGCCTGGCCTACAAGGACCTGGGTGGGCGGAGGAGGAGACAGTGGACACCGATGGGCCTGTCCAAAAGACTTGAAACCCATGAGTCACTCAAGCGAACCTTGCAGCACCCTGTGGAGTAGAGGCTGCTTTCTCCTGTTTTACAATAGGGAAACTGAGGCACAGAGCTGACAGTGATTCGCCGAAGACCACGTGGTCAAGGTGGAGCAGCACTGACTGTAAAGGATCTCATTTTTATGCAGAAACCAAGTCTCCTGCTTGGGTGTTGGCCGGGGCCAGCCAGGTGTCCTCAGCACCTCTACCACCTTACTCCCCGAGTCCTGGGCTACTTGGTTTGTTTGTTTGTTTGTTTTTAAAGCACCCAAGTGCATGCCTTATTATTCTGCTAGGTGTTTCTTAATCAATGCAGCTGACCTATCAGGATTAGTGTCTTTTTTTTTTTTTTTCTTTTTCAGGTCAACATTTTAATCTAAATTCATGTTTAACACACATATTTAAAAGGTTTACAACATGCAAGTTTATTAGGATATTCTTATAATCCTATGGAGAAAGTAGAGTACAGAAAAATATCTTTACATTAACCAACAAAATTTTAGCTACTGCATTTCATTTTCTTAGATCATTAAAGAGTTTAAGGGTGATCTCTGCAAAATCTGATTTTTAAAAAGATCTTTTACAATCATGATTTTTGTTCTTCATTGTTCAAGTAAGATCTTGCATCATCCAGTTGCAAATCTTACTGGCAATATGTATACATGTATATAAAGTATATTGCAAACATAAAAAGAATTGTACCTAATCAAGCCTGACAAAATTTTAAAGACACTTGTAATCATTTAATCTTGTAAGTAATGTCATTATTTTGTACTTCTAGTCATTTACCATGTTTTAGGAAAGAGTACATTCATACTTACAAACACACAAAACATAAAAAACTGTAAGTGACATTTGAAAATCCATTATAAAAGAGACTTGCCTGAAGTCCTTTCATTCACAAAAATTAATTTAACTCTAAAAACTAAAGTCTAATCGCAAGGAAATACATAATAAAATATTACAGAGAATGTTAAGTTGAATTTTGCCATTATATCAGTTCTGCATATTGGGTATTTTAATTGTGTTCTCTGGTGAAAACAGAACTAGGATTTCATAGCTATGTCATGCGAGGTGTAACTGATAGGTATGCTCCATAACAAAGAGAAATGAGACAATCTAAAGGAAATCAGCTACTGGTTGCCTTCATTCTCAGCACTCAGAAAGGAGAAATCTTGCACTGACCTCTTGTCAACTTTACATGCAAACAGACCCCTAAACCATAGTCAATCACCAAATAAAGACAATAGCAAACTCAACAGAAGACAACTGTCCTGTATACAACTGATAATGCAATAATCCTTTCAACAAAGTCTCAACAGTTCCAGGATTTTTCATATGTCCAAATCTCTTCTAAGATTCAAGACAAACTCTTAGCTGTGAATGTTTATAAAAATCAGAACAAGTTACAGAATCCCAAAATACAATGCCACAAGGTAAATAGCCCCATCCCAAAAGGGAGAAGTGGGGAATGAAAAGAATTAGAGTGAACCAAAACACTAACCCAATAGGGCAAATCCAGTCCTATAGCTCCATTGGCACCAGGACCTGGTGGTAACTGTGAGTTCCCAAGGCTTGAGAAGACCCACCCTACGGCCTTGCCATTCGAAGCCTGCAGGACCTTTCTCATGGGCGGCTCTGCTCACAGACTGAAGCTGCCCTCAGCAGGCATTCCCCATTCCTGGCATCTCAGATATCCTGGGTCTCCACTGCACCTTCAGCTTTATCCTCACAGATTCACACCCTGCCCTCTCAGCCTCCTTCCCTGGTCCCAGGCCTTCCTTTGAAATCCGGGTAGAATTGTCCTACATCACTCTGTTGCAGAATTTCAGGAGACTGGAGAGGCCAATAGGAATTGGGAGGATTTACTTTAGGTCTTAGGTGAACACTGGCTCAACGGACTCCTGTCCAAAGGAAGTGCTTAAAAAGATGGAAAAGTTTCAGTTTTATACATTTGGTCAAAAAGAAGGGGTGAGGCTGGGGATTTAGCTCAGTGGTGCCGCCACCTGCCTCGCAAGCCCAAGGTCCGAAGTTCAATCCCCAGTACCAAAAAAAAAAAAAAGAAGAAGAAGAAGGGGTGGTCTTCTAGTGACATGAAATAGGGGGAGCGAGGTTACCGGAGCAAGCAAAAGCCACTTAGCCACATCTCACACGGTGACAGTTTCATTCCTGTGAATCCCGTGAGAGCAGGGCGTGGAGAACTTTGTGTACAGGACACAGCTGCCAGTCTCATCTGTACCAGAATAAGGGGTTACAGCTACTGGGGAGAAGGGGGCGGCCTGAGGGGGCTGCCCAAGGCTGAGAAGAATTTGTTGTTCTTTAAGTCCTGCTTCCGCCTCGCCCCTGCTCAGCGCTTGGCACCAACAGTGCCTGCTGGTGTGGCTGGCTGCTGACTGGGATGCTTGCTTTCAGGCTTCCGGGAGGACTTCCAGCTGGATGTGTTCACGGTCCTGGCCGCCATCCTGCACCTGGGCAACGTGCAGGTTACCGCAGCAGGCACTGAGAGATCCTCTGTCAGGGTGAGAGTTTCACCCTTCCTCCCTGCTCAGGGCTGACCCACCACTGGGCTGGGCAGAGGCAGGAAGCAGGGTGTCGGGCAGATCGCAGAGCGCAGCTTCCTCCCCTCTGCTGGGGCGGAGCTGCGTGTGTGTTTTTCTGTTCCTCAACATGGATTCGTGGAGCACTGCTGGGCACCATGGGCTCTGGGGAGACGGCGTGGGCTCTCACGCCTAGGACCAGGAGGCCGTTCCTCTCCCTCCAGCTCACATGACCCTGCCCCTTGTCCCTGTCCCCAGTGTCCAGGCCCAAGCCCATTAGCTCCCAGCACAGGGCGGTGGTCGAGGTGAGTGCAGGCCCAGGCATGGTGTATGGCTCCGTTTCCTTGCTCATTCACCCCAGGGAGCCCAGTGTCTGCCTTCTCCTTCCTGCCTCGTAAAGACTAAGCAAGTGAGTTCCACCCACTAAGTGCCATCACTTGAAGCTTGATCTCAGGAGCTTTGCTAAGAAGCACTCACTTGGAAGAGAAATTAAAACTGACAAACCAGAAATCCTTTGGAAAATCACCAGCTTTATAGTTAATGGCCCTCACTCATTTATGTGAGGAACTTAGACTTGTGGGCAGATTAAATGTGAGTGAAACCATCTTCCTTAAAAAACCCCAGACACCCACCTCTTTGCATTTCCTTCACAGCAGTAGCTATACCGGAAGTTCTCACTGAGAAGGTTTGGTTCCTTCATAGGAGAGAGGACACCAATGCCTGTGCCAGTGCTGCCCCAGCAAGGAGGCCGAGCGTGAGCCCAGAGTGACCATGACATTGGTCAGGGGATTGTATGGGGGGTCAGGCAGCAGGACTTCTTACACCCTTCCTCTGCCACATCTGATGCCTTTAAAGTCCCAGATGGTTCTCCTGGTGGCCTGAGACAGCACCCTCCTTGGAAGTCCCCTGGTCCAGAGGAATGGTGGTGCTCAGTTGCACAGCACTGTAGGGAACAGGGGAAGGGGACGTTACCAGAACCTCTGCAGTAAGTCCTAGTCTCCTGCGAGCCACGGCAGCGCACGGTGAATTACAGAAAAGGTAGACAAATGAGACTGAGAAGCTGAGCTTTGGGTCTGATCAGTGCTGCTCTGGGCAGCAAAGACAAAAGCCCCCAGCTTACCACTTTTATTCAGTACCTCGTAACAAATGACTTGAAGACAATTCAATAGTTCACATTGGGATAAACAAGGTGTAACAAAAGGCTTGCAGAGAGTTCAGTACATCTTGGGTAAACAAGATGTTAACAGTCCAAGAACAATGAGGAACTGAGCAGATGTTTGTTCTCCCAGGATGTTTCTTGTCCTGGAGAATCACAGCATCACTGGATCACTGAAGTCTCACTTGTGATCAGAGGCCAAACTGGAGTTATTCTGTAGCTGGGCTGTAGGCAAGAGAACTAGGCTAACCAAATGATTTTACCCTAAAATTATGTAGCATTCTCCCGACACAGCATCACCTCCCTGGCCAAATGACAAGATCCCCAGTCCACACTGGCTGTAGACAAAGGGGGGCACCTCCCCTGTCCTCACCTGCTTGGGCTCAAGAGAGAAGTCAGTGCACTTTGTGGATCCAGAAGTCCCCATGCAGCTTTCATGGTCACTGTAGTCACTGGGACAAAATAACCAACAACCAAAGCTTATAGGAAGAGAGGTTTATTTGGCTCACGATTTCCAGTGGGTTCAGTCCATGGTTGGCTAGCTCCAAGACAGAACAGTATGATGGAAGGGCCTGGCAGAGGACAGCTGCTCACCTCATGGGAGCCAGGAAGCAGAGAGCATGGAGGAGCCAGGGACAAGAATCTAGGCCACACCCCAGGGACCACCCCATCCAGGTCTTGCCTCCTGGCAGCACATTCCACCTTGAGCTCTGTGGATTCATCCACAGCCCTGTGCTGGCTGAAAAGGCCCCTGGGAGGGAGTCCCTTTGGTTCTATCTGGTCCTCCTGTGCCAGGCCGCCCAGCCCACCCTCCACCCCCCATGCATGCTAACAGTAGCCTGGTGCCATGCTGTGCAGGGAGAGAGCTGGGCTACTCCCACAGACACGGAGAGGGGTGGTGACGTGGGGTGCCCAGTGAGCACAGCCCAGGTTGGCTGGCATCACTGCAACAGGGTTCATCAGGGCTGGGTGCCAGCTGGTGTCCCCAGCCCCTCCTGCTTGGGCCCAGGCCTGGGCTTTACCACCTGAGCCTGTGCCCCCCTGCCGGCTGCTGCTCCTGCCTTGCAGACCGTGTGAGCCTGACTGGCTTCTGCTTGCTTTGAAGGAGGATGATGGTCACCTGCAGGTGTTCTGTGAGCTCCTGGGTCTGCAGTGTGGCCAGGTTGCCCAGTGGCTGTGCCACCGAAAAATCATCACCAGCTCGGAGACAGTGGTGAAACCCATGACCAGGCCGCAGGCCATCAACGCCAGGGACGCACTGGCCAAGAAGATCTACGCGCACCTGTTTGACTTTGTCGTGGACAGGATTAACGGAGCGCTGGGCTTCTCGGGCAGGAGGCACTCGTTCATTGGGGTCCTGGACATTTACGGGTGAGAGCCCGCAGGGCGCTGGGCGGCCCCTCCTTGGTTTCTTCTGTTGTGCTTTGCGTGGCCATGAAGCCTGTGTTCTCTGATCCATGCATATACAGGGGGTGTTCCAGATGTACAGCGAATGTTGAAATTAAAATATTTATTACAGTAAAAGCCACATTCCCATGCATCCCCTCCCAAATCCTCCCTCTCGCCTTGAACACACTTACCCCATGTTCTTGCCACTTTGCAGCAGCTCTGAAGTCCTTTCCTGAGGCTCATTAGGAGGTGTGATAAATAACATGGTGAGTGCTGCTGCCAGGTGCCATCCAGTGGAAAGGCAGGCACATAAAACCATGACTGTCCCCTCATCCACACTGTTCACAGGATGTGGCACTGTGCAACTTCAGGGTCTTCCTCAAAGTCAAAATGCCCACGAGAGGGAAATGTTTCGAATCAGTTCGGGACACGAGAGCAGCCAGGACAGTGCAACTAAAGACGCTCAGGAAAGAGGACTCCAGAGCTACTCTAGAAAATGCCAAGAACAATGGGATGAGTGTGTTTGAGCCAAGGGGCAGTATTTTGAGGGGGATTTGTGGCAATGTGACTTTTACTGCAATCACTTAAAAAGTTTTTCCACATTCACCATATTTTTTGGTTACACCGCAGAGCTGGGTCCAGGCACTGATGAGTGGTGACGCCACCCCTCAAAGCCCCAGGACGTCCCCTGCAGGGCCCTGGGCCAGTGGCAAGCAAGGCCCAGCCTCCCCTGAGAACCAGGTGGTGCCGTCCAGCCCCACTATCCAGGGCTGCAGTGGCAGGGCCAGGTCCACTCCCCTCAGATGCTCCTGGTTTCCAGCTGAGCTGGGGACCCTGGGTCGCAGGCTTCAGGCAGGAGTGGCCTTGCCTCTGTCCCAGGATCTACAGGCGTGAAGTCGGTCCCGCCAGCTCCTCCGGGGCTGGGACCTGGGCAGCGCCTGTGCTCTCAGGCCTGCCCTCCTGTTCAGAGAGGACGGCAAGGCCACCCCGGGGTCTGCGCGTTAGTGAGACGCCGTGTGTGACACGGCTGGGGTGCCCAGCACAGGCCGTGGTTTGTACATGAACAGACCGCTCAGCAACACCAGGGCGCCGTGTGATGTGTCAACCCACCCCAGGTGGTGCTCGGGACGCACAGGGCTGTGTTCAGAACTTGCACAAAAGCCCCACCGACTTCTAAGAAGTTCTCAGAAACCCTCACCTATACATGAGTGCAGACGTCGTACTGCAGTTTTTTTCCTATTTTAATTTTGTTTAAACTGTGTTTCAGTTTTGAAACCTTTGATGTGAACAGCTTTGAACAGTTCTGCATCAATTATGCCAATGAGAAGCTGCAGCAACAGTTCAACCTGGTAGGTGGCTTTCCTGCCTCTCTGGCCTGGAACCGGGCCTGGGCCTGTGGGAGGCCTCAGGGAAGAGGACGAGACCGCACTGCTTCCCCCTCCCTCCTCCTCTCTCCCTCTTCCTCCTCCTCCCTCCCCCTCCCTCCTCCTCCCTCCCCCTCTCTCTCTGTCTCTCTGTTCTTCTCTTCCTCCCTCCCTCTCTCCCTTTCCCCCGTTCTTTTCTCTCTTTGCCTTCACACAGAGCTACATCCACAGCTCTTTTTTTCTGAGACATGGTCTCACTAAGTTGCCCAAGCTCCTCCTCCTGCCTCAGCCTCCTATAGTCCCAGAGTGCTGGAATTACATGCAAGACTCTCTGCAAGTTATCGATGGTTCCTTCCTAATTGCAAGATCAAATATGTCCTCCCTCTCGTGGAGACAGACAAGGCATGGATCCCAGTGAGAAAATTCATTTATGTGAAAGTTGTCGTGAGTCCCAAGTGTGTGCGCAGCTGCTGAGTTGGGGTCTGGGATCCAGAGTGGCTAAGCCCTTGAACGTGTTGACTAAGTGCCACTTCGGACACTGTGGCTTTATGGCATCACCGTGCATGGTAAATATGACTCTAACCTCGTCAAAGAGCCCGTATTCAAGAACTTATGGGCCTCACTTCTGCACCCTCCGGGGCCTGTGCCACCCCTCCCAGAGCCCAGCCATGGGAAAGTCTGCTGGACACTTCCCACCCCGGCACCACCCGGCAGCTGCTCTCGGCTTGGTGACCTCATGCTCACCTCTGAGTCTGGCTGTTTCTGAAAGCCGCGGGGATGCTCAGAAGCTTTGCTAATGTCTCTGTCCCTGTCCCTCTCCTGCCCCCAACTTGGCTACCCTTCCCTGGAGAGGGCTCGGGTTCCGGTCACAATGCTAACAGTGGCTCCAGGAGGGGCTCTGCCTTGCCAGCTTCGGCTTGGGGCCTTTAGCTCTGCACAGGAGTCCTGGGGGACCCACGTGGAGGAGGGGGACAGGGACAGCAGCCTCTGCTCCCTGACTGCGTTTGCCCCCAGGTCTGGCTTTAAAGCAGGTCCGGTCACCCGCCTGAGTCCTCGTGAGGGGACCTCACCCGGAGTGGACGCGTCTTCCTTTCCCTTTCCTCGAGGGTACGCATTCGACTTCAGCCCATGGCAGATTTCTCTGCATGGCATTGAGTATCTGCACTGAGGTTGCTGCCCACACAGCCAGCTGGGCCCGCCTGCCCCATCCTCCACACGACCTCAGAGTGGCGCCTGTGCCCTGGATCACGAAGCAGGCCCGCCAGTCCCTCCTCCTCTCGCCCCACCTTTTCCCTCTGTGTGGGTCGCCGTCCGTGTGTAGACTGGGGTGGGTGCTGTGCTGAGGACCCCTGGCTGTGGCAGCTGTGCTCCGGGTGCCCAGGGCCGCACAGGGCGGTCCACAGAGAGCTGCTTGTGCCCGTGGCTTTGCCCACTGCCCACCCCAAGGGCTCCAGTGCTGATCCCCTGAGTCCCCTCCTGCCCCCCCAGGAGCACAGGCTGAGTCCCCACCCAGACCTGCTCTTCCCAGGCCCCTAGATGTCACCGTGACCTCCTGCCAACCCTGGGGGCCTCAGAGCAGGAGCTAGGACTGCAGGGAGCACGCAGAGGCCTCCCTTCCTGTGGCTCGGCCCTGTGCCCTCCCCGGGCTCATCCCAGCCTCCCTTCTCCCACCCCAGCCCCGTATGGTCTGTCCTCCGCTCTTCAGGGGCCTCCTGGTGCCAGGAGCAGAAGGACAGGGCCACGCTGGGTCCCAGGCTATGCTGCTGGTGACCGGGGCTGGCCCTGGAGGTGGGGACCCACACAGACTCATATCAGGGTCACAGCCTGGAGCTTAGGAGGGGTCACCTGCACCCCAAATGTGGGCGCCGAAGCCCTGTCTGCCGGGCTGTTCGGGGCTCACCGTAACGACCACTCTTCTTCATGCTCGCCGCGGCACCAGCATGTCTTCAAGCTGGAGCAGGAGGAGTACATGAAGGAGGACGTCCCCTGGACGCTGATCGACTTCTACGACAACCGGCCCGTCATCGACTTGATTGAAGCCAAGATGGGCATTTTGGAGCTGCTGGACGAAGAGTGCTTGGTAACCGTGGAGACATTTGTGCGCTTCTGAGTGCTAACAGATGAGTGTATTTCCCGGTGATTTTTGGAGCTGCCGTGCAGAGTCCTGCTGTGCCCAACTCTGGAACATGAGCAGCACCAGGCGCTCCCTTGGGGCACACAGGTTACCCCAGGTGACACCCAGAGCCCAGGCTGTGTGGAGCCTGGCGTCACCCGCTGGCCACCTGGGTCCTGTGAGCCCTGGGGACGGTCGGGATGTCACACCTGTGGCAGAGCCCGACAGGGCAGCTTCGCAGGGGAGATCCCCCCAGGAGAGCACAAGGCTGGGCTCACAGGATGCGCGCCTGTCTCTGGACACGCGCGGTCACTGTGGCGTGCAAGGCTCCTCACTGCTGACTTTCCTCACAAAGTCGCCCTCAGTGCTTGACCCCAGGCCGGGGAGCAAGGTGACAGTGGGCAGCAGCACCCAAGCTCTGGAAGGTCCCCTGGGCCAGGCCACACAGGGCAAGGCCTCCAGGAAGTGGCTTTGCTGGTGGTGGTGGCAATGGGTTTTGTCTTGCTCTTGGTACCAGGGGTTGAACGCAGGGCCTTTGCACTCAGTTGCATCCCCAGTGCTTTTTAGTTTTCGTTTTGAGACAGGGTCCTGCTAAGTCACTAAGTTCCCTAGGCTGGGCTCAAGCCTGCCACCTAGAGTGCCAGGATGACAGGTGTGGCTTCCAGGGTATGTGCACCTGCTCCGCACAGGTGTTTCCCAGAGTCCAGTGTCACAGAGAAGTCCTTCAGGAGTCATTTAGGCTCAGAGGGGATTGGGCCTACCACATCGGAGCTAAAGTTAACTGAAGTCCAAGATCCCCAGAGAGAAGAGCCAGCTCTGCCGTGTGCTGAGGCTGAGGGGGGGGCTCAGCCCAGGAGGTGGCTGACCGGGCGCTGAGACAGAGACTGAGCTCTGGGGTGGGAGGAGACAGGGTGGCCCATCCTCCTGGGGAAGGAAGCCTGCTCCCAGGCCAGCCCCAGGTTTTCCAGAACTGTGAGGCTTCTGCGAAGAACCATGAAATGCTGCCCACCTTGTGGATGTAGAAACCTTCTTCCATACGGCATCCTATGTCCAGCTCCTTTAGTTTAAAATGTTTTGTTTCTACATTTTTAATTTCTGGTACCAGGGATCTAACTCAGGACCTTGTACTTTCGAGTCAGGGACAGCGCCACTGAGCTACATCCCCAGCCCAAAATGTTTTGTTTCTAAATGTGATGTGTCCAGTTAGAAATCACTGTGATGCCCCATAAGTATATGTGATTAATATTTGTCAATAGTAAGAGAAAATCACTCTTGGGCTGAGGAAGGCGCCGGCCACCCTGGTGGGGCCCCATGAGGTCAGCGCCCGGCCGGGCTCATCGTGTGGCCCCATTGCCTTCCCATCCTCGTTTCTTACCTGCTCTTTGACTTGCTTTTCTCTTCCAGTTACCACATGGAACTGACGAGAACTGGCTTCAAAAGCTGTATAATAATTTTGTCAACAAGAACTCTCTATTTGAGAAACCCAGGATGTCAAACACATCCTTTATCATCCAGCACTTTGCTGACAAGGTGCGTGATGTCCGTCGTCACCCCGAGTGCGCGGCCTGCGCAGCTTCCGGAGGAGCAGCCAGGCTGCGAGTTTCCAGGGCAGAGCCCAGTCACGCTGAGCGTCGTGTAGCTTTGATGAAGTGTGTGTGTGTGGTACCGAGGGTTGAATCCGGGGCCTGTGCGCTCAGCTGCCTCCCCAGCCTTCTTTATTTTTCAAGACAAGGTCTCATTAAGTTGCCCAGGCTGAGCTGGAATTTGCCATCCAGGCCTGCAGCCTGATGCCCAGATTGTTTAACAAGTCTTAATACATTTATGACAGATTATGTGAGTCTCAGCTGTACGGCTTTAGTGTGCTGCTACGTTAAGGACTTCATTTCTGAACTCGGGGTTTACTGTGAGTTCATGATCCACTTCAGTGTCTTTTCCCAGTGACATTGTGAGTGACTGAGACAGCGCAGTTGTTCCCTGTGGTAAAACTCGCATCATTTTTGCAGTTTTCTTTTTTTATGAAGCCAGAGTGTCTGTGTTACCGAGGCCATGCAGGGTAGTTCAAGATGATGACATTTTCTGGGAGAACTTTGTCCTCTTCTCTACATGTGTTCTGTTTTACTTTTTGCTAAACAATGTGACATTCCTAAGAAGAGTGGGCCCAGGTCACTGTGTCAGGACAGCATCAGACATTTGCCAGGTTCCCACCTATAATCTCAGCACCTGGGAGGCTGAGGAAGGAGGGAGCCACCTGAAAACACGACTCCTCCGCCCTCTCCCTGCTGGGCTGGCAGAGCCAGCATCTCACCTGGTTCTGCCGCGGCTCACGGCAGCTCTCTGGAAGGATCGGCACAGCACCTGGCACTGCATCTGCAGGGCGCTCGGCCTCGGACACAACCTCACCCCGGGACCCTGCGACCCCAGAGTCCACGCCCGAAGGCCTGTGCCTTCAGGGTTGTTTTAAACATTATTATCATATGCAGAGCTGGGATTCAAACCCAAAGCCTTTTCATACTAAGCAAGTGCTCCACCACTGAGCTACATCCGAGTCTTAGATTAATTCTCAATACATTTTTTAATTCATGAAAGATTCGTATCACAAATTAAAATATGCAACCATGCACACCTGTAATCTCTGCTACTCAGGAGGCTGAGGCAGGAGGGTCACAAATTTAAGGCCAGGCTGGACAACTGAGTGAGACCATGTGTTCAGATAATATAAAGGTGCTGGGCTGTGGCTCAAGGTGGAGTGCTGGCCCAGGAAAGCAAGGGTCCGAAAGCCTCCCAGGTCTGTGTATGGGTGCAGAGAGCTTCTGGAGCCAGAGGCTCTGGCCCCCATGTCCCTGGTGGCCTGACCCGGGCAGGGTGGCACTGGGCAGCGTTCAGTCCTCTCTGCCCAGTGGTGCTGGCTCAGGTGTGCAGCCAACACTGCTGAGCCTCCCCCATGTGGTACCCTGAAGCCAAGGGACCCTCAGCCAGGTGTTCACGAATGACCTGCACACCAGGCCACAGGGGTCAACAGAGTGGGCAGTGGGCTTGAGAAACTGAGGCAGGAGTGCTGGCTTTGCATTGAAGACCTGCACCAGTTTCCAAAGCTCATGCAGACAGCATCACTGCTATGGGGAAGGGGCCAAGCTTCCTGTGAGGTCGGCTTTGCACAAAGAGCCATAGCCTCCTTAGAGAGAGGGTAGGAGGGCAGCTGGAGTTCCTGCAGCACAAGACAGAAAGGAGGGAGGGAGAGAGGGAGAAGGAGGGAAGGAAGAAGGGAAGGAAGGAAGGAAGGAGGGAAGGAGGGAGGGAGCAGGAAAGGAAGGAGGAGGGAGGATGGGAGAGGAGGGGACTTGCGCATCCCTGCTGTCTGCCTCTGGAAACCCCGCGTCCCTCTGGCAGGTGGAGTATGAGTGCGAAGGCTTCCTGGAGAAGAACAGGGACACCGTGCATGACACGCTGGTGGACATCATGAGGACGAGCAAGGTTCTTAGAGCCTGAGGGGCCGCCGAGGGTGCTCGTCCTGTGATGGACAGGGGTGTGGGCGTTGTCAGGAAGGGTACGGGCGGTTTGGTTTCCCAAGTGAGCTTGGCACCATGCTGAGGGTTCTGGTGAATCTGCAGGATCTGCAGCCGTTAACCTCACCTCCGCGCCCAGGTCCACATGCACGGCGCAGGTGTGCAGATCTGGTCAGTTTTATTCAGCAGCTCTTCACACAGCCCCAGGCTGGGTCCAGTCTGTGAGGCGAAGGCAGATCTCTTGGGTGCAGAAATAGTCTGGCCACAAAACACACAACGGAATTCAGATTCTTCATTGGCAGGGTGCTATCTTGGGGGACTTAGGTCCAGGGTTCAATCCCCACTACTGAAAAAAGAAAGAAAAAAGAACAGTGGTACACAGTGGAAAGTAGCAAGCGCCTTGAGAAAGGAACAAAGGGAGAGCCGAGAGCTCGATGGGCCATGGGTGGGAGGAAATGCAGTGAAGAGGGTGTGGCAGACGGGACTGAGACATCCCTGAGGCAGCAGGAGGACAGTCGGGAGCCCAGGGATGCATGGAACCACCGCAGAAGCTCCCGCTCCTGGGCACCTGGGGTGATGCAGAGGCAGGCGGCCCCACGGCTTCCTCAGTGTCCCCTGCTGTGTGGCGGGCAGGTGGGGTGCAGGGCTTCCCCGAACCCACGCAGAGGCTGTTGTGACCTGAGGACTGCAGCTGACACCTGGGACATCACAGCTCTCTCTCCCTTCCAGTTTCATCTCTGCGCCAGCTTTTTCCAAGAAAACCCAGCTCCTTCCTCCCCTTTCGGTTCAGCAATCACCGTGAAGCCTGCCAAACAGGTGGTCAAGCCCAGCAGCAAGCATCTGCGGACCTCGGTGGGGAGCAAGGTACAGAGGGGCTGGGCAGGTGACGGCAGCCCCCACATCAGAGGCCCAGAGGCCCAGAGCCCCGCTGTGGCACCAGGAAGGCGGGATGGCCGGGCCGGGGTTTACAGATGTCCTGGTGCGTTGCCTGCGGGTCACACCCAGGCACCTGCCCTTCACTTGGACCTGGGTCATCTGCCCTCTGCTGCCTCAGTTCCGCAGCTCGCTGGCCCTGCTCATGGAGACGCTCAACACCACAACGCCCCACTACGTGCGCTGCATCAAGCCCAACGACCAGAAGCTGCCCTTCGAGTGAGCGTCCGGTGCTGCCCCGCCCCTGTGGGACTTTGCCGTAACTATGGGCTGCTGCCCCCTCCTGCATTTGCCTGACTCCCAGCAGCCCTGCCCTTTGCCTCTGGGCACAGCCCAGGCAGAGCCCCGCCTTCCCAGGGCCAGGCCGGCCTCCAGCAGGCCGAGCCTCTGGCTTGATGTAAGAAGGATGTGGAGGGTCTGGGGCAGAAGATGTGACCCTTCCCAGGGCCTGAGATGTCCTCCCGCCTCAGCCTCCCAGGGTGCTGGGATGACAGGCGTGTGCCACCCAATGCCTTTCCCCATGCCCCTCCTCCCACTGTCCCGAAGCTCTCTGGACGGGTCACAGAGGCACTGTCCCCTGGATGTGGCAGCCCCCTGTGCCTGGGAGCTCTGGGCCCAGTGTCCCCGTGGCCCCTGTCCCTGGTGAGTGTTCAAGTCATGGTGCAGTGACACACTGTCCCCTCGGCTCCTGTAAGGTTTGACTCCAAGAGAGTCGTGCAGCAGCTGCGAGCCTGCGGCGTCCTGGAAACCATTCGCATCAGCGCACAGAGCTATCCGTCCAGGTATGGCCCGCCGAGCTCTCGGCTTCTTGAGGCCAGAGGAGGCCGACAGAGAGGCTGCCAGGGGACAGAAGCCACCACGCCCATGCCAATCGCGGTGCCCTGGCTGGGGTACAGGACAGGACAGGCACGGTGGGGGAGTCGTCGGGAGGAGCTGGAGGAGCAGACTGTGCTGGGGCCGGGGGTGGGGGGTGGGCGGGCAGGAGCATCCTCGCAGAGCCCTCATGGGGCTGCCTGTGCTTGCCTGACGGAGCCCCCTCGTGTCCAGGTGGACCTACATTGAGTTCTACGGCCGCTACGGGATCCTCATGACACGGCAGGAGCTGGCGGCCGGCGACAGGAAGCGGGTGTGCCAGGTGGTGCTGCGAAGGCTCATCCAGGTGGGCCCCGTCCGGGCCTCCCACAGGGTCCCCAGCCCAGCTCCCCTGGGGCCCCAGGAGCCCTGGCCAGAGCTGTGCAGTGAGGAAGGGACCCTGGGCGCTATTCGCTGGAGACTGGAGCTGGCTCACTCACCCAACGGCAGACTGCCCTGCCTCAGCCTGCCCCGGCCCAGGGCACAGCCACCAAGACTTGGAAACAAGCTAGGCTGGCTAGGTTGTCGCTGAAGCCATGGGTTAGGGTAGAAAAGCGATGGGGACGTGGGTGGCCAGGAGGGGTGGTGCAGAGGACCAGGACCAGGACAGGAGTTCAGACCTCCTTCTCTACCCTCTGCAGAGGCGGAGGTTCCCAGTGGCCTGGTTGGTCCCAGACAGGGCCAGCCCCGAACCTGCCAGCCGGCCCTTCGCCTGCCTGCTCACCTTCTTCCTCCAAAGCGGCTCTAACCCACACTTGGAGGAACCCGGGCTGGGTCCTGATCAGGGTTTTCTGCCGTGTCAGGAAGAGATGTGTCTGGGTCTCAGGGCCGGGGATCTTTGATCTGAACGTCTCCTCCCCACCTGGGTCACCTCGACTTCAAACTTTCACCTCTGACGATCTCGTTTGCTCTTCCAGGATTGGAATCAGTACCAGTTCGGCAAGACCAAGATCTTCTTCCGGGCGGGACAGGTGGCGTACCTGGAGAAGCTGCGGCTGGACAAACTGAGGCAGAGCTGCGTGGTCATCCAGAAGCGCGTGCGTGGCTGGCTGCAGAGGAGAAGGTTCCTCCACACGCGACATGCTGCCCTTGTCATCCAGCGATACTTCCGGGGCCAGCAGTCTGTGAGGTGTGTCCCAGAAGGCTGTGCGGGTGCAAACGAGTTCCCAACCCAGGGCCCCTGCTGGGGACTGAAAATGCCCAGGCCCAGTGGGCCTCTTGGGGACCCAGGGCAAAGGTGCCAAGGGAGCCCCCACCCATCTGTCTTCAACGGTGGGGCCCAGTGCAGGGAGGAAACCACGCAAGGGCCCAGGGTGGGAGACGCAGCCCTGCACGAGGCCACCTCACCCTGTGGGGCTGCGGTCTTCACTGTGCCTGTGGAAGAGTGTGTTGCCTGCTGCTCCCCAAGGCTCCTTCCCAGTGGCTGAGTGCTCCAGGGACAGAGAAGGTGGCAGTCAGGCCTCTTCCTGAGCTGGAGGCTGAGGCAGGCAGCTTCCAGTCACTACCATGAGTCCCAAGGTGGTCGCCTCATAAAGAGGGAGCTCATTTCAGCCCACAGTTCTGGAGGTCCTCTCCATGATGGCTGGCCCTGTCATTGGGCCCAGGTGAGGCAACTCATCATGGCAGAAGCCAGGAAACCTAGAGAGGACAAGCCCTGGGCCCGTGAAGCCACCCGGGGGCCTACAGCTCCCCACATTACGATGGGTGGGGACCAGCCTGCTACACAGGCCCTGGAGGCCTGCAGACCCCAGGCAGAGGGTCTCTCGCAGGGAGCAGAGCCACAAGGCAGAGTCCAGACAGCCCAGCACAGCGGCCACACCTGGGAGGTCATGAAAATAACTTGGTCGTCTGCTTCTCCGCATCCTGGCGATCAGGACAGCCCCCCTCTGAATAGCACAGGCACCGGGGGTCTGAGAACCGCCTCCCCTCTGCTGTCCCCACTCCTTGCTGGCCCAGCAGCCGCTCTGCCCTCTCCGAGCAGAGCCGTCTGTCCCCCCCCCCCCACCGTTCATGCACACGGACCTGTTCGGTAGCTACTCTCCCTCTCCTGGCTCCATGACATTATAAACTCTGCAGGAAAGGACTTTTTCCTCCTCCAGTCCTGTGGTTAGAGATCCACTCTTTCTGTAAAGGGCCAGGAAGGAACCTTGCAAAGTCTGGAGGCCCAGGGCTCTGGAGCTCTGCGTCCTGTCTCATGGATGCAGCTGCATCCGCCTGCTTTCTGTCTATGGCTAATGCCCTAAGGCTGGGTAAATTATTATTTAAAAGACATCTAGACAGCTCACAATGGCTGGGAGTTCCCAAGCAGCCCCACCGGGCTGGCTCCTGGCCAGGGCTCCTGGTGGTCAGGTTTCAACAGAGAAGCAGGAGGGGCCATGTGTGGGCTGGGATGTCCTTGCTGATGCAGCCTCTCAGCAAGCTCCCTTCTCCTACCCCAGCATTCCCCGAATGCAAGTACCATCTCTGGGCCACCTCTCAAAAGTTCCTGGCCTTCAACCTTGCCACCCTGGGACCCTGGCTTCCTGTACCCAAGCCTTGGCACCTTATAAGCCTTCTCGACCCAGGAACAGCAGGCGCCAGTGTCCCAGGGGACTTGACCATAATTGGGTCAGCAGATCCGGGCCTGGGACCAAGCTTGCCTGACCTGCAGCTTCTAGTGCTGCCTCTTGAATGAATGAATGAATGAATGAATGAACAAGTGAGTGAGTGAGTGGGTGGATGAGTGAGTGGGTGAATGGGTGAATGAGTGGGTGAATGAATGAGCAGGTGCAGCCCCAGCACACAGTCTCCCTGCCATGGTCCCTGGCGGCACACGTGGAAGGCATGATTGTCCTGAACTGGCAGTGTGTGCACCGCTACCCAGGTTCTTTGGTGGTTGGAATGAGCCTGGCCTGGGCTGGCCTTGAGCAGCCCTGGGGCACGGCCAGGGCATGGGTGCCCAGGAGGTGACATGGGGTGTGGACCCCCTCCCATCAGCAGTGCAGGCTCACCCCACGCTCTGTCACCAGGAAAGCTGTCACTGCGCAGGCCCTGAAGGAGGCCTGGGCGGCCATCGTCCTTCAGCGCCACTGCCGAGGGTACCTGGTCCGCAGCTTGTACCAGCTGATCCTCATGGCCGCCATCACCATCCAGGCCCATGCCAGGGGCTTCCTGGCCAGAAGGAGGTACCGGAAGGTACGGCAAGGGGTGGGCTGGGGCAGCCATCGCGTGGGCAGTCAGCACACCAGGTCACACAGGTCACCCAGGTCACACACATCACTCAGGTCATGAGGTCACACCAGGTCACACAGGTCATCCAGGTCACCCAGGTCACACCAGGTCAGTCAGGTCATGAGGTCACACCAGGTCACACTGGTCATGAGGTCACTCAGGTCACACCAGGTCATGCAGGTCACTCAGGTCATGAGGTCACACCAGGTCACTCAGGTCACACCAGGTCATGCAGGTCACTCAGGTCATGAGGTCACACCAGGTCACATGGGTCACACCAGGTCACACAGGTCACACAGATCATGAGGTCACGCCAGGTCACTCAGGTCACACCAGGTCATGCAGGTCATGAGGTGACGCAGGTCACCCAGGTCATGAGGTCACACCAGGTCACATGGGTCACACCAGGTCACTTAGGTAACACCAGGTTTGTGTGGGGCAGGCTCACTATGGCTCTGGCCATGGTGCCCAGCTCTGGCTGGCAACAGGAGTCCCGCATCTGCCCTGGGCAAGGCAGCCAAGTGCTGTGACATCCAATTCGCCTTGCTTCACAGATGCTGGAGGAACACAAGGCCGTGATCCTTCAGAAATACGCGCGGGCCTGGCTGGCCAGGCGCAGGTTCCAGAGCATCCGCCGACTTGTGCTCAACATCCAGCTGGCCTACAGGGTTCAGCGTTTGCAGAAAAAACTGGAGGACCAGGTGGGTGGCCTTACATGTCATTCATGTCCACTTCTAACAGATTTATTTCACGCCAAAACAGATCCTCAGCTCTGTGTGCAGATTTGTACCCATCAGGAGGTTCAAACAGCTCACACAGACAACCTGAGCTAGGAAACACACACTGTAAAGGGGGTCATAGAGGTTGCTCTCCGCACAAGGCAAGAAGAGGTGCTGAGGTCCAGCCTGGCACCACTTGCCAGGACCTGTGCCTGTGTGAAGCTGTGCTCCGAGAGGCAGGGTACGTTTCGCGAATGTCCATGGAGACTATCTGCACACTCTGACTTGCCTGTGGGATCCTCACTGTGCCCACAGTAGGACAAGCCCATCTGCCGTCTGTGCTGGAAGCTGTGGGTCTGGAAAGCCTCCTGCCGCCTGGGCCTGGCTCTGCAGCCCCTAGGTCCCTGTGACTGACCTGAGCCCCCAGGCTAGGCCTCTGAGTGGGGAGCTGGGCACCGACGAGCCCTGAGGTCCCGTGGCCGCTGTTGTGTGGCCATCTGTGTGCAGCGTGACACAGGCAAAGTCTGCAGGTGGTGATGTCCTGTCCTGCAGTCGCACCCCAGACCAGGAGTGGACGCGATCTGCTCCTCTGAGCCCCTCCTGGCTCGCCGCCATCCCTCTCTACGTCACATGCCATCCCCTTCTGTCCCCAAGGCCCCTGTGGCCTCTCACCCCAAGCTGCAGGGTCAGTTAGGGCCCCAGCCGTGGCTCAGAGGGGACCCTGCAGCCAGGATGGGGCGGACCCCACACACCAGCCTGAGCTGTACTCGAGCCCCTGCCGGAGAAGCCCCGCCGCATGTCCACGAGGTGGCAGGCATGACGGGGAATGGCATCCTTCCCACAAGCAGACCTCCAACCCGTCCCTTTCCTGCAGAACAGGGAGAACCATGGCCTGGTGGAGAAGCTGACCAGCCTGGCCTCCCTTCGGGCCAGCGACACCCTGAAGGTTCAGAAGCTGGAGGCAGAGCTGCAGAGGGCAGCCGCCCAGCAGCACAGCGCTGAGGACAAGGACAGGCGATACAGGGAGGCTGTGGAGCAGGTGTGGTCGTGTTCATGGGGACACGAGGGTTCCTTCCTCGGGGGGACACGTCCCAGGGGTCAGAGCAGGCGGCTACGTGCAGGGGAGGGGACGGGACAGGGTGTGGGGAGGGGCTGCTGTGCAGAGGGAAGGGCAGGATGTCTCTCCCAGGGACCAAGCCCCGAGGGTCATATCAGGGTACCTCCAGGGCCCATCCCGACTCCGCCAGGCCTGAGCCCAGCAAGCCTCTTCCCAAACAGCAGTGCAAAGCAGGGGGAGATCTCACCTTTGTGGCATAGGGAAAAGCAACAGACCTAGGGAGGCAGAGTCCTGGATTCAGACCCGGGCCCAGCTGCTGGACAGCCTCGGCCAGTTCACTCCCGTCTCTGAATGTGAGATGGGAACGACACACAGACAGATGTCACTGTCCTGAGGGGATGAGGGGCAGACAAGATCACTCAGCCAGATGCCCGTGAGAGGACCTGCTGCCAGGAGGTGGCCTTCGTCACTGTCCCTGGCCTGAACCTCCAGGGTCCCTCAGAGCCGCAGCTGGGAGGCGGCAGTCCCCAAGTGTTCCTCCTGCCCCACGCACCCTCCTTCCGGTCCCCCGAAGGCACTCGAGCAGAAGCACAGCAGCAGAGCTTCCGCCAAGTTCGAGCTGGCCTGGGCAAGGCTGTCTCCCAAAGCTCCTCCTGATCTCGGTGTTTCCTGGCCCTTCTGGGGCTGGCGTAGGGCAGTGTCTGCCTCCAAGTCACCTCGAGCCCCACATATGGAACTGGGGAGAAAGAGCTAAAGCAGGAGCGTACAGCTTTCACCTAGAAACCCTGGCCAACTTGAAGCGAGGTTTTCAAAGGAAGTTATTCTGTTTTTTCTTTGCCCTTGTTAGAAATTAGCAACACTGCAGAAGCACAATTCAGAACTGGAGATGCAGAAAGAACAAATACAGCTGAAGCTTCAAGAGAAGACACAGGAGCTGGAAGGTAAAGACCAAGGTGGCCCCGAGATCCATGTGCAGGGAGGGCCGGTGATGCTGGCGGTGGAGGAATTCACCAGGCAAGGACAGCATGGAGATGAGTGTGGACCAAGTCAGGTGTTGTCCAGAGGCAGCAGGTGAGTTCCAGGAGAGGCCCACACCGTCAGGGTGGGAGATCCGGTCTGCATGAGGGTCTGAGGATGCGGACAGGGGGGCCGGGCAGCGACGTGAGTACCTCAGGAATGTCCTTCCTGGAGCAGCGAGCTGGGTGTGTCTTCCAGGAGCACCCGTGTGGTGTCTAGGACAATGTGTTCTCAGGTGCAGCTCGACAGGAGCACTTCCCGTGGCCTCTCAGAAGGCCTTCAGAGTCAGAGGAGAGGAGGTCTTGCACCTGCTGCCTCCCACACTGCTGCCCCTCTCTGCCCAGGGTGTCCACACAGTGCTTCTCTCCGGGAGGTGGGGGTGTGCCTGGGGGTGCTAGCAGCAGGGGTGGCTCAGATGAGGCTGGGAGCAGCACCCCGGGCCCAGGAAATGTCAGGAGCAGCTGGGCAGGCAGGGACCTTGGACCCAGGGCATCCGCTCCGCCCACTGCCTGTCTCTTTGTAATCCACTCCACTGCTGGGCAGTGGTCATGTTTTTTTCTAGCTTCTCTAAGTGCAATCTCCCAGGCAAGCATTTAAACTCAGGAAAACTCCCAAAACTGAAGTGTCTGGGTGGATAGGTTCACAGCCTCCTGAGAAGCACCAAGTGCTCTCACCAAGGTGGCCAACCCCGGACCTGGAGCTGGTTCTTCTGGTAAACTGGGAATTGGCTTCTAAGTCAAGGATTCAGTGTCCCCCAGTGTCTTCTGTCTGACTCCGACATTCGATTCAGGGACATTTGACACTGTGTTAGACAAACTAGTGACCCGCTGGCTTTTTTTTTTTTTTTTTGGTACAGAGGATCCAACTTGGGTCCTTGCACTTGGGGAGCAGGCAGCGGCACCACTGAGCTAAATCCCTGGCCCCCGCTGGCTTTTTTGTTCTTTGAGTTATTTGGAGACTTGTCACTGGGCCCTCCCCTGCCTCGACTTCCCTCAGGTGTCAGTTGACTGTGAGTAGGGACGTCACTTTGATGGGTCAGGGATGCAGGGCCATCATGGCTGTGGACTGGCCCCAGCCTGGTGACTCCTGCCAGGCAAGCTCCCCTTCACCCACTGACTGTGTGAAGCTCGTTGGCTCTCCCGCTTCTGCCTCGAGGGCAGGCGACACCGTGCTGTCCTCTGGTTATTGGGGTGCTCTGTCCCTCCCCCCTCCTGGGGACATTAGATAAGGTCTGGAGAGGTTTTTGTTGCAGGTAGAGAGAGATGCTACTGGCTGCTGGGGATAGAAGCCAGGGCTGCCGCTCAGAATCCTACAACACACAAGACGGTGCCTCTGGATGCCAAAGTGACACCAGAGCATCTGCCACACTGAGTCTGTTGTCCGTTTACTATCTCCCCCGAAAGGGCTTCTACTTCTGAGGGCACTTATTTTCCTAAAGCTTCTAACAGACAATAGTCAGCCCAATGAAAGTACTATAAACAAAGCAGTTTAGTCACGGATTCCAACGCTACACATTTGTACTTTTCCAAAGCCTCCATCTCCATTTCTGGTTTATAAAAAGTGTCACTCTCATCTGAAGCCCAGCAGCAAGGAGCACCATGTGATGGCTCTTACACCCGCGCGTCCCTAAACGTGACACAAGACCATCAGGCATGGGTTTGGCAGCTGTATTTCAAAGAAATATTCTTATTTCTCTTTGCACAGAAAAAATGGACAACCTCACCAAGCAGCTCTTCGACGACGTGCAGAGAGAGGAACGACAGAGAACGTATGGGAGCTGGCACCCCTTCGCGGTGCCACTTCCTGCTCGCTTGCTGTTTCTGCTTCTCCTCTCGGCTTGTGTGTAGCACAGCATGATGCGGCAGGCTGAGCTGTGCCTGTCCTCGGGAGTGAGAGATTGAGGCCTCGGTCCGCGCTGGGCACCTTTCCATGGGAGTTGGGGGCCGGTGCACTTCCCGGCGCCTGGGTTTGCTGCATAGTCTACAGTTTCTGAAAGGCCAGGCCCGCAACTTTCCAGAGGCTCTGGGGTCTGGCTATCTGTCCTAAAATGCTTGGGGCTGGAAGCATTTCAGAGTTTGAAGCTTTTTTTAATATTTTGGAGTCATTGCTTAGACCTGACCACCTGAGCACCCCTCATCCAAAACTCCAAAATCTGGAAGTGTTCCCAGTCCAAAACCTTTTGAGCAGCATGTTGGTGATCAGCAAGTTTTGGATTTTAGAGCATTTCAGATGTTGACTTTTCCAATCGAGGGATGCTCAACCTTTATTAATTTGTCCAGGATCAAACCAAGCCCCTGCAGGGTCCTTGGAACGGAGGAGCGGAAGTGCCTTTACCTGGGGAACAGGCACTGCCACAGCAGCTCCTGACAAGTCTGTCTTCCCGTAGGGCACAGGGGGGGCTCCCCTCATTATTCCCAAATGTGCGTTGTTCGACTTCAAAGACTCTCGAGTCAATTCTAAATGAATGCTTTTCTCCTTTGCTGCCTAGACTTCTCGAGAAAAGTTTCGAGCTGAAAGCTCAAGACTACGAGAAGCAGCTGCAGTCTCTGAGAGAAGAAATTCGAGCTGTGCAGCAGGAGAAAGCGCAGCTGAGGCAGGAGCTGGAGGAGGAGCACGTGGCTGGGGATAGCCTGAAGGGGGAGGTGGCCCGGCTGAGCCAGCAGGCGAAGGTACCTCTCAGTGACCCACGGGGGACAGCGGTCCAGTCCCGAGGACAGCAGTGGGCAGTGGGGGCATCTGAGGAAAGGCTGATGGCGGCGGGAGCCTGGGTCTTTCTGGTGTCCATGGCGGAGGCTCGGCTCCTGTGATTCAGCAGCACCTGCGTTTCGAGTGCTGCAGTTAGCTTTCTGACTTCCACGACATTGCATTTGGTAGGCAGCTAAATATGTGCCTTGGAGAATATGTCCAACCTGAATTATAAGTCGGGGTGAACCCTTACTGTATCATCATGGTACAAATCTATAAACCCCTTATTACAATTAAATTACTTTATTGTCAGAATCTCCCGCTTAAACTGTTATCAGGAATTCCACGAAAACAATCATCCATTGCACAGCTTGGCAAATGTGCTTAAAAATGGAACAGTGTATGTTTCAAAACTTCTGAGAGGGCAAATTTCAAATGTTCTTACCACACACAGGTGAGCACACACACTCACACAAAAACGTAAGTATTGCCAGGGATTTAGCTCAGTAGTTCCGCCACCTGCCTCACAAGTGCAAGGTCCTGAGTTCGATCCCCCAGTACCAAAAAAAAAGTAAGTATTATATCTGCAGGGATGGATATGTTAATTAGCCCGATTTAATATTCCACATTGTATTTGTAGATCATAACATTACTTCCTACCTCATAAGTATATACAACTATACTTCGTCAATTTATACTAAAAATTTAAAAGCTGCAAGGGAATAAAACATATAAGGGAATTTTTTTTTTTTGGTACCAGGGATCTAACTCGGGACCTTCTGCTTTCGAGGCAGGCGGTGGAACCACTGAGCTAAATCCCCAGCCCTATAAGGGAATTTTTTTTTTTGGTACCAGGGATTGAACTCGGGTCCTTGTGCTTGCAAGGCAAGTGGCAGAACCACTGAGCTAAATCCTGGCCCTATAAGGGAATTTTTAATGGCTTAATCATACACAAAAATACTAGTTGTCATCTACATTTATCATCATAAAAATAGAGAAGTGTTCCAAGGAAATTTAATAAACTCTCTTTTTAAAATATTTTAAATTTTTATTAGTACATATAAAATCTCTTGAGAAAAATAAAATTTAGAAAGTAAATAAAGCAGTGACCCATGCTTGGATAGTCAAAGCTTCATTAATTTTTTCCCACCAAAAAACTGAATCCCACGCGTCCCCCAGTTCTTATATGCAGAACACTTCATTGTCAATTTCCAGAGCCTGGATGTATGCGCAGTGGTGGCCGATGTGTAAGACTGCAGACGCTCTGTGCCTGCCGTGGCTTCTCAGAGACAGTCTGGTGGCTCCTGAACTCTGTAGCCCAGCTGCCCGTCTTCTCTAAGCCCTGGTCCATGTTGGCTAAAAGCAGGGGACTGGAGTAGGAAGGTCCCTGTGCCGCCTGGACCTGGGCAGCGGAGGCCCAGCTGTGGCGGGGAGTCTGCTGCCATTTGCCCGGTCTGTTTTAGAGCTGCCAGGTCTTGAAAGGGCCTTGGCGTGAGGCACCAGTAGGTGTCGCTCGTTGCCCTTGGGTGGCTGCATCTCGGGCTCAGACTCTAACGTGACAGGTAAAGAGGTCTGGTTTTGAAAGAAAATAACCAGTTGTTATCAAGTTGTTTATGTTATAATCACCCTAAAAAAAGCAAATACAAGTAGGACTGAGGACATTTACCAGAACATTATGAAGGGGAGCAGGGCTTTTGGACAGGAGTGTGGGCCCCCAAAATTTGGCATGTGCCCCTGAATGTGCCACCTAACCTTCCACTCAGTGGTGCGGGGAGGACGCACTGCCTGGGAGCCCCACGGGTCCCCTTGTCCAGCACCAAACATGACCTGTGTGTCTTCTCCCTGGCTCCACCCTGGCCGTGACCCAGACCATCTCTGAGTTCGAGAAGGAGATCGAGCTGCTACAGATGCAGAAGATAGACGTGGAGAAGCTGGTGCAGTCACAGAAGCGGGAAATGAGAGGTAACGGGACAGAGCCTCGCTGGCACTGGGGGTGACTGGATGCATCACAGCATGTGGCACTTGGAGGAGGCCCATCCTTGCCAGCAGGAGTCGGGCTGGCTGTCTGATAATCTGGACGGCCAGTCACCGGGTTGGACAGCTGCTAAGTTCCTGGCTGAAGACCATGAGACTGGAAACCTGGGCCCAGAGAGGGTGTGGGGAGAGGAATCATGCACAAATATGGAGACAGGCCTCCCTTTCCTTCCAGAAAAGATGTCGGAGGTCACCAGACAGCTTCTCGAGAGCTACGACATTGAAGACATGAGGAGCAGGTGATCGTTTATGTGTCGTCAGACATGGGAAGGCTGGTGGAACCAGCGGCGAGACGAGTCCTTCTCCCCCGCTTGTCTTTCAGGCTGTCTGAGGAGGACCTGGGGCACCTGAATGAGGATGGCGAACTCTGGTTTGCTTATGAAGGGCTCAAGAAGGCAACTCGGTAAGAGGCCCCTTGGGGTGGTTTTGATTTTCAGAGATAATGAACTACAGAAAAGTGAGAAGTTCACCGGACTTAGACTGACACACCAATTAAATTCTCACAGTAGAGGGCCGGGAATTTAGCTCAGTGGTTCTGCCACCTGCCTCGAAAGCACAAGGTCCTGAGTTTGAGCCCTGGTACCAAAAAAAATTCTCACAGTAGGATGACCTGATAGCCATGATGATACTTCTATGCAAATTAGATAAATAGGGATTTTTTTTTCCTGGTGCTGATGGAACCCAGCGCCTTTGTACTAAGCTGTATCCCCACCCTTTAAACAGGGTCTCATTAAGTCTCTAAGTTGCCTGGGCTGGGCTTGAGCTGGTGCTTCTCCTCCCTCAGCCTCAGCGCTGGGATAACAGGTTTGTGCCACCATGCCCAGCGGGAGTGACTTCTTCATGGGACAAACTGCCTAACAGTGCAACCCATACATAACCTGCAGAGTAAAAACGGGACCCGTCACATAAATTAGCCCCCATCTGCTATAGATATCTAGGTACATTGAAGGAGTTTGTGGCATTTCTTTAAACTCATGAACTTTACTGTCTGCAGCAGTTTTTGGTTCCTAGCAAGGCTGAGCAAGGATGCAGAGCTCCCATGTGTCCCTCGCCTCCTCATAGTGCCAGTCCTGCCCCAGTGCCCACTTCACGTGAGGCAGGCACAGGGCTATTCCTCCTGTGGGCTTTGGCCAGTGGATAAGGGCACCACGTATCTCCACCCTTACACAGCACACGTCTCAAACTATAAGAGAGAAAAACTAACTTAACGGTGGCCAGCGGCTGTGTATCCACCCTGGCTGCCCTCACCCAGGAGCCAGGCCTATTTCTCGGCCTCTCTGCAGAGTCCTGGAGAGCCACTTCCAGTCCCAGAAGGACAACTACGAGAAGGAGATCGAGGCTCTGAACGCCAAGGTGGTGCACCTCAGTCAGGAAATCAACCACCTGCAGAAGCTGTTCCGAGAGGAGAGCAATGTCCACGAGAACGTGCGGCACGAGCTCACCAGGCTGATGTCGGAGAACATGGTGCGGCGCCCAGCTTGGGGCCAGAGCTGGGGTGGTTCTGGGTGGAGTCTGCTCTGATCCTCGGCAGTGAAACACTGGATTCAAATCTTTTTTGGGGGGGGGTTGGATTTTTTTTTGGTTTTTTGAGGCAGGGTCTCTGTAGTTTAGGCTGGCCCTGGACTCACTATGTACCCCATTAAATCACTTTTTACCAGTACTGGGATCAGAACCCAGCACCTTCTTTCATCCCCAGCCCCTTTTACTTTGTATTTTGGGGTAGGGTGTGAGTCACTAAGTTGTCCAGGCTGGGCTCAAACTTGCCATCCTCCTGCTTCAGCCTCCCAGAGGGCTGGTCAGTTCCTTTCTCTGGAAGTGAAATAACTGGGTCTGGAGATAAAACTACAACAAGGCTCCAGCGGGAGAGCACTTTGATCTGACAGTATGTCTGACGGGGCTCAAGCCCTGTGACTGTGCCTCTGGATGCTTAAACCTGTGTTTAAGGGCCGGGGATTTAGCTCAGTGGTTCCGCCGCCTGCCTTGAAAGCCCAAGGTCCTGAGTTTGATCCCCGGTACCAAAAACAAACAAACCAAAAAAACCCAAAACACAAAAAAGCGATGTTTAAGTCTAGTCCAGATCCCTCGGAAAGAGACCCAAACATTAAGGCGCACCATGGCTCTGGAGAAGCGGGGGTGTTCAGGCCGGTCCTACTCAGGGTCTGAACCTTGCTGGGCAAGGACAAGGCCCCAGAACAGCAGGACGGTGGCTTCTACCCAAGTGAGTGCAGGTGACAGCCTTGAGGTATACGCAGATAGAAAGGTAAGGGATAGGAACAGGCCCGGGCATCCCGACCGGGCCACAGAGCAGCGCAGCTGAGATCAGAGGCAGCGTGCCCTGAGGTGGCCCTTCCACTCCCAGAGGAGGATGTGCCGTGTCTCTTGGGCCTGGACACTGCACAAGGTGCGCCTTGCCCTCCCCGAGTGGCCGTGGGCACCACTCCTAGGAGCATGCTGGGATTTCTCGAAACAGCTGCATGGGTCTTGAGGCTAGAAAAGCAAAGAAAAGGAACACGGAGCCGTGATCAGCCGCTCCCAACCTCAGCGAGTCCTGGCACAGCTCTCTGTCCTGCAGGGGGGCGGGGACAGTGTGGCTGGCTTCCGAGATCGGAACGCTTGCAGAGGGAAGTGTCTAATATTCTAACATCAGTCATTCTTCTCCAAAGATGATCCCAGACTTTAAACAGCAAATTTCAGAGCTAGAGAAACAGAGGCAAGACCTTGAAATCCGCCTACAGGAGCAAACAGAGACAGTGAAAGGTAAGGGAGCCCCAGGCTTCATCCCCAGGAAGGGACTCAGAGAGCCACCGCCCGTACAGCCTGACTCTCACAGCAACCCGAATCGGGGGCAGCAATGTCCCACTCACCACTGTCCTGACCTGGCTTCTCACCGCAGGGAAGCCAGAAGAGCTGTGGAGCCTGCTATGTGGGGATGAGGAGGAAGGGATGCAAAAGTGAGTGTGACCATGTGGTCAGCCCAGGTGTCCCCTGCCTTTGGGGCGGCAGCACTCGTGTGATGGTCACACTGGCGGGGACATCTCCTCTGCCTTCCACAGGGCCCAGAATGAAAGAGACACCAAAATGGAAGAGAGGCTGATGGGCTCCGTCCCAGGACGGCAGGAGGCTGGGGAGCAGCCGAAGGAGCCATCAGAGACCGAAGGGGAAGAGTCCCGCGTCCCTTTGGAAAACAGGGTAAGAATTGTGAATGGGACCCCAGGGGTTGTCCGAGTGCCAGTGTTGCCAGTAGGGGAACACGCTCCCCAGAGCACACAATGGCAGCTGCAGAGCAAACATCCTTCTGGTAGAGTGGCCTTTTCCTTGTCTCAAAAAGACTGGTGAATCAGCCAGGTGTGGTGGTACTCACCTGTAACCCCAGCACTTGGGACCCTGAGGCAGGAGGATCACCACAAATTCAAGGTCAGCCTGGGCCACATAGTGAGTTCAAGGCCAGCCTGGACTACATAGCAAGACTCTGTCTCAAAAACCAAGCACGCTCAGAATTCAGGAAAAACTGAAACACTGTGCGGCCTTTATAGGAACTTTCTGGGTATCTGTGACTGCCTGGTCCAAAGCCAAACCCAGCCCGGTGAGGCTGCCTCCTTCTCAGGAGGGAGAGCAGACCCAGGGCCTGGGCTCTGAGCAGCTTCTCTGGTTCCTGACTGCCGGGTGCCCGCGCCCCGCTCCCAGAGCTCTAACTCCTCCGCGATGGGCATCACTGGATAGCAAGAGGGAGCTGGGTCTTGTACCAGATCCACACGGCAGGGCGCACTCAGCACAAGCCAGGAAGCGCTGGCACAAGGGCGAGCATGGAGAGCACCGTGCTATGGCACAGAATGCCACGCCTTGTGATGCCACTTGTATGACATGCCTTAGAACAGGCAAAGGGGGTGGGGAGTAAATGAGTGCTAGATGGGGCTGGAAGGGACTGGGGACCACAGTGGCAGCTCAGGTTACAGTGAAGGCTTCTGGGATGGGATAGAGGTGGTGGCAGCACAGCTCTGGCTACAGGGAAGCCCACTGGGACATGCACTTTGTGAGTGAGTTACAGGCTGAGTGGACCGTGGCTCAGTAAAGCTGTTAGACAGAAGCAGAAGAAGACGCTTCTGCGCTAACACCCGTGTTCTGATGTCTGAAGGATCTTGAAGAAGAGTTAGACATGAAGGACAGAGTGATTAAAAAGCTGCAAGACCAAGTGAAGACCCTAACCAAGACCATTGAAACAGGTGGGGAGATGAGATTCGCTTTCTTGGTCTTCTGAGCCTTTGGCCAAGGTCGACATGCACGGAAACGCGTGTCTCCTGTCTGGTCCAAAGCCTGCAGCCCCAGGAACAGTTCTCAGGGGTTGGGCTTGGAAGGGCTGGAGACAAGACCCACTGGGCAAGGAGAGCTCGCTTCCCTGGGATCTGATCAGCCCAGGCACGCTCCGGCCTCTGCAGGGGCGCCCTCTAGCGAATGCTTTTAACCTCTCCTTTGCGAGTGCCCCTTTACGAGTCCGTGTTTGCAGTACGTAATGATTACATTCATTGTGGGGAGTTGGTACGTGTACCTAACACACCTCAGTTCTGTTTTTCACCTCCTTTCCTTCCTCTCCTTCCTTCCCTCAATCTCTTGGTCCTCTTCCGTTTTGCAAAAAATCTCTCTCCATTTCCTATCATCTATCTTTTAGTTTGCTCTTTATTTATTTTTGAGTTTCTCATATAAGAGAAACCATGCAATATTTAAGCTTGAGTGTCTGATTTATTTCACTTAACACTATGGTCTAGAGGTGCATCCATTGTCCTACAAATAACTCAAGATTATCTTTATGGCAGAGTAGTGCTCCACTGTGTATAAACACCATGTTTTCCTTATCCATCATCTGCTGATGGGCATACAGGCTGCTTCCAAGTGTTAGCTATTATGAATTGAGCTGTTGTAAACATGAGTATGCGTGTATCACTGTATTATGATGTCTTTAATGCTTTCAGAAAGATTCCTAGAAGGGGAATAGCTGGGTCAATGGAATTTCTACTGTTAGTTTTCTGAGGAATCTCCATACGATTTCCATAGTGGTTGTACTAGTTTACATTCACAACAACATAAAAAAGTTCCCCTTTCCTCCACAATCTCACCAGCATTTGTTGGTATTTGATTTCTTTTCTTTTTTTTTTTTTGGTATTTAATTTCTTGATGATGACCATTCTTTCTAGAGTAAGATGGAATCTGTGTTGTTTTAATTTGCATTTCTCTAATGGTCAGTGAGGTTGGATATTTTTCCATGTGTTTATTGGCTATTTGTACTTATTCTCCTGACAAGTGTCTATTCATTTCGGTTGCTCATTTTTTATTAGATCTTTTTATAGGGGGATCTAATTTTTTTAGTTCTTTATATATTCTAGATATTGGTCCTCTGACAGAAATAGCTGGCAAAAATTTTTTTCCATTGTGTAGGTTGTCTCTTTATTGGTTGTTTCCTTTGCTGTGCAGAAGCTGCTTTTTTTTTCTTAAATTCTTTTATTGGTACATTTTAGGTATACAATACGTTTACATTTATCATTGGGTGCTTGTACCACATGATATATCTTGGTTCTTATTTTTTCCCCATTCCCTGTGTGCCCTTCACCCCCTCCACCCTTCTCTATTTACATAGCGTTCATTTCCATTTTTTCTTTTCTCATAATTTTTCCTTTCCCTCCTTTCCTTTCCCCTTCCCCTCAGACCACCCCTATCCCTTTGGACCTTTTCTTCCTATTTCAAATTATCAATTATTGGTTTTAATCATTTTAAACCTTATTTACACTTTCAGTTTCTCACACTAGAGAAACTATTTAGTATTTACACGTGTGTCCTATTTATTTCACTTAAGAGTATGGCCTCAATATGCATCCATTTAGCTATAAATGACTCTAGTTTCTCATTCTTTATGGCTGAGTAGTACTCCATTTTATTAAAAAAAACCCCACATCTTCTTTATCCAGTCTCCAGTTGATGGGCACTTGGACTGTTTCCAAGCATTAGCCATTACGAACTGTGCTGCTATAAACATGGGTGCACATATATTGCTGTGGTATGATGCTTTTCATTCTTTGGGGAAGATCCCCAGCCGGGGAATAGCTGGATCAAATGGGACCTCCAGCCCTAGTTCTTTGAGGTATCTCCATACTGATTTCCACAGTGGTTGCACCAGTCTGTGCCAAGCTTTTTACTGTGATATGGTATGATCCCATTTGTGGATTCGTGGTGTAATTTCTTATGCACCTGGGGGTTCTGTTCAGGAAGTCCTTGCCCACACCTGTGTCTTCTAGACTTTTGCCTATTTTGTCTTCCAGCAGATTGTGTTTCTGTTTTAACATTTAGACCTTAGATCCATATTTATTTTAGTTTAGTACACAGTGAGAGATATGGATCTAGAGTCAATCTTCTACATGTGGACAGCCAGTTTTCCAGCTTTTGCTGAAGAGGCTGTCTTTCCTCCTGCGTACCTTTTTGGCCCCTTTGTCAAAGATCAAATGGCTGAATGTGCCTGAGGTTGTTTCTGCTTCTCCTGTTCCATTCCACTGATCCTCATGCCTGTTTTTGTGTCAGTACCATGCTGTTTTTATCACAGTAGCTTTGTAGTATAACTTCAAATCTGAGATTCTGATGCCTCCTGCTTTGCTCTTGCTTCCAGAATTTGTTTTGCTATTTTGAGTCTCTTCTGGTGCTATGTAAATTTTAGGATTTTTTTCTCTAGTTCTTTCAGGAGCACTGTTGGCATTTTGATTGAGGTGGTGTTGAATCTATATAACAGTTTTGTGGGGGTTTTGTTTTGGGGTTGGTTTTTTTTTGGTGCTGGGGCTCAAACTCAGGACCTTGCTCTTTCGAGGCAGGCGCAGTGCCACTGAGCTACATCCCTGGCTGTATAGCAGTTTTGGAACCATGGCCATTTTGACTATATTGGTTCTGCCTATCCAGTGACCGGGGATAGCTCTCCATTTTCTGATGTTCTTCTTGATTTCCTTTTTCAGAGTACTATAGTTTTCAATGTAGAAGTCTTTCACCCCCTTCGTTAGGTTACTTCGTAAGTATTCATTTTTTCTTAATACTATTGTGTATACTATTTCCCCAATTTATTTCTTAGTGAGTTCATTATTGGTGTACAGGAACACTATTTTTTTGTGTGTTCATTTTGTATCCTGCTACACTACTGAATTTGGATAATTCTAGGAGTCTTTTGGTGGCATTTTTGGGCCTTCTGTGTAGAATATCATGTCATCTGCAGATAATGATAATTTGACTTGTCCTTTCCTATATTGTCCCTTTTATTTCTTTCACTTACCTGACTGCTCTGGCAAATGTTTGGAGTACTATGTTGAACAGGAGTGGTGATAGTAATTCTAATTCCTTGTCCTGCTTCTTATTTTAGAGGGAAATCTTTCAACCTTTCCCCGTTCAATATGATGTTGGCGTAAGGTTTATCGTTAAGTGGCTTTTATCAGACTGAGATAAGGTCTTTCTATTCCTATTTTCTTCAGAGTTTTTGTTTTGTTTTGTTTTTTTGGTACCAGGGATCGAACTAGGGTCCTTGTGCTTGCACAGCAGGCAACGAAACCACTGAGTTAAATCCCCAGCCCTTTCTTCAGAGTTTTTATTATGAACAGATGTTGGATTTTCTCAGAGGCTTCTTCTGCACCTACTGAGTTGATAATGTGATTTCTGTCCTTGCTTCTGTTTATGTGATGTATTACATTTATTGATTTGCATATGTTGAACCATCTTTACATCCCTGGAATGAAGCCTACTTGGTCATGATGTGTGATCCTTTTGATGATTTGTTGCATTCTGTTTCCCAGTTTCTTGTTGAGGATTTTTCATCTATGTTCATTCAAGAGATTAGCCGTTAGGGGCTGGGGATTTAGCTCAGTGGTTTCACCACCTGCTGCGCAAGTGCAAGGACCTGAGTTCGATCCCTGGTACCAAAATAAAAAAAGAGAGAGATTGGCCTATAGTTCTCCTTTTTGGCTGGCTGTTTGTCTGATTTTGGAATCAGGGTAATGCTTGCTTCCAGGAATGACTTTGAGAGTACTGCTTCCCTTTCCATTTCATCTGAAGAGTTTGAGGAGTATTGGACGGTATTAGATCTTTCCTGAAGTCTTTGTAGAATTCAGTGGTAAATTGATCAGGTCCTGAGCTTTTCTTAGTTGGCAGGTTTTTAAATTATTATTGCATCAGTTTCATTCCCTATTATTAGACTATTCAAGGTTTTTATATTTTCTTGGTTTTTTTTTTTTTTAAGACTAAGAAAAATTTAGGGCCGGGGATTTAGCTCAGTGGTTTCGTCACCTGCTGTGCAAGTGCAAGGACCAGAGTTCGATCGCCGGTACCAAAAAAAAAAAGAGAGTAAGAAAAATTTATTGAGAGAAACATAGCTTTTGTCTCAGAGAGACAGAAGGGGAACCAGAAAATGGGTTGCCCCTTCTTGGTTCAATTTTGATAATTCATGTATATCAAGGAATCTATTCATTTCTTCTGGATTCTCCAATTTATTGGTGTACAGGTTTTCAAAGTAGTTACTAATCTTGATTTCAGTGGAGTCTATTGTGATTTTGCCTTTTGAATTTCTAACTTCACTGATTTGGGTCTTTTATTACCCTTGTTTGGTAAGACTGGCTAAGGGTTTATCTATTTTGTTTATTCTTTCAAGAAGCAGCTCTTTGATTTGTTGGTTCTTTGTATATTTTTTAGTCTCAATTTCATTGATTTCTGCCCTGATCTTGATAATTTCCTTCCTTGTGCTAGCTTTGGATTTGGATTGTTCTTGTTTTTCTCAGCCCATCAGGTGCATCATTAGGTTACTTACTTGGGCTCTGTCTGTTTTTCTCATGTGGGCATTCACAGCTGGAAACGTCCCTCGTAGGACGGTTTCCCTTGTATTCCACAACATTCATTTTTTAAAAGTACAACCATGAAAATTTTCTGAATTAGTTGCTTTGAAATGCTGCTTTTCCCCATCACGTATCTAGGCTCAGTAACATCTGGCACTCTCTGAGGAGAAGGCAGAGGTCCCAAGCCCCGGGGGAACCCATATCCAGAGTCCCCTGGGCCCCAGGGAAGGAACCCGCTCCATCCCTGGTCCGGAGTCCCTGACCTTGCCTGGCTTCTGCTCTCTTCCTACCTTCTTTCCTTTGTTCTTTGTCCCTTTCCCCTCTCCCTCCCAGCTGTCCCTGCTGAGGCTGTGTCTGCGACCATCTGTTCCTCTTCCTGTGTTTAGTTCTTTACACATTATCCTTTATTCTTATGCATTCACCTCTTACTTCAGGTCTGAAAAGTCCAAACCAAACAGCTCTTTCCCTTTCACTAATAAATGATGCATGCTCTGCCCCAGGGGAGAGGGGACAGGCCTGTCCTGCTTGGACCTCTCTGCATAGACTGCAAATCCACCCCATCCTCGCTGTCTTCCAGACCGCAGGCCTGTTTTCCTTGATGCTGCTTCCTTTGCTTTTCTCTTGTCACCTCCAGCTCAGCTTGTCTGCTTCCCTGCCTGGACCTGCTATCCAGGATTGCATAACAAATTGCCCAAAACTTAGCAGCCTGGAGCAGGTAGCACTTAGCAATGCCCAGTGGCTGAGTTTTCAACTTCCGGCCTCCAGCCCATTTCTGACCTCTGAACCCTAGCACAGTAAAACTAGAAGTTGTGTTGGTTCTGGAGGCACAGCTCAGCAGAGTGGAGTACACCTTTAGCATTTGGAAGGCCCTGAGTTCAGTCCCAAACTCCAAAGAGAAAATTGAAAATGTGCTGTTTCAAGCCGCTCTGTTGCTGGTGAGTCCTCACAGCAGCCGCGGGGGAAATGGGCGGGGCCGTGGTCAGGACTAGGGCTTGGCGACTCACTTCCTGCACAACGGCGCAGCACCCTGGGGACAGGTGACATCTTTCCTGTCCCCACTCTGCTGTGTGGAGACCTTCAGGGCTCGGGGGACCCTTCCAGACAGCTCAGCCCAGCCTCAGTGGCTGTCACTGCGCATCCCCAGAACAGAAGAGAGTGCTCAGGGCGGCGGGCACGCAAGACAGCACTGAGCTCTCAGAGGTGGGGGCACCAGTGTCCAGTGTGTGCTGACTTTGGCCTCTATCTGCAGCCCAGGACGCGCACCCGTCCTCGGAAGCCAAGGAGTACCTGGGCATGCTGCAGTACCAGAGGGAGGACGAGGCCAGGCTCATCCAGAACCTCATCCTGGGTAGGGACCCTGATCCAGACGTCTGCTGTCTCCCTCTGAAGACTGAGCCTGTCAGTGCCCAGACTCTGGCCCTTCCCCACCCCAACTGGAGTCCTCGCCCCGGGCACGGAGCAGATCCTCGACTTCTGCCCTCTCCGAGCCACTGGCAGCCCCAGTAATGGCAGTGAAGCCGGTCTCCTCCCGCCAGGGCCCAGCCTCCCCGGGGAGGGTCCCAACTGTCCTCCACCAGGAGCCCCACCCTGCTCTTCTGGAGCCCACCCCAGGCTCAGGGTAGAAGACGCAGCTCCTGTCTTTGGGTCCCGCAGAGGGGTTGGGTGACGCAGCGGTGGCTCTGTGCCCTGACATCTGGGGACATCCACTGGCAGGCTTCGTGGTAGGGCGTCCCCACTATGTGAGCACAGGGACGTCCACGGCACGAGCTCAGAGCGTGGGTCCAGAAACGACGCTGCTACGCTGTGTGCGCCCCGCCTTCCATCCTGTTTTCTGGTCCCAAGAGCTTTAGGTAGAGAGCCGGGGCGCGGCCTTCCCTGTCCCCTGGGGTCCCCCATTCTCTCCCCGCCCTCGCTGGCACCAGCTCTGGGGCCCTTTCTTTTCTCCCTGTCTCAGGACAGCGTGGAGCTTGCAGGCCTCGCTGAGCCCTTCCTCCGAGACCCCTCTGCCCTTCGTCCCACGCTGTCCCCGGCCCAGGCCAGTCAGGCCCCTCTGCAGCCTGGCCACCCGTCCAGGGCAGTTTCGAGGGCTAGTGAGGTCGCCCCTGTCCCACCCTCCTAGAGACTGGTGTGGGGTGCGTGGGACGGGCGTCCTCTCTCAGGTCAGAGAGGGGAGCTCTCCGTCTCCCCGGAGACCGGAGACGGAGCAAGTCCTTTGCAGATGGGCCCAGATCCCCTAAGTATCCGCCACGCGGGAACTGGATCCCTCAAAGGGAACACAGGGCCCTGCAGGGTCAGAGCCCGGCCAGCCTGGCCTGTGGCAGCTCTGGGGACAGCGCCCGGCAGCGCCCCACGCCTGTCTCTCCGCAGACCTGAAGCCCCGCGGCGTGGTCGTGAACATGATGCCCGGGCTGCCCGCGCATCTCCTGCTCATGTGCGTGCGCTACGCCGACGCCCAGAACGACGCGGCCATGGTGCGCTCGCTCATGAACAGCACCATCAGCGCCATCAAGCAGGTGGTGAAGGTAGGCGGCGCCCACGGGCCTGGGAGGCAGGAGAGCGCGTCCCAAACCCCAGCCCCTGAGCTCCCTCTCTGCCCACCTCTGCCCCCTCCGGAGCGTGAGGGACGAGTGTACGGCCACGCGGCCGGCGTGGGAGGCAGTGGGACCCAGCCATCCAGGCGCGGAAGACGCCCCGCGCTCATGGGTAGTGGCTTCACAGGCTCGGCCCCCGAGGCGGGGGTGCCTGCCTCCTCGCCGCAGACACGCGTGCTGACGAAGGCGGGCAGGGCGCCAGGCCTGGGTCTACCCGCGCGGTGACCCCAAAGCACCCAGGTTACTCCCGGCCCGCCCAGGCCTCTCGGAAGGACGAAGGACACGAGCCTAGGCCCTGGGTGGGAGGGGCCTGCCGGGGCGTGGAGGTGCCGCCCACTCTCAGGAGCGATCGCCGGAGTGACGTGGACGGACTAGGAAGAAGAGGGGGAGGGGCTCGTGTCCGCAGCAGGAGGAGGCTGACTGCCGACTGCTTGCGGGCCGCAGCGAAGTCCTACAGCACTCCTGGCTTCCCGAGATTTCCCTCTTAAGTGATAAGGAAGAAAGGAACTGTAAATAAGTATCAGTTGTTCTCTGGTACTGGGGATTGAACTCAGGGCCTTCACACGGAACTACATCCCAGCCCTTTTTACTTCTTAACTCAGGGTCTTGTTAAATTGCTAGTTGCCCAGGCTGGGCTTGAACTCGAGATCCGAGATCCTCCTGCCTCGGCCTCCCAGAGCGCTGGGATGACAGGCGTGCTGACCACGCCCAGCTCAGATATGTTTTGGACTGACCTAGATCCTTGCTGACAGTAATGGTAGCCCTGCAGGAGAAGTGTTCTGTGATCCCAGTTCACTGGGACCCTGGGTCAGCCAACCCCCCAGAGGCTGGAAGCACGGTTGATGGGGCTCAGGATCAGATTTCTGCTCCTCCAAGTGTGTAGTTCCATTACCACAGTAAGCTGAGACAGCGACAAAGCGGTTTCCGCTTTCTAGGAAGCGACTATCCGGGCACAGTTATGCTAGGAGTCCAGTGTTCTGAGTTTTCTAACACACAGGGAGGGGCAGTGAACTCAGGGGAGCATCGCCTGATACAGGGACCTATTTAAACGTTTCGGTTAGAGGAGACCAACCTCACTTCCAGCAAATCTGTATTCCAGAGGAGCTCAGTCCTATTGTGAAGAGTAGAAAGAGGGAAGAATAATAAGAGTTACAGAGAAGTCAGAATATTGTCATTCTCCCGACCCTCCAAAACCGGTTTATGCCAAGGACCCTTTCTTCATTCGGATGGAGAGGAGGCGAGCGTTTGCTTCCTGCGGGATGCTGCAGTCGCGGTCTTCCTGGGAACCCCAGCGGCCATGGACGAGCTCCCAGCACGCTGACTTCCCTGTGTGTGTTCTCTTGCATAGGGTTTCTGAAGACAGGCAGACTTGCATGGTGCTCTGGCCGTGGGCACAGTGTCTGCCCATCTGGCCACTCTGCAGTTCTGGCCAAGCGTCTGGGCACCAGCAGATGCCTGGCACAAGGGCTTCGTCCCGCCGTCCCCTAGGTCCCCACCCACAGCCATCCTGTCCTTGGATAGACACCAGGACCCCTCCTGCTGGTCCAGTAGCACCGCTTTGGGATTGGTCTCCTGAAACTGATGGGATCCTAAGCACTGGCCCCTGGAACACTCCTCTCCCGTCTTCCAGCCTCTGCTTCCCTCTTGCGTCCGATCACTGCACCCTGCCTTCTTGCTCATCCTCCCCTGCCATCCCCACAGGCTGCTCTCCTGGCAGCCTCTCCTCTCTCCACCCTTCCCTTGAGGGTGCCCTCCTCCTCCCTCACCAGGTCTTCACCCCTGTCCTGTCCTGCACCGCCTCTCTGTCCCCTAAGCTTGGGTCACTGGGCCCACGGCCACTGTCCTCCGGGTCCTCCAGCTGGGGCGCCTGCCCTCCCCTCCAGGGCGTGAGCCCATCGAGAAGACCCTCGCCCCTGCACGTCTCCAGAGCTCTTGTCACAGCAGCACGTGATTGGGGCTTGAGTGCAAGAGAGAAAAATCACTTTGGGTCAGACACCGCCAACGTGCGAACAGGTGGGATAGGACGCGTCTCTCTTCGCCTCAGTGATCAGACGCTGACCCCTTCTTGTGTTTTAAGGAACATCTAGAAGACTTTGAGATGCTGTCCTTTTGGCTGTCCAATACCTGTCATTTCCTCAACTGCCTGAAGCAATACAGTGGAGAAGAGGTAGGGATGGGACACGGGGCTCAGGATGGGGACATGCTGGCATCCCAGGATGCCAGGTGCAGATCGCCTGTCGACTCCAGGCATCCACCACAGGCAGAGACTTCCGGAAGCTCGGCCTCGGCACAGCCAGGCCAGGTTGCTCTGCTCTGAAGTCGGTGGGCAAGTTTCTGATCTGGACTTCCCTTTGGCTGGGGCAGTCTGCAGTTCTTACCCCCTGGCGCAGTGGGCTCGCTTTCTGGGACTCCTCAGGGATTCTGACTATTCTGTAACCTGTAAGCAGACTTCTTTGCATGCAGCTCCATTTCAGGAGCTGACGTTGTGAAGGCTGGTTATCTTCAGGAATTCCTGGAACTCAAGTGACAAAGCGGCTTTCAGGGTCTCCCTGGCTCTCTTCCCTGGTGTCACCTTATAATCCACCAGCCCTGTGTGAGGTTTCCAGGGTCTCACACTTTGACCACCACTTGGTATCGATAGTTGTTTCATTCTTTCCTGGTCTAATGAGTATAAAATGATATCTCTTTGCTTCAGTTGCACTTACCTGATTACTAGTTAGTTCAGGGGCTTACTGGTCATGTGGGCTTCCCTTTAATTTGCTGGCCACACCCTCTCTCTGTTTTTCTTAGGGTTGAGTTTTTTCTTGTTGGTTTGTAGGAGGTCTTTACATATAAGGGATAGACCATGGTTCGTCTTCTAGTTTATTTTATGGAGTTCTTGGTCATAAACAGTTTCTGAATTTTGATATACTTAAATCCACCATTCCTGTTCATTCATGATTTGTGTCTTGGGGAAACTCTTCCTTACCCTAAGACAATGAATATATTCCCTTCGAACTTTTATAGTTCAGACTTAGACTTCACAATTATGGGTTGTTTTTTTTATGGGGTTTTGGTTTTTGGTTTTTGGTTTTTTTGGTACGAGGGATCGAACTCGGGTCCCTCTGCTTTTGAGGCAGGCGGTGGCACCACTGAGCTAAATCCCCAGCCCCACAATTATGTTTTTATCTAAGACCTCATTTCTTCCATGTGGATAACGCAGTCCTCCCAATGGGAGAAAGTAAAGCCCGGAGCTGACCTTACCAGTGCTTCTGTAAAACAGGAGAAATGAGCAAAGGGCATCCAGCCTTGAACCGGAAGGACAGCAGAGGGCAAGAGGAGGCTGAGAAGGCCGCAGCTCAGCCCGGTTGGGGCAACTGACCTCCTCCTCCGCCCTGTGGTTTCATGATCCTTTCTGTGTCCCTTCAGCCACCCAGAGAATGCCCTTTTCCATATCCAAGTCACTAGTCAGTGACTATTTTTTTCTAAACTTTCTGCTGTCCTATCTAACCTCTGCCTACCATCATTATTTTTTTCTCCAGTGCTGAGGATTGAACCCGGGGCCTTGTGCACACCAGGGAAACGCTCAGCCACACCCCCACCCATCATGTCCTGCTCCTAAAGGCCTCTTTCCTTTTAGCTCTTTGAATATGTTACACACACTGCCTTCACCTTCTAGGAACTGCTGTCAACAGTACCCCAGACCAATGGCTTCACCAGTAGCCACTATGATCTCCCCTTCCGGAGCCCGGAATCCTGAGATCGGGGCACCAGTGTGGTTAGGTCCTGCTGGGATTCTTCTTGGCTTAGAATGGGCACCTTCTCCCTGGGGTTTTTCTGGGCACACACGGGGCTGAGAGGGACAGAGAAGGAGAGAGGGAGAGAGCGCTCTGTGCTACTGATGACTTAACCCGGGGCCTTCATGCTGAGTCACTAAGTTGCCCAGGCTGTGCTTCAACTTGCAATCCTTCTCCCTCAGCCTCCCGGAATGCTGGGAAGACAGGAGGGGGCCACCATGCTGGGTAACCTGGGATCCCTTTTTGTGAGGCCTGGGCCCTGCTACACGATGTCATTTGACCCTAATTCCTTCCTAGTAGCTCTTCCTCCAAGGGCAGCCACGCTGTGTTGAGGGGGGCCAGGGCTCCAGTGTGAATTTGGGCACAACTCTCGGTCCACCGCACACAGAATCTCAGATGGGGCTGGACCTTGGAGTTCAAAGCAACTGTATCCACTGGCCTCTCATAGTAGTTGGTTTCCTGGGTGCTTTTCAGCTTTTTCTGTGCCCTTCTCTGTGTGTTCCCCTAGGCTCCAGGGAAGGGGCTGAGGTCATGCAAGGAATCAGTGTTTTCTCTTACAGAAAATAAACTTCAGGAGCTCATTTGCAACAAGTCAGATATTGAGTTTTAAGGTGCACGAGTTACAATAGATGCTGACGGTAGCATCAGTTTAGGTAGCATTTTAATGTCTGCAGTATTCTAATATCTGTGTGCTCCCAACTGCTTTCAGGAATTCATGAAGCATAACAGTCCACATCAGAATGAGAACTGCTTGAAAAACTTTGACCTTTCCGAGTACAGGCAGATTCTTAGTGATGTGGCCATACGAATATATCATCAATTCATTGTCGTCATGGAGAATAACATCCAGCCCATAATAGGTAAGGAGACAACTGATGACCAAAACACTAACAGCAACACTGAGACTTTGAGACCCAGCTGCCCTTCTCCCCAACACCCGCCGCCCTCGGGGACGGTGTCCTGCAGAGCCCCGTCCTCCCTGGTCCCTGTGCCCGCAGTGCCTGGCATGCTGGAGTATGAGAGCCTGCAGGGCCTCTCAGGCCTCAAGCCCACTGGTTTCCGGAAGCGCTCATCCAGCATCGATGATACGGATGCCTACACCATGACCTCGGTGCTACAGCAGCTGAGCTACTTCTACAGCACCATGTGCCAGAGTGGGCTGGATGCTGAGCTGGTGCGGCAGGTGGCAAAGCAGCTCTTCTACCTCATCGGGGCTGTGACCCTGAACAGCCTCTTCCTGCGCAAGGACATGTGCTCCTGCAGGAAGGGGATGCAGATCAGGTGGGGGCAGGGGTCATCGGGTGACGGGGAGGCAGCGCGGGGACCCTGTGTGGGCACTCGGCTGGGTGTACAGGGCCACACTTGGAACCTGCAGAGGTGGCCCCCTGTGCTCTGAGACCCATCCTAGCTAATTCCGTCCCCCATCACTTTCTCTGTGGGGAGCACTGCTGGCGGGCACCAGAAGCATCAGGAAAGCCCCAGGACCCTGCACCGGCCCTCAGGAAGCTCAGACAGCTGAAGAAGGGTGGAAGGCGCTGTGGTGAGGTCACAAGGAGGTGCTTCGAGAAGAGCGAGCGGTCGCCGTGGACAGTGGTGGGGACACCAGAGCCATGGTAGAAAAACAAAGTGGAGCCTTCCAGACCAGACAGCGGCAAAGGCACAGTGACGCTGCTGGGAGGGGACCCTCGGGCCCCATCTGATTAGGCAGAGGTCCTTTCAGGGAGCAGGACCCCGGGAGAGAGGACGCTCACACAGGGATGAAAAGGTCTGAGGTGCCAGGGGAAGGCATCTGGAGCCAAGAAAAACGCGGGAGGCGCCCGCTGTGCTTTTGACACTGGGGAGACTCGGACTTGGGCGCCCCGACCCAGGCCGCAATCCCATGCAGTCTCCAGACAGAGTGGAGTGGCCCTTCTCCCTTGGGCTCCACCCAGGCCGGGAACAGTCTGAGGCTGGGGCAGAGGCCTGGGTAAAGCCAAGCCATAGATGAGACCCAACCAAAACCTAAAGACCCGGTGGGGCCCCTGGAAAAGAACTCAAGTGACGGGGCAAGACCCGAGGCCCTAGGTGTTCCCACCAGACATCCCAGCACCTCCGGCAGGGCCCCTCAGAGATGGAGGCGTCTTACAGCAAAAACTCGAGCAGCCAGACTCCAAAGCATGAGCATGGCGGGGAGTAAGAGCCAAGCAGAGGACAAACAGGCCGGAGCAGCCTGAAAACAAGCTCTGGGCTCTCTGGCACCAGCACGGAAAGGCAAGGCGACCAGCTGTGTGGTTGCACCAGGCACAGAGTAGTCCACCCTGGGCTGGGAAGGAGATCCTCATACTGTACTCCTCCCTGGCCATGAACTAGGAAAGTAACGCCTCCCACAGTCTTATCTCACAGGCCCCAGAGCTGCTCTATGGGAAATGTCATCCGGGCACTTTGCCACTGGCTCTGGTCGGAGTCCGGTGGGGCTCTGGGGACAGTCGGTTCTGTCGTTACTATGCAAATCTTTCTCTATCCTTCCTTGGAATGTTCTCTTCCCTGGAGCCTTCTTGGTTGGAATATAGCCACTCCAGATTCTTTTGATTTGTGTTTCATAGTACATCTTTCCTCATCTTTTACTTTCAGCTTATCATATTTGAAGTTTCTTTTACGCAGCATGAAATAGGGGTTTTTTAAAAATTGGATCCAACAGTCTTTTTTATCAATGTATTTAGACCATTTTAAATTAATGCAGTTATTGGAATATTTAGATTTGGGTCTACCATTTTATTATTTTTTATTTGTCCCCCTTGGTTTTTGTTTCTATGATTTTCTTTGCCTTTAGCGTTGTTTGAACATTTTTTAGTATTCCTTTCTAATTTATCTATTGCATTTTACCATAACTCTTGGCATCTTTCATGGTTATTCTAGGGATTAAAGTAGGCTCAAATTTACAGTGAATGATTACATTTTAGAAATAGGTAAAAGACGCATTGCCATTCATCCCCCTTGCTCCACACATACTTAGCCCATTGTCCAAGCACTTCCTGCAGCGCCTCTGGGTCCTCTTTCCCACTGGGTGGCAGGAGTGAGCCAAGCCTGCCCTCAGCCTGGTAACTGAGGGGAACAAACCACCCCCAGTGCTGCCAGGAGGTGACAGGTGACGGATCTTTGTTCACGGTCACCTCAGGACATATGCGGCTTACAGGAAGCTCATCCAGGAGAAGCCCTCAAGCAACGAGGCCATGTGGACAAGAACTCTACCAATGCTATCTTCTCGTTTTAACCATCACAGGTTTAAAGGACTCCAAGAAGAGTGTTTTACATTCATCTCTGTAGTTACGGGTTCTGCCACTCTTTCTTCATTCTCCCTGTCCCAAGACTCCTTTATTCTGAGTCTCATTTTGATATAATTTCTCTTCTCCCTAAAGAAATTCTTTCAGTAATCTTTTGGAACAGCTTTTCTGGCAATAAATTTTCCTAGTTTCCTTTCATCTAAAAATGTCTTCGCTTTGCCTTCATACTGACAGCTACTTTTGCAGGATATAGACTTTTGGGTTAACAGGGTTTTTTTATTCCTTTAAAAGTATTGTTTCACATCTTTCCTCTCTTCTTGTGGCTTCTGATGAGAAATCCACCAGCATTTGAGATGTTGTTTTCCACAAGTAATGCAGTTTGTCTGACTGCAGCAACCTTGTTTCTGTCTTCAGTTTCCTAGTTTGATTCTATTTGTGTCTGCATATGAATGTCTTTGGGTTTAGCCTTTTTGAAGGAAACCCAAAGAAGTCCTGAGGTTCTAGACTGCACATTTGTGCATTTAACCAAGTTTGGGACATTTCCAGTCATTATTTCTTAAAATCTTTTGTCTACTTCATACTCTTTTTCCTCTTCCCAGAAACAACATTAGGCCTTATATTTTTGTCCCTCAGATCCCGAAAGTTCTGTTCATTTTTTTTTCCATTTTCTCCTCTGCTCTTCAGAGTGGGTAATTTCTGTCAGCCCCCAAGTCCTGGCCCCTCTGTCTTCAACTAAGGGAGCCTATGCTGTTAATTCAACTATTTCTTTTGTTTTCAGCTCTAAAATTCCCATCTGATCTCTGTTGATATCTTCTGTTTTCTTTCTGAGACTTTGTCTTTCCACTCGGTTCAGGAGAGTTTGTCTTTGCTTTTGTGACATGTGCATAATGGTTTCTGCAGAGGCTTTGCCAGACAATCCCAGCTCCCGTGTCTCCTCCATGAGGACACCTGCTGGTCGTAATACTAGTTGAGGGTTCTCCTGTTTCCTCATACGACAAGGACAATTCTGAGTTGTATCCTGGCCATTGCCCATATTATACTGTGGGACACCAGGTTTTAAGTTCTCTGGGGAAGGTGGATATTTTGCTGGGTCCAGGCTGTAAGTTCTGACTCACCGTCCTCTGTACCTCTGAGGTGCTGTTTGGCTCTGTTTCCTGTGTGACACCCATGACCCATCTGGAACTTGAGGGGTGGTTGTTCCATGATCAGTTCTCAGAGTCTGTGTATGCTGCCTCAGTCAGACCCATGCATAGGCGCGGTTAAGCTCGGAGTTAATAAATCTTTCCAAGCCCCTCCCTCTCAACACATCCTGGCACTTTCTGGTTCCCTGGGGATCCCCTCTTCCGGGACCACATGTGGGGCACAGGGAGGTGAGCACCCATCCTCTGGAACCCAGCTCCTCCATTTGAGGCAAGGCCCCTTCCCTCCACGCTTCAGGCTCCTGCTCCCTCCATCGTCACCACCACTGCCACTCTGCAATTGCCTGGGACTTGAGCATGAGAGAATACAGAAAACCGAAAGGGAAAAACGAAATCAGGTATCTCTGCCCACTCTGAGCACTAAAGTCCTTTTCACGTCTCCAGCTGGAACCAGGGCCCTTGCAGAGCCCCTCATTGGCATGAATGCCTGCTGCTGTTTCGGGCTGCAGTGAGTTGGGCCAGTGAAGAACGAGGAAAGTGCTCGGAGATCACTGTCCACATGGAGGTCTCCCCTGACACACTGCTGTTACGTCGGTGCTCAGACAGCTGCCCTGTGCTCCGGGGAGACAGGTGGACACCTCTGACCCCTCCCCAGCACCTGAGCGCTGCGACAGTGTCCAGCGGGAGGATTAGCACGCTTGCACTCAAGCTTAGACAGGGTGGGGGGTGGGAGGGCCGGGGTGGGAAGCTCTGAGGGGCCTGTTGCAGCAGAAACAAGAAGGGTGCGAACTAACTCTTGGGACAATAGTGACAATGCCAAGAAAGGGGTCGGGGACCCGGCACCGGAGATGTCTCCCTCACATGCATCGCAGCCACCTGAACTCAGCACTGTGCCCCATTTCCAGCCAGGGAGAGGCTAATCTGGAGGACCAGAGCTCCCCTGACTGCACAGCTCCCTGAACGACCTGCCTCACGGGGCTCCTGAGTGAGGTCCAGCGTGCAGACGTCGCACAGCCTCCTTCGTGGTCACGCACACCACAGAGCGACCCGCTAAAGGGAGCGTAGTTCTGTGGGTTTCAGTGCATTCACACAGTGGTGCGGCCATCCCCATAATGTAATTTTAGAACATTGTCATCACTCCAAAAAGAAGTCTTCGTGCATTAGGTGCCTCTTACTCCCCACCTCAATCCCACTCCCCACTGGCTTGGGCACCCACTGACATCTTGTCAGTCTCCACGGATCGGCCTGTTCTGGATATTTGTCATAAAACATGTTCTATGTTGTAGACAGCTTCTTTTGCTTAGAAAGAAATTCATAAATGTAGCAGATATCAGCACCTAAATCTTTTTTTTTTTTTTTGCTGAAAAATATCCCATTGTACAGATCTACCATAATTTGTTGACCTACTCATTAGTTGTTTTCACAGTTAGGGTCACTGAGAATAATGCTGCTATCAACATTTGTATGCAGATTTTCACGTGGACATGTTTTCAGTTTTTCTGAATATAGATCCAGGGGGAAATTGCTATATGTTACTCAGCTTTCTGTTACTGTAACAAAATGCCTGAGACAGTGAACTTACACAGAAGAAAGATCCTGTTTCATAGTTCCAGAAGATGGGAGGGACTGGAATCTGTGCCTCTTGACTCATAACCTGTGATAGTGACAGGAACAGGAATGGGAACCCCAGGCAGCTGAAAGAAAGTCTCCCTCCAGTTGCAGTTGTTCTGCCAATTCAGGAAAATACTCAATTTTTTATACCATGTCAGTCATCTGTCCAGGTGGCGGTGCTTACCATGGACACCAGGAAACTCTGCACCCCGAGCACCACCTCCTGCTGGCCCCTGGTCACATGCCAGACTGTTCCTAAGCTCCTAACCCCACTGTCCTGCAGGACAGGGGGACCCAGCCCTGCTCTGAGTGTCCTCCGCCCCTGGCTTCCACGCAGGTGCAACATCAGCTACCTGGAGGAGTGGCTCAAAGACAAGAACCTGCAGACCAGCACAGCCAGGGGCACCTTGGAGCCGCTGTCTCAGGCAGCCTGGCTGCTCCAGGTCAAGAAGACCACAGACAGCGATGCCAAGGAGATTGCTGAGCACTGCCCCTCACTGTCCGCCGTGCAGGTGACTGGGCCGGCCGCTCTCCCCCCGGGGTCCTCAAGGGCAGATCTCTGCCCCGGCCGTGGCTTTCCAGGCTGGGGTGCACCCGACTGTGTGTCCCTGGGGAGCGCACGCATGTCCCATGGTCCCTTTCGCCTGACCAGCACTTAGCAGACACATCATGCATGTGCACTTCCCTGCTAGGACGGACACCAGTGGGCATGTGTGAGGGAGCCCATCCTCTCACAGGGTGACTTGTCTCTGCTGCCTTCGGTTTCCCTCCCTTAGTTTTCTTTCCGAACTTCCATGAGCGTCGCGGCATGGCTGGAGCGGGTCTTCTTCGAGTCTGACTCCATGCTGTGTTGTGTTCCAGATCATAAAGATCCTCAACTCCTACACACCCATAGACGACTTCGAGAAGAGAGTGACCCCATCCTTTGTGCGCAAAGTGCAGGTGAGGCCCCGAGGCTGCGCCGTCATCTAACTTGCAAGTGTGGTGTAAGACACTGGCCCAGAACTCATGCCATGAAACCACCCACCATTAAAGTCCATTTGCGGAACGTGCAAGTGAAACGCGCCCAGGGCACAGGAGCAGAAATGTGCTTGTTTTCAGAATGTGTCTTCGTCCTGGCAGGGAGGGTTGGGCAGCCAAACCAGGAAGGGAGCTGGCAGCGCCTGGTTCCCGCCCATCAGGAGCGCAGTGCGCCCGGGCAGCGTGGGTCGGGAGCATAGAGGTTGGGCCCTTTCACCCCCAGTCCCAGGTTTCTCCCTAGTGAACGAGGGCAGAAGCTCCCCCAATCTGTTCAGGGGTCCCTGGGGGTCTTTGAGATCCTCACAGGGCATCTGCAAAGCCCTTGCTTTACCCAGAGACACTTCTGTGTCCAATAAAACCAAAATAAAGATAAGGCACACCGCCGCGGGGCGAGCGCGGAGCATCTCTGGCGGCTTCCCGCAGATACGAGCTTGGGGCACATCCGAGGTCAGGGAGGTTTGCGGGAGTGTGAGACAGCGCTGCTTCTCGCCAGACCCAGCATTGGAAAGCGTTATGCTTCACGTGTATTGGATTTGTCACTTGACTACTGCAGGCAGACTCTGGCGTTAGTTACTAATAGGGTATCTGTCAGTTCCCACATACACGGGTGCTCTCTGGCATCCACACAATTGTAGGAAGGAAGGGGTCCGAGGCCAGAGTGTGCAGACTCTTGAGTAAAGAGGAAAAGGGTTTGTGGAAAAGCAGCACTTGGGATTGGTGCTGCTGGGTTAGAACCGAGCCCAGGAGCCCCCAGGCCAGAGGAGGGCGACGATCACTCTGCCTGTGCCTGCGGAAGCTCTGGGTGACGCAGGACAAGGCCGTGCTGCTGAGAGCGGCTCGGCCCCTGGCGAGCCCGGCCCCATGCTCCCAGCACCTGAGAGTGGCCCACAGGCTCTGGCCGGGCAGAGCCGCCACATCTGCCGCTCCCGGCACAGTCGCAGTGTGGCAGCACTGGCACCGTCCTCACACGTCCCCAGCTGTCGTTCCAGGCCCTGCTGAGCGGCCGGGAGGACTCCGCGCAGCTGATGCTGGACACCAAGTACCTGTTTCCGGTCACCTTCCCCTTCAGCGCCTCGCCGCACGCCCTGGAGCTACTGCAGATCCCCAGCAGCTTCAAGCTGGGCTTCCTGCGCCGCCTCTAGGGAGGGAGGAGAGGCCCTCACGGGACAGGGGCTCTGGGGTGTCCCTCAGGAAGGAGCCTGGGCCCCTGGAGCCACTCCTCCTCGAGCTTACGGGCGGCCGATGAGGCTGCACTGACCCTGTCCCCCAGGGACTCCCAGGTGGCTTCTATGGGACCCCTGGAGGGCTCCATCTTTTCCCGGGTGTCCCAGCTTTTTGTCTGTGACAGGGTCCGCAGGCTGAGGCCTCTGACTTCCTGGAGGCCAGTGAGGCCCAGAAGGCACCGCTGGGTCCCATGGCCGCTCTTTGGGGACGTGACCCTGCCTGGCCACAACCACTCCATAATCATCCATGTCTGGCTTCAGAATCCTCATGTCGGGAGACTACTCACTGAAATTCTCCTAGGATTTATGTGTAAATCTGTTTTAAACTAATGTAGCATCACAGCTTCATTGCCATGCAGTTTATCATGTTCTTTGTAAGGACATTTCTCCAACTTATATCTGCCAACAAAGTCACCATAATTGTTTACTGTTTAATATTTTTCACACAATAACTTCTTTAAAAATCAAGTTTTTCTTCCACAGCTACTGGTCTGCAGCTGTTGTTAATCATAGCAGCTGTGGCATTCCACTGTGGGAAAGGAATTGTCACACAATTGAATACCTCTTTCTTAGCCAAAAAGAAAGTGGGCATGTGTGTGACAGACATAAGATGAAAAAAAAAAAAAATCAAGTTTTTGGGCCAGGGATTTAGCTCAGTGGTTTTGCCACCTGCTGTGCAAGTGCAAGGACCTGAGTTTGATCCCCGATACCAAAAAAAGCAGCAAGTTTGTAAAGGCAACCTAAGCCAAGGCTGTGATCCCAGCACTCAGGAGGCTGAGGCAGGAGGATCACTGAAAGTTTGATCCTGGGCTACATAGTGAGTTCAAGACCAGCATAAATTTTTCTCTCAAAAAATAAAACAAAACAAAGAAAAAATAAAATAACATAAAGTAAACCTAAGTGATTTTCTCTGTCAGCATCTAATATATTTTTAATTTTCTCATAAAAGTAACTGAGGATTTATGTCAATGCCTCCTTTTAAGAAATCCATTTTCCCAAGTTTTATGGGGATTGGCTGTTCCTTGTACCCCAAACCTTCTCTTCAGGTCACAGAAAGTCATTGGATGAGCCCTCCTGGCCCAGGACTCCCCCCTTTCTGCTCTGCCAGCCCCCAGGCTGGGTCTCCCGGGGTCAAGTGAGGGCAGAGACACAGGGACACGCGTCACAGGAGTGGGAGTGGCGTGGCCAGGACAGCATGGAACAGGGTCTTTGCACTTTGTAAACCACCTTCTTTAGTTCATTCCAGTGCCCTGCACAGGACAGAGCAGAACTAGAACTCTGATCCTGCGATCAGTAAAATACGGGCACAGAGGCCAGCCCAGACTCGGCGCCAGGGAGCGCGCCCTGCAGGACGCGGGACTCCGGCGGCCGCGGGCAGTGTCCCGGGGCTCCTGCAGCGCCCCCTGCAGGCCTCACTGCGGGCTCCGCCCCTGTGCAGACGGCCGGCCAGCGGCGACCTCCGCTCAGATTCCCTCCCGCCTCCTTGACTCCCGCAGCCACCCTGGGCCGGGCCGAGGCCCCGCCCCCGGCTGTGAGGGGCGGAGCAGGGAGGGAGGGGCCTCGGGCCGCGTCCAGGCTGGGCGGAGACGGGGCGGTGACCGGCGGGCGGGAGCTGAGTCTGAGCCCGGAAGAGCGGGTTACAGGCGCTGCTCTCCCCCTTGCCAGCGCAGCTCCTCCGCCGCGCCCGCTCGCCGTCCGCTCCCGAGCCCACCGGCCAGGTACGTGCGCAGCCCCCGACCTGGGCACCGGGCAGGGGGTTCGGCCTTGCCCATCTGTATCTGCAGTTCAGCTACAGCCATAGGAATCTGTTTTGAGATAAGAGGGTGTTTTGTTTTGAATTATATTAGTTTTGACATCGGAAATAAGCTAAACGTCTTTAAAATCATTTAGTCCGGTTTGATTTGGTTTTGTTTTTTCAGTACTGAGGATTGAACCCAGGGCCTTTGCACTGCACTACATTCCCAGCCTTTTTTCATTTTTTATTTGGAGACAAGGTCTTGTTAAGTTGCTAATTTGCCAGATTGGGGTTCAATTTGTAATTCTCCTGCCTCAGCCTCCCCAGCGCTGGAATCACAGTTGTGAGCCATCACACCCGATCTATGAGTCAATTGTAGAAATGGATGCAGCCGACTCTTCGCAGGAGGCCCAAAGCCTTAGGGTGCAGCTGGGGGAACCGGAAGAGGTGTGGACAGCAGTGTTCTGCAGCAGTAGCTCATTGCTCTGACTTCGCTGTCGGAACCCTCTGCTTCAGTTGGGGCGGCTGAGAATGAAGCTGTCTGATGTTCTCGTTCATGTGTTTATGCCGAGCTTGTGCCCAGGGGTGGCAGCGCTGGGCCGCAGGACACGTGTGCCCAGCCTTGGCAGAGGCTGTCCCCTCCACACTTGCTCCCCTCTTTATGCCGCCCGCAGGCCAGGCAGTTCCGGTCCCCACGTTCTGCCACACTTCTGGGCTTGTTACATCTTCCCCAGTCCTGGGAGTGGAACCCACGGCTTCGCACAAGCCAGGCGAACGCTGTACCCTGGCCTGTGCTGGGTCCCTAATTCAAGGTGTTCCCATGGAAGGTAGCAGAATCAGCTGTCACTTTAATTTGCAATCTGGAATGAGTAAAGCCACTGAGACCTTTTTATGGTTTTTTTGACTATGGGAATATCCTCTTTTGAGGAAATTGCTTGTTCAATTCTTTTGTCCTATATATCTAAGAAGAGCTTGGTTTAATAGTTTATGATGTCCCATAGTGTGGAATAATATTGATGCTAATACCCCAAAAAGGCAAATCTGTAAGTGCTGACAGAGAAAGTTAGGTGGAAAAGGAAGTCGCTAAATGGCCTCATTTTACATAATTAACAAAGCCATATTTCTGTGTGTGTGTCAGAAAAATCTGGAAGAGTAAAGACCAAACTAAACATGTGATACAGTTGTATTCTTGGTATTGATTCTTTTAAAAAGAAACCAGTTTTTGGTAATAGTTGAGCCACCTTCTGAGGTAAACCGGGTAACTGGAGGCCTTGAATTCTAGGAGCTCCCACTGCAGAGCAGCTTCGAACTTGTTAAAGTCAAACAAAGATAATATTAAAAGGGAGGGTCTTGTCTAGTCATATAAAACTAGCCTTTATATGGAAGAATTTTCGTCTTTTTCTTCTCAAAATGCTCACTGAAGCATTTGCTCTCACTGAAAATTTCTCTCATGATAAAAAGGATTATTGACCATGACTATAATAAATGGACTAACGTTAAACACGACTGGGGACAAACACTAAGGGACAACACCAGGGCACAGAAACACACACAGCGCGGGCAGGCAGTGTGACCCACTGATGCTAAGGTTGCCACATCTCAAAATGGAGCTCTTCTAGGGGTGGGGATTTGGTGGGAACTTTACTCCTTGCACTTCTTTCATCTTCCTCCTCTTCCACAGTGAACATGTACAACACTCATAATTTTAAACGCTTAGATTGCTTGTGCAACAAGCAACAACCCCGGCTGGCCAATCTGCCCACAGCATTGGGGTCTCCAAACACTGGGGTGCGGCTAAGGCCTGCTAAAGGCCCTGGGTTTGATCCCAGCACTGAAAAAGGAGAGGGTCCCAAGGACGTGGGACAGCAGTGAAGAAGAAAACATACTAAACAAAAAGCAAAGGTCCCAGGAGTACGTGGCACACAGTGTTGATCACTAAACAGTGCACGCAGCCACGCATGTGCGACACCAGGTGGAGCTGGTGCAGGCGCTGGGGCGACCGCCCACTCCCCCACGCCTTCAGTCTACTGATTCATAGGGACAGCACAAGCAGCTTCCAGGGGTGGAAAAGGCTTAAAATTCCGACTGAGAAGAACACCCTTGTCTCCATGTATGTTTGGAATATCGGTCATCTCCATGTATGTTTGGAATTTCGGTCGTCTCCCTGATTCTTTACCTTTATCCCGTCACTCCCAGCTGACCTGTTCCTCCCCACTTGCCCCTTGGGCTGCTGTGTCTCCCTTTCCCAGCTGCCGCTCTGTCCTGGGCTGTTTCTGTTCCCCAGAACAGGTTTGTGGTCGTCCAGTGTTGTTCCCACACTCAACCTCTCCCTGACCTACTTCTGTGAGCTCACACGATGGGATAATCCACTACTCGCCATCCTAATCCTATTCCTGGGTGTCCTTGGCCTGACCTTGAAACCCGCTGCCCTCCCAGGGTGGATGTGGGGACAGCATTTACAGACTCCCAGGCTCTGGAGGCCAGCTCTGTCCTATTTTCTTTTTTAATTCTAATTTTAACTATGAAGTTTATCAATATATAAAGTGTGATCACACAATGAATGCTTACATTTTTTAAAATTTGTTGGGTAAAATACACATTGCTATGAATTCTCCTCAAACTCCTCCCCATCAATTCAAACACACTTATCCCATCTTCTTTCCACTTTCTGCAGCAGCTCTGGAGTCCTCTTTCCTACAGGTCTTAGTTGCACTGTTGTCGCTGCCTCGATGTTCTGAATCCATTCAAAATGTTTTCCTTTCATGGTTATGTGATGTTGGGGAAGAGCCAGAAGCCAGAAATCTCATGGTGCCAGATCTGGTGAATAAGGTGGATAAAGACACGGTGTCATGTGTTTACGAGCTGCCCCTCTGGTGGACTGGACAGTGCAGCAGCACTCTGGATTTTTGATCGCACTTCATAAAGACACTCAGAAAAGAGGACTCCCCGCCCAGGCAGAAGAGAAAAATCCTCCCAGGCAATGCAGCTACACATCTGCCAGGTGCAGACGAGAATGGGGAGCCAAGGCCCAAGTTCGAGATAAGCAGCGCACCCCACGCAGCAACCTCTGTGGGCCGAGACACCCTGGAGCCCGCAGGCTTCCACCACCCCAGAACGAAAGGCTTCCTCCACTCCAGGACAAAACTTTCCACTCTTCCTGGCACTGCCCCTCCCCTCCCCAAACTCCCCTCTAAAATTTCCCCTTGCCCAATCCTCCAGGGCCAATAGCTTTGTCCTTCACTAGCCTCCACCCAGGCTGGAAATAAAACCTCTCTTGTTGCTTCATTTTTGCCTGCTCTGGTGGTCTTGGCTATGCCTCAGTTTACCCTAACAGACTCCAGAATGGCTTCGGAAAGTGGCAAGAACAGGGGATAAGTGTGCTTGAAGTGAGTGGAGGGTGTTGATGGGGATTTGTGGCAATGTACTGTATCTTTTACTGTGATTATATTTTTCAATTGAAGCATCCACTGCATATTTTGATCACTGCTTGTAAATGTGTAAATATTGACCCATAAGTTGCAACCTGTAATTAATAGATTTAATGGTTAAAGGTGGAGGAGAAGAGGAAAAAGGCACATTCTGCATTTTCTCGCCTTTCCTATTCTCTATGTCCCCTTTGATGAAAAAGCTGAGACTTATAACTAGGAAAGCTCTGCAGGGTCCTGCACAAGACCCCTGTGACTGCTAACCTGGAACTCACTGATTAGTCCTCCGTGTCTCCTTACCCAATTTCATGGAAAGCCCTGATAAGCTTACAAATTCTACCTCAGAGATTCTGTGAGAGGATTGTGCAAAGTGCAAGCGCTGCCACGGGACAGTAAATGCAAAGTGTGAAGATCAATAGATCACCTTCTGCAGTAGAGTAGGGGTAAACTAACCATCCTGGGGGACTGTGTGTGCTGCAGAGCAGAGGATCCAGTCAAAACTTCAAACCCTGGAGCTCACTGCAGCACCCCCTGTGAGTCCCTGTGAGGAGGCACAAAGTCTGCGCTTAAACCAGGAGAGTTGGACATGCAGAGGCCCCAGGCATGAGTGTGTAGAGTCTCTGAAGCAACTGAAGCCACCAGGCCTCCTCCTCCTTATATTCACTCCAGGAATATTCAGCTCCTAGCCTATTGGTCGGTGTCACCTACGAACAAGCACAAACTGAGTGATACAGACAGACCCAAAACTCCCAGTTCACAACTGGTATTGCTTATGCTCACAAAGCCTCATGAGGACGTAGGGCAAGTAAGTGTCTGGAGCTACATTTTGTGCTGCTGGAGTTGATTCATGGTGCAGTGTAGGCTTAAGGGCACTAGGATTAAGGGTGTGAGTGCTGCCCACCCTACGTAGTCTGGATGCGGTAAAAGGGGCAGAAAGATACTCTTAAATCCCTTGTTGCTTTGCTACCTTCTGACCATGAACAGTTTCCTGTCTGCCAAGCCACCCTGCCTTGGAGGCAGCTGATTATGGACTACAAACTGTGACCTCAATAAACCTTTCCCCCTTTAACTGGCTGCCAGGTATTTTGTCTCAGCAAAGAGAGAAAAGTAACTAGGACAAGAACCAGCCAACTAACAGGGATTTTCAGCCCCAATCTACCAGGGATTTTTAGCCTTCATATCACATTCTTGTGGGGGAAAAAAAAAAAAAACCCATGCTGACTATTAGCTTTAAAAGAGCTGACATCAGACATTGGAGGCTGATCAGACCTCCAGCCACCTGACCAAGGGCATGGCGCAGGATAACAAAAGACAAGACAAGATCTGTACTGCATAAAGGGGGCCCAGGACGGTCAGAGCTCTTACCAGGCTGAGACGCCAGCTCGTGGAGCTGCCGCTGTTTACTGAACACACAGCTCCTTGAAGAGGTCAGGGGTGGTACAGGGACAGGAGTAGAAAGCACTGACTCGGGCAGGTTCCTAGCAACAAGAGAACGAGACATTCTAGCAGGAACAGGTGATTGAGTCATGGGATTGTTCTTTCCTGTAGATTTATTTTTGCTTCTATAGAAGTTTTGTGTACAAGTCACGTTGCCTGTGGCTGCACTATTGTCTTACATCCAAGATGACACAGCATCACGGATCATTGTATTGGGAGTTATTCTGTTTTGTTATTTGTTTGTTTTGGTACTGGGGACTGAACTCGGGTCCTTGTGCTTGTGCAGCAGGCAGTGAAACCACTGAGCTAGATCCCCGGCCCTTGGGAGTTATTCTGTCCCCACACACCAATGGCTGGCTCTTCAGACAAACCACTGTGGCTAATAGGCAGACTCAGACTTTTAATATGAAAGCCAGGGGCAGGGATTTAGCTCATTGGTTCCGTCGCTTGCCTTGCAAGCGCAAGGACCCAAGTTCAATCCCTGGTACCATAAAAAAAAAAACAAAACCCAACAATATGAAAGCCAATTTTTGAGTTTGCAGCTCACTCAGCATGGTCCCACTCTATCAGAAATAGATCATCTTTACAAGGCAGGGGAAAAATCTATGCACCCTGTGAACATTAATAGAGCTCGCTCATGGATCAAACATGTGCCTGGTGAAGCAGTCAGTAGTAACAAGGCAGGGAAGCCACACACACGGTTAACTGCACAGAGCTGGCTCCTCATACCATGGAGTCGATCTAAGCCAGGGGAAAACTATGAAATTTCTAGTTTTAGCTTTTTTAGGCTCGCCACACTGATTTCCATAGTGGCCGTACCACTTTACATTCCCACCAACAATGTAGCCCACCAGTCTTTGTTAGGATATGATTTCTTGATGATGGCCATTCTTTCTGGAAAAGATGGAATCTCAGTGTGTGTTAATTTGGCCAGCGATGTTGAACATTTCTTTACATATTTTGTGGCCTTTTGAACTTCTTCTGTGAGCTGTCTATGAATAATTTCCAATGTCCATGTTTGGATCGGGTCTTTGTGGGTTAACTTCTCTTGAGTGTGTGTCTTCCCTCTTCACCTGGTCCAACACCCAGACACAGCCATAACTACCAGGGAGTTTCAGCCCTAATCTAACAGGAAGTCTACCAAGCATTTCAGCTCCAGAGTCATACTCTTGGCAATCAACTATGCAACCTGTTAACTTTAACAGAGCTCACTCTTTGGGAAAATATGTGCCTGGGGAAGCATTTATAATTTAGAGCATGTGAAAACCTATGCAATCAATAAAGCAGAAAAAATGTAGCTCTCAACCTACTAGATGTCAGATATGCCAAGATCGTGTTCCCAAAAATCAAAGAATGAATTCTAAGGAACAGTGGAAGTTAAGAGTAGGAACATTTCTTGAGAGCGATAGCTCCTGAGAGACAGGAGGAGACCCGAAAGCCCATTTCATTGCCAAGGAACCCACTTCTCAGAGAAAGTTTTATGGAGCAAAATCACCACAAGTACAAAATCACAAGGTGGGCACAACATGGGTCAAAACTGTGATCAACCAATAAGATTACAAGTAGAGCACCAGGGATTTAGCTCAGTAGTGCCACCACCTGTGTCGCAAGTACAAGGTCCTGAGTTCGATCCCTGGTACCAAAAGAAAAAAAAAGATTGTAAGTAGAGCTGCTTAGGTAATATTGACCCAATGGGGAAGCAGGTCACATAGCAAGGGTGCATGGAAAGAACAAAGACTCTTTCAGGAAGGGATGGATCAGGAGGTCCTGCTCACCCACCTGGGTGACTGACATCTATCTGGACTTTATTGGACCAGGTGATACCAATTGTAGTATTGTCAGGCCTGCCCTAAACCAGCAGGACAAAGCAAACAGGTTGCTCTCAGCAAACAACAGCAGCTTCTCAGTAAATAGGGCAGATAGACTCAAAAGGAAGTATACAACCCCTGGCCCTGAGAACTCCAGCGATTGTCTATACACCTGAGCAGACGTCCTTGGGCATCCAAGTCATGAACATTTCACCCCAGGTTCCTTAACCCCTTCAATACCTATATGAACCTAATTCCTTTCCCAGTTAGTTGCTGATATCTCTCTCCTGGTGTTAGCCCATCCACTAACGGATGAAATCTCTCCCAGCCAGCTGCCACTACCTCTCTCTCCCAGTGTCAACCCATGCACACGCGGATGTGATCGACTCAGCTTCCCAGCTAGCTGCTAGAATCTCCTGATTCTAGTCCCTGTTCACTGGAATAAACTTTTCTTTCTCTTACAACAAAGAGCCTGTTTTTTGACAAGTGGATTCTTTTTTTTTTTGGTACCAGGAATCGAACCTGGGACCTTGTGCTTGTGAGGCAGGCAGCAGAACCACTGAGCTAAATCCCCAGCCCGATAAGTGGATTCTTTATGACAGGTATATGTAAGATCAGACCAAGGCATGATTGAGACCACAGAGGCAGGCAAAGTCTAAGCGACATGTGATGAGTTTATTGCCATCTGGGTGCAGATGGGCCAAGGGCGAGAAGGCCATAAGCCCTGAGAGGACTGTGCTCGTGGTTGTATGGGGCATTTTAGGCAGGGGAGGGGGCACTGGTCAAGAGGGTGGAAAAGTTTAGAGTCCCATGTTGACGGGCCTGGGCTGGCTAATAAACAGAGCAGGGTGAGAGCAGCAGGGCGACTGCTGGCTTCTTGTCCCTGTGCTCCTGTGGATGCGGGTGGGGTCCAACTTGGGGGACCTCTCTGCATAATCTCACATCATGGCTTAACCTGCGGGTAGGCACATGGCCTGGTCATTCCGTCTTTATCTTGAGGCCTGGCCTCCGATGGATGAGCCTCCACCCACAGCTGTGATGTGTTCTCATGCTCTATGCTGACTCCCTTGAGGGTCCAGCCCTGTCTGCCTGCCTAGAATATTCCTACCTAACTCAGCTGTCTATAATACAATCTATTAGTTTTAACAGAGCTACCATCAGTAAAATATAGTGTAGGGAATGATTTTCCTTATCCAGACCATAAAGAAATTAGAGCTGACTCACGAGTAAATTATAGTCTTTACCAGCCAAGGGAAAACAATGCCAACTGTCACCTTTAATAGAGCTCACTCGTCAGTAAAATATGTGCAATGTTGAAGCATTTAGTAGTCATGAACCTTGAGAAAAACTACACAAAATGTAAGCCTCAGCAGAGCTTCTTCGCTGTGTGACGCCTGAGGTAGGGTGCACACCACGCCCCGACGCTGCTCTGTGGAAACACACAGCTACCAGGACCCTACCAAGATGGTAAACTCGGCTGCAGTAAGGAATTACAGAGGCAGGCTAAAATAAAAGAACGCAGTTTATTTGGAGAACAAGAAAATAGACAGCTATTCTGGAAGAGTAGGGACATCAGAAAGTGATGACTGATGGGTTTTTGTCCCCAGCTCCTTTT